GTGATATCAGGTTGATCCAGCTTTCGTGTTTAGCAAGGCTGAGCAGCAGCGACGTAGTTCTTAGCAAACTGAATTGGAAGCTTCTGTCCTTCGCAAGCAGTCTTGAATGCATTAAAATCGGTCGTGACGCAGCATTTACGATTGCCTTTCAAGTTGGTGTTGAGATCGATGGTTCCCTTTACACCTTTACACGCAGCCCCCGTCAAGGTTGCCGTCAGAAATCCAGATGGCTCATAGGCAAGTGTCTCGCCGTTGGTTCCTGCACACTGGAAGCGATTTGCCTGGCTATACCATCTATTAGTTCAGGATGACAATAACCCAATCTGCAAACAGCAGAATGCGCAACTTACGAAATGGTGCCCAGAGTCACCAGAATGATGGAAACTAAAGTGGCCTTCATTTTAACGCAAAAAAAGCTGTGAATTAGATTGACCTTGACAATTTGCTTCGGGTAGCTTTATAGGAATGTTCTCGATGTAAGCGGCAATATCTGCTCTTGTAAATCAAAGAAAAAAAGAATAAGATGCTCAACAAATCAACATCGTTTGTCAACAGCTTTTTGATTCCTCTTAAAAAATGAAGCCTTGATACCGAAGAGTCAGTGTATTGCAACATGGACAGGAGTAGGTCGGTGTTGCCGAATGACATGAGCCGACTAATTGTCCAATGCGGGACTAATGTAAGTAAAACGAGTTTGGCTGGCCCAATGGCCTTAACCGATGCGGCCTAATGGGTGTACGATTCGCACATGAGACGAACTAGTGAAAGCTTATGAACTTTTGCCATTTTGAAGCTCTTTAGGAAATTAAAAAAAAGCTTGAACTATTAGCAATTTATTTTACTTCTTCTGTTGGATATAATTCTATAGCTGTATAGTATACCTGAGTTTGAGTAATACTCTCGCAATTTCTTGAGTGCAATTGGCTGTGCGTGTTAAGCTTTACATTATCTTGAAACTAGATACAACTGTGTTCAAAATTACAAATACTTTTGTTGCAGTCACTTGATTCAAGCGATAATTCGTACAATGCTCGATTCATATATTTAGCTTTTAACTAATACGAAAATTGTTTGGCTGTGCTTCTGATTTCTGAGATTGAATAGTATGCATTTTCATTGTAAGTCCAACACTCAACAGAGTACTTGGAAAACGGTAGTCTCAGGGGACCAGTAACGTCCCACACCCACTTCTGGGCACCCCCCACATTTGGGCACCCCATTTACACCAAAAACGCCGTTTTTCGAAATTCTATATTAAACTAAATACTTTACTTATTAAAGAGAATAAATATATGTTAAATAGATTAAGACTTAATTATAATACTTAAGTAGCTATATACTAGTATTATTGATAATAAGTATTATAAATTCAAGGTTTAACATTTATAATACTAATTTACCTAGCCTATATCTTAATATATAAAATAGGTAGAGATATTTAACTAATATGATTAGAATTTTTAAGTAAGATATAGTAGATTTATATATTCTTATACTTAGTAAAAAATTCTTTAAGCTTAGAATAATATTTTAAAATTTCCCTTAAGAAAAGTTTCTATTATAGAATTTTAACCCTTAATTATACTATATTTACTAAAGTAATACTTTTAAATCTCTTTTAGATATAATTATATACTTTTAATAAGTATAAATATTAATTTCCTAGATTTTTTAAATAAGTATATATGAGCGAAAATATATTTTTCTAATGTTAAGGAATACTAGTAAGTTACTAGTATCTACTAACATTTTAAAGCTTTTAGTTTTAAACTTCTATATTATAACTATTATTATATTTAAACCTTTATAAAAAATTAGATGGCTATAATTATACTTAACATAGTTTATATATATTTTCTTTTCTTAGTAAGTATAGTAGTTAGTTTAATATAGAATTTCGAAAAACGGCGTTTTTGGTGTAAATGGGGTGCCCAAATGTGGGGGGTGCCCAGAAGTGGGTGTGGGACGTTATAAAACCACTCATCAGCACGCTTTCCGTCCCAAGAATTTGAAACCGGGTTCTCACGTTCTAGTCATTATCTAGCTCGAAAATTGATACAATGAAGTCATCCGTCATTCTTTCTGTCATTGGTGCAGCTCTAGCTGTTGCCTCGGCCATTCCAGATAACGCTTTAGGTATCTTCTGACGCTCGAAATTAGTTCCTACGACGTCGACTGACCAAATTTTAGAAAATCGACAGGCCAAGAGATGCAAGATCTTCCAAATCTTCAGATCACCCGATCAAACTTCGGGTGGCGCACCGGGCTTTGTTGGCACACCCACCTGCTGCTGTCAGAATGCGCAGTGTCACGTTGTTGACATTGCCAATGGCATCAATACGTCAGCGAACCTGAATATCTTCCTTGACGGAGATTTTAGAATCATTGACGCCCGCAGCCAAGACAAGGGAAAAATTGGGTCGAATGATATTCGGGGTGCTACATACACCGTGGCATCACAAGGAGGTTGTACCAAATAGGATCGGCCCTCAACGAAGTCTACTACCAAACAATTTCTCCAGGTCTGATAAAAGGTTGGGCACCGCCAGTTCAAGGGTGTTCGATTAAATAAATCAGCTTATGTAGACTTGACGATAGCAGCAAAGGTAGCAGTCCAACAAACATGGTTTCATGTCAGTTCACCTACTCAAGTAGCTACCTGTGACAATGGGACATATATGTGTAATGGGTATTGTCGTGCGCTATGTGATTTAGATGGTTTATGATGAGACGGCTTCGAAGAAGGGTCCTCTCACCAGCGTGGCAAGATACATTGCTGATCTCCGCCGCTCAGGGGCTGCCTGTAAACCTATATCTAGATAGTGCGTCCCAAATTTAGGGCTTGGCTTGGAGCAACAAGTTTGGCTACTCCATGTTCAATTATCAAGATCCCATACCACAATACTTGACACAAAAACAGAAGTGAAGGAACAAATCTACCACTCGGTGATAAATAATTGACTAAATCTCCAGCATTTTGAGCCTAGCCTTGAGACAAATCGGCCTGCGAAGACAGCCTACACCGTCTTTATGGGCCACGAGACCCTACATAAGAGAACGGCATCAGTAGGAAAAGTCACTTCGGTGGATAGCCTCCGCTACGCTGGCGGGTATAGAATGTCCTCGGATACGGTGATGCTGCGGTACCAATATCACCAGATCGGAAAGCAAGAAAGTTATCTATTTAGTGTAAAACAAACTACAATATAGGCGCCCATGCTTGAGGCAACAACAAAGTGAGCTTCCGGGGAATGAACCACCGCAAATATAAAAGGCTTCAGGGCATGATGAAGAGGGATCCCCAGGCAAGTATGTTCGGCCCAGCGCATCCTTCCGTAGAGGAAATGACACGCGAAACCAGCACCAAACCTTCTTTGGTTGTTACTGGCGAGGGGAAGGGCCACGCCTTCTATCTTAGTGAGCACTCGCCTAGCCGTTGCAACCTGCCAAACTGGGAAGCTTGTCAACGATTAGTAGCTGCTGCCCTGTATCCGAACAGCCAGTCTCTACTATGGATTTATTAAGCCATATTGTTGCAGTGGCATCTGAATACCACAACCTTTACCCGTTATCAACTTTGAACTTCTACTGGAACACTGTAACGTCTCTGACATCCGTTATTTTCACTTAGATCAATGCCCGAGACAATCAAACAAGTCAGCATGACGATGAAAAATGTCACAATCCTGGTATTCGCCAGGTCTATGCCCCTTCAAGATCCAGGCGTGATAGCAACGGCAACATCTTAGTGCCTAGCTTTCGACTTACCATAATCTGGCTTCTTATTGACGGGTAAATATCACCTACCATGCAACCCTGGCGCAGTCATTGACGAGCATTATTGGACGGCATTTTCTATCTCGGGTCAGCCGTTTAGTCAAGGCAATGTGGTCATTTTGGCCAACAAAAGTTTCTTTTTTAATTTGGATAGAAATACTTCTTGCTTATTGAAGCTTTGGTTGCGAGTGACCTGTGCTGAATCGGCCCTGTATGAAATTGCTTGAGGGAGCCTGGCATACAGCAATCGAACGCTCACCCGCATATCAGGAGCCTGAGAATTCGAACCAGAAGTTTCGGCCCGCCAAGTTCATACCCTGGCTATGGCGTCTTTGCTTGCCTGATGCTATTCCCAGTTGGCAAAACGATATAGCAATCGAAATGTTGGAACGATTCATCTTGGTCAACGTACTTCTACAAACGGAGGTAGGCCTTTGCTGGGCCACTTCCTTGAGTCCGCTGATACTTGTTGTCGTGAGTTGTCATGAAAACCAGCCTTACCTGAATATTGGTAACGGGGGCTTTTCCGGCGTTATCGGCTGAATCTACACACCCGCCACGGTTCCAGCACCGAGTCTACCGATGTAGGCCACAACTCATCTCTGCTAGACATCACATGGCCGCTGGGATAACCTGAAAAAAACCACGACTTTGCTTTCCGCGAAACCCATGGCACCACTGTCCTCGCCAAGCAACTGGCCGAGTCCTTCTAGGCCTCGAAAATCAAATACTCCGAGTATTCGGGCTTTCTGGCAAGCGGAAGGCCAGGACTAAAGGATGCCTAACTTTACCCGGACGACCAGAACTACTGCCAATGTAGTGGTGCAGCGTGACTCTGTTGACGGTATGGTTGACGGCACCATCAGCGCGCCCTATCAATGTCGTCTTGAGACCAAGCGACTGACTTGCAGCGGCAGGAATGCTACCACATTGCTCACTCTTGAGCAGGCTCAAACCGTGCGCTATGTTTATTCTAATTATGCCATAGTTAGAACAAGGCTATACGAAAATGGGCTAGAAAGTGAATTTAATTATGCAAAAGAAAAAAGAAAAAAACAGAATCCTGAATTCCGATTTTGTTGATAACTCTAGGCTTCCTCACGGACGTACGTCTGATAGGTCTTTCATTGATGGTACTCTGTGAGGTTCCATCTGCTACTGGCTGTGCCAACAGCCAGTGTCATGCAGGTTCCATTTGCCCGGTCACATGATTTACCCAGGCGGAATTCTGAAAGGATCTGGAAGACGATTACTACCGTCTCAGTACCAGTGCACTTTTGAAAGACGCAATAGCCCAGGGTAACAGCCTTACCACATCAACGCCTTCACCACTTTTCACACCGGCTAGTCGCTACCTCCACGATGGAAGATATTGCAGCATTAACCGCTGAGGAGGTCCTTCATGCTCGTGAAACGTTCTACATTGGGGGACAATATTTGACGGATGAGGATGGAAACCACTCAATGCATGGACAGATGTATGTAGAACATCTCCAGCCCAGACCCGGCCAAAAGACCAAGCCGTTTCCGGTCCTCTTCATCCACGGAGGAACTCGCACAGGACAGGTAAGCCACCTTTACCCCTCTATTGCCCACCGCCTGGGGCATGGCTTTTTCCAAATGTTCGATGTAAAAACCCAAGAATAACAAATCAGGACTGGATCACAAAACCAGATGGCGATCCTGGCTGGGCATCATATTTCCTCTCCCAAGGCTACGAGGTCTACGTTGTCGACTTGCCCTTCCGGGGCAGGAGTCCCTGGTTGCCCGGAGCCGAGAAAGTTGTCGCATACCCCGCAGAGCAAATACAAAAAATGTTTACCGGGTGCAGCAAGTACAGGCTCTGGCCGCAGGCTGAGCTGCACACACAATGGCCCGGCAACGGAGTGATGGGAGACACCATCTTCGACCGCTTTTATGCCTCGGGAGTGCAGATGATTGCCGATCCAACTGTGCAGGAGGCGGCATCGCAGGCGGCGTGCACGGCTTTGGTCGATGCCATCGACCGGCCGATTATTGCTGTGGGCCATTCGGCCGGCGGGCCCATCCTTTGGTACGCATGGGCATTACCCGGCCCGCGGGTCCCACGGGTACCCGCGAAATGGGTCGGGTAGTTATGGGTAGTGCCCGAAAGTTTTACTATTACCCACGGGTACCCATGGGTAAAGTAGGTTTGGGTAAAAAAGCCCACGGGTAGTAAACTGAAGGGGGGCCCACGGGTTTGGGTACCCACGGGTTTGGGTACCCACGGGTGTATACCCGTGGGTAGATTTCAGTAAGTATGCATCACGAATTTTAGACATCTTTTGTAGTAGCCAGCCTCAAGAGTGGACATATTGCGCAACGAATAGACCTGCTACCTTGTTACTCCTAACTTCCGAACGCCCTGAATGCCTTCAATTAATCGCCCGCATTTCCCAGACTCGGGGTCGAACCACTTGTCTCCGTGGACTCTGCCGGCCTTCAAGATAGCCTGGACGAGATGCAGATCCTTCGGCTTAATGGTGACGCGATTGGTGTGGATCGCAGCAAAGTTAATCACTAGATAGTTCGTTCAACTCGATAAGAGTTTGCAAGTGAAGCTTACTGTCGAAAACACCAAAGAGAAGAGACTCCGAAGACTCTTGAAGAGCGCTAATAGCAGTCGCCTGCTAGCGCAGGCGCTTGGAGGGGTCGATGTCATCGCAGATTTCCTTCCAGAGTCGCTGGAATGGGGGCTTCGGAATCAGGAAGTCAAATGTCTTCTGGTAGTTCCTGACCTCCCGGAGAGCTTTTGCTAGGTATTAGGGTTAGTGTGTAGCCATCTTTTGTAGCAATCTAGACTTACTGCCAGGGCGCCAACGGCGTTTCTGCTGCTCCTTAGCACCAGGCATAGTCTTTCGGGCTATGCCAGGCATCATATTATAAAGTTAACCATGAATCAGGTAGGACTCCTAGAAACACAAGTCCAGGTCCAATCAATATAGAATCTTTTACAGATAACTACTGAACAGAGGTTTTCAAAGAGATTCTTTTTGAGAAAAAAAACAAGAAGCCGCGGCTGCGCACAGACCACTTTTTGGCGTATTTTGTTTTTTTTTTATGAGGTTCTGAAGCTTCAGAAAACTTCTCCCCAGACAATACTACAACCTACCTCCACCACTAACACCCAGCCGCACCGACAAGCCTCTCAATTAAGGTAATTTGATACTTTGATCTTACAATTATTAGTTTTGACTTATTAAATCAATTAGGGAATAGTAGTAAAATATGTCCTCAGGACAGGATCGCGGTACGTTCACACCAGCTTTGTAGCAATCATTTGTACTAATCTCTTCTAGGCCGACCGCTTGGATCTGGTGCTGGAGCCAAGCGTAAAGCTGAAGAGGATTATTCCGACAACGCGCACACCAAGAAGTCTCGTCAGCGCATCGATAAGATGACTGAGAAGCAGAAGGCACTTGATCGCTCGAAGAAGTCGATCAACCAGCAGAAATCCCGCAAGCTTAAAGCCTTGAGGGCTAAAAGCTCCTATATTAGTGCGTCTGCTGATGAGCGCGCGGCCCTTGAGGCTAGGGAAATCCAGCAAGTTGATGCACGATAGTGAGTTCTTTTTTATTTCTTTTGGTGTTTCAAATCAGTGCTTAAGTGCTTTTAGCTTCCTCAAAGGCAACCATCCAGACCAGCTGCTAGCTCAGATGACTGGCCCAGTCTCGTCTAGCTCCTATAATATCGTCGATGACGATGAAGACGAGGCTTGGGAGGATATCCCTTTGAATGAGATTGATGAGGCTACCCAGGAAAACCTGGATGGAGTTGAGGGCATGCTCAACTTTGACGTTGACCTTGATAACCAGTTGCCGACTATTAATGTTGCTGAGCAGTCGAATGCGATTATCGACAAGATGATCCAGGTAACTGGATGACTATAATTAATTACTATAGCAATAGCTAACAAACAGACAGGAAAACCAGATCCGAGAATACTAGTTCTTCCGTGATACCTGGGAGATGACTCTTGAGATACTTTACATCAAGGTCAAGCGGCTGAACAGCAATCCTGCCTTTACCCTAGCTGCGATGGAGGATTATGGCTTCATTCGACCTGGCTTTAAATTTCCAGTAGCTGGCGACATCTTCACCAAAGAGGAAGTGCTTCTTTGGTTTGCACTCGCCAAGTACTGGCACCTGAACCGCTTGTCTAAGAAGAAGAAGATACGCCTGGTTCTTAATTCTTCTGTCAAGAAGAAGAAGACGTAAGTGCTTAATTGTAGCAATCCTTTGTAGTAATACTAATATTCTCAGCTAATTCGCACTCGCGCACCGCCCAGCCATCAAGATTCAAGGATCTCTCTTCACTACAGCTCAGCGCCGATATGCCTCCACTCCAAAGCCTTTAGTGAAGGCTATGTTCTCTGAGATCAGTGACTCGATGATCAAGAAAGGTGTTTGGGAGCTTCTGGGCCCTGCTGAAGTTTGGGAAGAGTTTACTGCTCTCGATAAAACAGCCAACATCTTATCTGCGATGGATAAGAAGTTCTCAGCTATACTAAAGCTGATACCATTCTTCCTGAAGCTTGACCTTGCTCGGGATAAAGCGCCATACAACTGGCGTCAGGTCCATGAGTTGGCTTAGAAGCTAACTCGTTTGCTTGACTTTTCTCTATAATTGCAGATAAGCATAGCGAGAGGGTTTGTTTGACAGATTAAGAATTAAGAATTAGCAATAAGGCTAGCATGAATAAGGACATGAATTCTCTCTAGTCTGATTCTCGTATTGTAGCAATCGTTTGTAGTAATCTACAGCTGCTAAAACAATCTAGCACTCCATGCTCCCATCTTCTTCATTAACTGTTTAACTAAGTCAAGATCTTTCTTCTGCAAAGTTACTCTTTTAGCGTGAATAGCACAGAGATTTGCATCTATTAATATTCATGTTAATATAATAGTTTGAAGATCAGGATAGGATATCTTACTCTCGAACATGTTGATTAGAAACTGTTCGCTCATCTCATGGAGAGCCTCTATAGCCATTGACTGGTAGCGGATCTTATGGCGGTTTCTTAGTGGAAGATCAAGTGTTATTTCTCGAACTACTCTTGCGAAACTGCTCCGCGGAATTAAAAGATTGGTGGTCTTTTGATATTTTCGAATCTCACGAAGTGCATTTGCTTCACATTTCAGTAATTAAATAATAAAGAGTTACTTCTTACTTACTACCAGGCCTCCATCTACGAACTTTCTAGCGTTTAGTGATCTGGACGGGCTTTTTTCGAGCAGCTTTTAGCTGCTTCTTTGGCGCGAAGTTCAGCTGATCTTTCCGTGCAATGGTTGGTGGTTGGCCAGTATCTGTTCGTCTCGCCAACTTCGTCGCAAAGTTCCGCTTTAGCGGTGGTAATTCTGGTTGACTCAGGTCTGGGCTAGCCTGGCTATAGTAGGTTGCATGACTTGAACTTCTTGGCGGAGTCTCCCGAATCTCTGTAATTGGCTGTTTCAGGGGATTACCCCTCGCTGATGATGAGGGGTAACTATTTGGCGGTGAAGAGCCCTCCACTGTTAGCGGAGAGCTCTGATCTGACACAGGGCTAGTTGATAAGCGAGGCATTGAAGGATGAATGTAAGTGGGAGAAAAAACAAGTCGAAGGAGAATTCAGAGCTTTTAGATTTGTATACGAAACGTATTAGTTAGAAACCCTAAAATAGAAATTTACGTAAGGCTATATAATCAAATGTTTGTATTCATCTTGTAGTAATCCTGCAAACTACTTCCTGTTTATACTAAAGGTAATTCTTACTACGTATGATGTCGAACTCAATTGCGTCTGACCCTTTTGGGCCAGACCCTTTTGCATCCGATTGTTCTGCTGCTTTCGAGCTTGTAAATTCTACGCAGACTCTAACAATCAATACTCTACCTTCTGGTTTACAGATACAGTCGGAAATCATTTTATTTGTTATTGAGACTTTCCAGACTTTTCTCTCGTTTTTCAAAACCCTGCCATGGTATCTCCAATGGGTAATCCTTGGCAAACACACACCGTTGTCCAAATCCCCTCAACCTGAACGAAAACGCTTCGCCAAATCCTTGTGGACTTTACAACGCCGAGTATCATTCTGGGATCACTTTCACCAAGGCTACCATATGACATCAGGGGAGCCAAAATTAGTCTGCAAGCACTGTCACCAAGTTTTCAATCATCCAACAATCAAAAACTCTGGTACAAGTGCTATGCAACGACACCTTGCTGCAAAGTCTTGTAAGACTCGACGTTTAGGCGCAAACCAGGTGCCTGTAAGTTTTACAGGTCATTGTAGCAATCATTTGTAGTAATCGCAATCTAGGGTACCTAATTGAAAGCAGTCTCGGAGCATCAAGCATTAGTTTACTGTATTGTTGGATCCAACTTAGCGCTTAATACTGTTGACAACTTAAGTTTCCGGCAATTCTGTTCACACCTGAATCCTCTCTACCACCTCCCATCTCGAAAGACGCTCCGAAGCTGGATATCCGAGGAGGCCTTACGCATTCAACACTACACTCTTCAGCTAATTCCGCCTGGTAGCTATGTCTCTCTGATGATTGATATCTGGAGTACACCTGGGTTAAAATATTCACTGCTTGGTGTTTTATGCCATTTTATCGACAAGCACTGGAGGTTACAACAGGTTCTTCTTGGTGCTATTGATATGACAGATGGTTATACAGCCTCTAAGCAAGCAACGGCTTTATCGACTCTGTTAGAAAATATTCGCCAGAGGACGAAGAAGACAATTCGATTTCAGACAGTCTCTGCAGACAACGCAAGTTCTTTTAAGCCAAAAGTCCTAGCATAAGAACTTGCAAAAGGGTCGACATCCATAGTATAGCCGATATATCATATTCGCTGTTTAGCCCATATTTTCAACCTTGTTGTTCGAGCGATTTTTGAGGCTCTTCGAATTTCGATGGTAGAAGCCTCTACAGAGTTTGAGCCTTCTACTACTCGAGCTAAAGATCAAGAGGACTCTGACGATGATTTTGATACTGAAGATTCTACTGCTGGGGAAAATCCTTTTGGAGCTGTTATTCAAAAGGTTAGATACTTCACCTAGTTATAAGATTTTATATTAACATATATACCTCTAGATTCGTGACCTCGCAGTTTCCCTTAAGCTTTCTAGTAAGAAGACGCAAGAGTTTCTCGACCTCTAGAAATCGACTCGCATTGGCCAGCGACCACTACGCCTCCTCCGCGATGTTAAGACAAGGTGGAACTCTACTATACTTATGTGTCTCCGCGCAAGAGAGCTTAAAACAACGATTTCAGCTTGGGTTGAAAAGCACTCTCTACAGGAACAATTCTCTCTTGTGGAGACCGATTGGGAGGCTCTTGATATTCTGCTTGATATCACCAGCCCGTTTTTACTCTTTACAAACATCCTCAGCCGGTTAAATAACCTTACCCCTGGTCATACCTTTACTTTATTACAAGTTGCAACAGTTCACTTGTACTTTTGCGCCTCTGCACTTAAAGATAAAGTTACTAGCAAAGACTTTACTTGGATATCAATCCTTCAGGCTGCTACGAAAAAGGGCCAAGAGAAGCTGGAAAAATACGTTCAAAAGCTAATTGAAGAGGATTCCTTCAAGGTATATGGTATTGCAACTCTCCTTACCCCTGAAGCTGGGACATCAGTTTCGAGTACTTTTGACACGCGATTCCAATTCGCAAATTACTTCGAATACCTTCCTTCTTCAGCCTCACTTCGAACTCGAGTACAGCAAGAATTTATCGAGGTATATACAAAGCAGTACCATCAAGATTCGGAACGCCATACCAATACTCAAAAAGCTGCAACTGAAGGACTCCGATACACTCTGCATAGTTTACTATCACGCAGTTCAAAGAAAAGGGTATTTGTAGCAATCTATTGTAGCAACTCACTGTACTAACCTATTATAAGGGCAAAATGTCATCATCCCAAGACGCACGAAATATCTGTAATGACTTTTTTAATATTGGTAAGATAAAGACTTATATCTTACTAGGCTTAACAGCTAATAACTATATTTAGTTATGTTCCCTGATGAAACTGTTCAGCAATTTTGGGTCCGCCTAGACAATAGCTATCCCAGATTCCATAGTATTTGTCGCATGGCTCGAGACTTCTTATCTATTCAACCGACGTCAATACCCTTAGAGCGATCATTCAGCCTTGCTCGCCATATCTGTCACTACGCTCGGTTCAACCTTTCGGCTGATACTATTTTTGATACTTTGACTATCAAAATTAGCCAGAATAATGAGGCCTGGCTTTCCCAAACCACACTTAAGGAAGTTCTAGATGACACGAATATCACTGAAGCATCTGAAGAGCGCCAGCATATTATTAGAGAAGCTTTTAACTACTCTTCTCTATTGGATAAAGCTGATATTCAGAGATATCTGAAGGTCTCTGATGATCTTACTAAGATCTCTATTACTGCTACAGGAGATGCTCCCTCCCCGCCTCCTTACGAAGTCTCAGTAGAAGAGGAGGATATTAGCGATAGAGATGAGGAGCTGCCATCCTTATCTAGCTCTCAACAGCCAAAACTATCGAGTCAAGTTTCCCAACTTAGCAACTCACCTACGCCTTCTGTATCCCAAGAACTCCCAAACTTCTCCGAGCTTGGGGGTCGCAAAAGGAAGAGACTTACTCGGCTAGATCTTGTCGAACTCTCTCCTGACGAGGATAGCGATTAAATATACATTGTTCCTCTGATTTCACTCCGACTTTATCGTATTATTCTCTATTAGTTTCTTATATTTATAGTAATCTATTCTAGCCATCTATGTTTTATGTAACTTACTCTTTCTCCCTATAACTAACTAGTTATATTTTCTTTCTATCTTAGTTACAGTATTTCCCGCGTTTCTTGTGGGTAGCAAAATTACCCGTGGGTAGTGTAACCCATGGGTCGTTTTACCCACGGGCCTTTCAACCCGCGGGTAAATATAGTGGGACTGCCCGTGGGTAATTCGGGTTTACCCAAACTACCCACGGGTAGTTTTGGGTACTACCCATACGGGTACCCGCGGGTATTACCCAACCCTATCCTTTGGCTATTAGCCGATGCACGACCGGCGCTGGTAAAGGCCATCGTCGCCCTTGAGCCCTTAGGCCCGCCATTCTCCAAGGTCACTATTAGAACGGCGCCCGGGTCTCCGTACGGCATTTCCAATGCACCGCTCACGTATGATCCCCCGGTGAATGATCCCGCCGTGGATTTGGTACGCTGTCAAGTCAAGGCGGGGGTAACGGGCCTGCTGGATGGACTGTTACAGGCGAGCAAAAGTGAGCTGCCACCACGGAAGCTTGTTAACCTACGAGACGTTCTCGTTCTGGTGGTTACTGGCCAGGCCTCCTACCACGCCCCTTACGATTGGTGCACTGTTGAGTATTTGCGACAAGCGGGGGTAGACGCTGACCACCTGAAATTAGAGGACGTAGGAATCCTCGGTAATGGGCACATGATGTTCCTTGAGAAGAATAGCGACCGGGTAGCTCAGGAGGTTCAGATGTGGCTGGAAAGGATCTTGACACATTAGACATGACCGTATCTGAAAGCGCCTCATAGAAATTCAACGAGTACAGGTATAGGCAAGTACACCAAATGATATCCGTAAAAGAAGTGTTGTTACCGCCTCCAGAGTTATCCGATTTCTCGTTGGGAAAGCCTGCTCTTAGGCTAGTCTGAGCGGCTTTCCATCCACTGCACATTAAAAGCAGATGTTTAGGTGTCCGACCAGGACGCAGTTTGCGGAGCAATTGAACACCAAGCTCGTTGACGGAATATCATTAAAGTATCCCTTACTCGTCTTATGTCTGCAATGACGCTAAAAGGATTGAAATCCAATATACCCGCCCTTGGCTATCTTAAATCATGCTGCGCTCATGAAATCAACTCTCTTCGCGGCACGCCATTCACTCTTCGTCGTGTTGCATACCGATTTCTGACTTGATTCAACCGTGGAGCCGCAAGACCCGAGGTTTACGCCAGCAAGGTAGTGCATGTGGCAGCAACAATGAGCTTCGTATCCGCGACACACCAAATGTGAAAAGAGTCTGCAGAGGCGGTGCTTTTACTGACTTACTAACCGCTCGAACCATTCAAGAGTTGAAGACATTTCGCTATGAAAAAGGAAAAAAAAGTCAGTTTTCTAGCCTGGAGGTCAAAATCAAGGTCATTTACCTGCAACCCTCCAGCGCTGTGAAATCAGGCCCAACGCTTCAGTGACTAACTGCAATGTTGTATCCGCTCCCTCTACAACATCGCCCTCACGGACAAACCATTGGCATTCAGTGGCGATATCGTACAGAACCTGGATGACCAACGGGCTCAGACTATTGAAGTTCTGCGCAGCTTGTTGAATGACGACTGATGCGAGCATAGGCCCACACACTGAAATAATCTGCTTCAGTCCGCGTATGGATACATTCTGCATTTCACTTTCCTCTGGCAGTCGTTCTCCTACAGCAGCGGGCTGTATGCAAGCGTAGCCATGATACAGAGTTAGTCGCGCGACCGTGCAGAGAGCAACATCTACAGCCGTAGCGGCAGCATGAAACGACTGGGAGAGGTGCATATCGAGCGCCGACAACGTCGCTTCTAGCTGAAGTGCTTCATTTAGTATGTCTTTGCTGACTAGGGAGCCTTTCCTTGAGCTTCTGTGGGAGAGTACTCGTCCGAGAATATGTGATGCTTGACAAACTCGTGCGAAAGGACCAATCTCTGAATCAGTGGAGAAGCCGGTTGTGTATAGAGGTTGGCTTGTGCCTATTGATCCCCGAAACCAATCCAAGTCTGACGTTGGTAACAAGTCGCCCTGAACTGGCTCGGGTGTTGCGAGCGGAAGACCTACAGGGCCGAGGCTCATGTAGCTGATTTTGTGTGTAAGCGACCTGTGAAGTCAAGAGCAACTAACGAAGAAAGCACTCGTCGGTCGAAAGTGCTGAAGATAGACTGACCGTTCTAAGATTATTGTAGCCCACCATGTTCGACGCTCTTCTTCCCAGTGAGTCCATGTTGGCGGAGTCTGGAAAAGTTGGGTTGTGTGGTTTCGATCGTGTACTCCTCTCAGAAGGCCGAGTCTTGCTGCGCGGCCTACGGTCAAGTATGCCGCAGGGAAAATGCCATGGCCGATTTCATAGGTAGCCATGAGAACAAGTGACTGGAAGAAGCGCATCGTCATTGGCAATACAGTCTCCAAGGTGCTAATGTACCTTCGGACAGCCTCGTATGTTGGTGACTCGATGGCGACCAAGTAAGTGCCTGCATCTGGTTCCATGACTAGTTTCATGCTGAGCAGCAAGAGGGCCAAATCTGCTGACAGCCCAATCTCCAGATCCTGCCGCAGCTTCTTTCTGCTCACGAACGGGAACCAAGGGTCGATAGAACTGAAGTACGCATTGCAAACCGATACCAGGTCTTGGCCAAGTAACTCTAAAACATACTTGGGTACAGAGCATGTCCCGCTCAAGGAATCATGGGAGACGGGTTGAAATATGTCGGTATCGAGAAAGAAAGTAGTAGGGAAAGACGAATATGGCTTCGTCGTGCCGCTCCAGATCTCAGAGTCGATGGATGGCGTTGGCGTAGATATGAACTGGGGTTTTTCAGATTCCCCTTGTGGCGAGCCATATGCTTTTCGCCCTGCTGGATACTGACATGTTTTACCCAGTCGAGTACACTTGGACAGGTAGTCAGTCGTGGTCACGGTTCAAGGGTTTGAATGAAAACCCAACTAGTGAACAAGAAGGGAACTCCCGCGGGCATTTCCTCTTTAGACGCCTGACGAGAGGTCAGTATGCTTCAGGCATCAGCAGCTTTGGGGTGAGACGTGCCTACATTGGCGACAAGACTGAGGTGCCATGTCTTTCACTCTTTCCAAGTGATGCTCAGAGCTCGTGAAGGCCGAGGACGCCATGTTTGTTTGCTCAGAAGTGACCAAGTACACTGGCCGCTGAAAGAGCGATGTTGCAAAGGACAGCAGGATAATTAGAACCTTAGCTGTTGTCCGCGTGTTCATTGGCGAGTAGAAGCTTCCTATCTACGGAGAAAATAGATGCGTCAGAGGTTACTATGCGAAATTAAAAGGTGAGCGAATAATACAATTCCTTTCATGTCTTACTTGCAGGAGTGATGCTGACTTACCCCGATGCCGCTAACTGAGTTCGGTTTGCATCTCGGGCGGCGTTATAGAACGCCGATACTGAATTTTTTCTGACATTTCGGCCTTTACAGTGCCGTTAGGGACGGACATAAGCCCAAAGTCCCTCGCATCCTAAACATGACGCTTCTCCCAGCGCCCTCCCTCATCGCTAAGCGTTGGGGAACATGGGGCAGGGAATATGCACGAGCGGACAATTGGGTACCCTCAAGCGGACATTTCACACCACGGAATCCTTCCAAAATTGCCGCTCTCCCCTCATCGCCAGCGGACAATTTGAGTAGCATCGCGGTCGCTTAGCATCAACATGAGGAGCGGACAATTCAGAAAACACACAAAGCGGCAATGGCATCATGCAGGATATATCGCTTTTTGGGACAGTCAAATCCTCCCGGCGACATTGGACTCACAGGATATAAAAAGGGCTATAGATTCCTCTGTTTGAGAAAAGAAAATAGAACAGCATCACACACTTGAACAGTAACTTAATTGAACCCATCATACTCCATCCAAGCCCTTATCATCGATCCAAATATCACACGCATCTCTCGCAATGGACGCCTTCCACCCCTATGCCAATATCTTCGCCAACCCTAAAGGCCCTGGCGATGCTCGCCCTACTGCTCTTCAAATCATTCGCGACAACGACCTCACCAATAAGTGGTCAGGCAGGGTTATCCTCATTACCGGCGGCACGTCTGGTATGGGTCTCGAGACGGCGCGTGCCCTTCATACTACCGGTGCCGACATCTACATCACGGCTCGAGACTCCGCAAAGGCTAAGACTGTCATTGAAGAAATCACCAAATCATCTGAGGGAAATGGCAAGCTTGAGTCTATCGAAATGGACATGAACTCTCTCGACTCAGTCAAAAAAGCCTCGCAGTCATTTTTGGAAAAGTCTGACAAGCTTAATGTCCTTATCAACAATGCTGGTAAGTTGAAAGATCTTTCCAATATCAAGTTCTTGACTGACACATGTTCTCCTTAGGAATCATGGCCATTCCGGAACCCGCCAAGACAGCTGATGGCTTCGACCAGCAACTTGGTGTAAATCATCTCGCACACTTCACACTCACTACCTTGCTTCTTCCCACCCTTATCCGGAGCAGTACAACCGCCTTCAACTCCCGCGTTGTGGTCCTCACCTCTTCAGGGCATAGAGCTTCATCAATCAACTGGGACGACCCAAACTTCAGCCAAACCGAATACAACCCTTGGGTCGCGTACGGCCAGTCAAAGACGGCGAACCTCTGGATGGCGAACTACATCGACCGCGTCTACGGCCCAAAAGGCGTACACGCTGTTTCCGTTCAGCCCGGCATCGTCATGACGGGATTGCATGCGCACGTCGACTTGGCGACGGCTTCATCTTGGCAATCCGATGCAGCTGTGGCAGCTGAGGTGAAGACGCCAGCTCAAGGCGCGGCGACTTCTACGTGGGCTGCTACGGCGGACGTCTGGGAAGGAAAGGGAGGAAAGTATCTTTATGATGTCGGAGTCAGTGGTCCAGCAAAGGACTTGGCCTCCATGGCGGACTTTGGCTACGCGCCTCACGCATTTGATGAGGAGGGAGAGAATAAATTATGGAAGTCAAGCGAGACTTTGACTGGTGTTCAGAGTGAACAGTAGGGGACTAAAACGGCATTTCATTTTGTAAACGCATCTACAAGTAATCTTTGAATTGTATCATTATAGAGCTTAGTTTCAATTTGATCTATAGAACGCCGACGAAATCAGGTCTGCAAGAAACATTATTACACACACTTTCATCCAAACGCAACAAGAGACCGCTCATCATAAGTCTACGTTGGTAAGAGTCAGTCACATATTTGCCAGCACATCACAGCTCATTGATCGAGGGACGATAAAGGTTACGGAAATTGATTGCACTCCTCAGGCGGCTTCAGTAACGACTGTATAGTTCTCCCGGTTGCTCTGAATATCCAGCTCAAATCACTCTGCATTCGCCCCCACACATCTTCTAACGCTTCATGTATCTAGGCTAACCAAATTCAAAAGTGGACATTCTCAATGGTTTCGCGACGAAGCGTCTCCGCGTCCGCTTGGAGAAGGAACCCGGATCTAAGTTGGTCACTGATGGCCTGACCAGCCATACGTCGAAAGTTCACCACAGATCCATACAGATTTCGAAGCTTGTCATTGTCAAAAGGCCACTCAGAACCTAATTCAACCGGTCAGCCATTATTCTAATCAGGTTTGGGGTACAAACTTACCACAATACCAACTCGGTCTTCCTTTGGGGGTCGCTGCGACGATTCTAGATAGAGGTGCTTCTGTGTGCACGGTTCTGACACCTCCAGCGGCGTTTCCATGCTCATCGCGAAAAATCTCATCACTTAGGGCTATTGTCTGAATGATGGCGCTTGGAGGAGGCGATATAGCCGATTCGCTTATCCATTTCTCCATTCTCTCGAAGATGGCATGATAAATGAATGAGTTCGCAAATGTGCTCCATTTCGCTCCGTGAAGTTTAGCCACGGACCATCTGGCAAGGTCAACCTCGGATGCATATCTTGACTCCCGGTGCCCCATGCCGGCAACTTCATACAGTCGGAATCCATCGCTATCTGATCGCCGGTGTGAAATGTCCTTCATCTGGCCACCCACTCCACAGAGTGCTCGAACAGATAGAAACTCTGACTCGCCCAGGAGCTCCATGATCTTTGCTCCAGGTATGTCAGGCAGAGCCTCTCCACCTGATTGGCAGGGAACGAATGCTTCAAAGGGCAAGTTACCATTTGGCAGCCTCAAATGAGACGAGTGTGTAATGAAGCGTCTTGTAAGTCCTCCTGTCTGTGACAATCCGGTTAAGATTACTCGAGTAGCCTTGAGCCCCAAGTCGCCTGCCCGGAGGGCATAGGAAGCCTGGACAATTATTTCAGGACACTGAATAGTTGCTGGCCACCACTTGGCTTTGAATGAATCGTAAGCAATGCGAAGTGATTCCTTGGTGGTAACGGCAGCGTATGGAATCGACTCCTGAAACTCGTCGGCCAGCGGGCCTGGTATGAAATGCAAGTCTTTATATCTTGTAGGGTTTACCCGTTTGATTTTACCCAGTGCTGAAGGCGCTTGAGAGTCAACTTCCAACCAAGCATGCCCTGTAGGGATGTTATTAGCGATAGAATTTCACACAGTTCTGAGTCAGTTACCATTGCGCATAAGCCATCGGTTTATATGTCTCCAGATGCTTGTTCCACCCCACAAGTGTGATGGTTCTAGGATTACCAATCCAGTGAAGTTCGAAATAACAGCTGGACAGCGGAGAAGAATCCGGGTACAATAAGATTCTCCAGAAGCGATCCCGCTCAAAAGATACTCGCGACTGATGTAGCCATACTCTTCAAGGAGATCTACATGGTAAGGCTCAATGATAACAGCGTGCGATGTCACTGTTTCCGGAAGAAAGGTTGTTGTTGGTACTGGAACCCGAATCTTGGGCGTTGGCTGATTCGTCATGGCAAGTATGGTGGTTACTTAAGATGTTATAGAACTGAGGAGCAGACATAAACAAAATACGCACATCATGATGTTTAAATAGATCAACTGCATAGTTTTAACCACATGATTGTTGAACATTTCGCGAAGTTGCTGGTTGCCGACAGGATCCCGTGACCAACTACTTACAAGAAATGCCGATAGTGTCACATGACAAGGATGTCCGACATTGTCGCTTGCCAACATAGCCAATAAACCTGCTTACCGACAAGCCTCACTTGGGTAGAAAAGCCGATTCAGTCGCTCTCCGCGTGTCGCTTATCACTTTCCTGTCGTCAAAAGGGCGACAGGTGCCCCAACCTCAAAATCCAGACGCTTCAAAAGCATAACCACACAAGCTAGTGTATAGGGTAACATCGATTATACCTCAGTCCACTACTGGTGTGTTTGCGGAAGACTTTTGTAACGGTTGAAGACAGCAAACATGAAGGCGACCCTCAAAGGTTCGGGCACCGATAACTGTCTGCTCATAACGTGAACTGACCGCAAGGCTGCAGCATGCTATACCTGCAGAATACGCAAAGTTCGGTGTGGAGGACCTACGCCAGTGCCAGGAGCCAAGGATGGCTTGCCCTCAAAGTGCGCCAACTGCCGGAGGCTTGAGTTCCAATGCCAATGGAAGCCACCAGAGATTGGAGAGAGCTATGTGCCCCCGCCGAAACGAAGACGGGCAATAGGGCAGCGGCGGCCACGATCACTAGCGAAAACCTCAAAATCCCCTTCTGTAGCAAATAGTCCCAACCCGGAATCAGTTGCAAACGACAAGTGTTCGGCTTCCGACATTCCATTGTCTCAAGGTGTCCAAGAGCGTCCGCTCGACAAAGATGGCTGTGATCCAAGTCAACCTTTTAGTCCTTCTGTCTACCAAACAGGCGCCTTTGAACTAGACTTCAAATTTGAAAGCGAGTGTTTGGCTTTCAATCTTACAGGAGAGGGCTTGGACGATTTCTTTCCTTTTTCAAATACAGACACCTCGCTTCTCAACCTATCTGACCCCTTAGCTGTTATCTCAACCTCCACATGGCAGCCAAACAATGACGCTGATCGCATCATTCGTCCCGGCTTTCAATCTCAGAGCACTGGAGACGTGCCGTCCGTTATCAATGATGACAATCGTCATCTAATTCAGCACTATCTCGAGGTCATGAAAGGGTACTCGAAGGTGGATGATCGTCCCAAGGAGTCAAATAATCTCTTCATCTCAGCATTTACTCAGTCCCTGACTTTTCCGCCCCTTCTTTACGCTATTTTGGCGTTTTCTGCATCCCATCTATCAATAAAAGACCCGCTCTGCTTTGAGCAAGCCAACAAATTCAACAAACTTGCAGAAGAAACCTTCCACGAACACAAGAATCTCCAGGGCACAGATATCGCCAGCCTCCTCGGTGCTCTTTTCGTCCGCATTAAACAAGTGCATGTTATGGGTGGCTGCGTTGACGACTTTTTTGATCTCATCGCAGCCGCAGTCGACATCGTGTCAACAAACGCTGGAGAAAAAGCACTTGCAGATCCCAACAGTCTAGTGCGACGTATCGTCTTGCGGCTTGCTCTTCTAGATTCACGGGCTACCTGCTTTGGACTAGGAGGCGGTCAGCTTGTGAGGCTGCTCCGGCAGTCACCTGCGTTGTCGTCTGTTTTTAACTTTCACGCCTCTGATTCCTCTACTCCCTCATATAGCGCAGCCATGAATTTGCTTCGAGCAGATATTCTTCGCAACCGAATCGGCGAACTTGATACAAGACTCCAGGAACAGTTGCAGGCAGAGTTCTTAACGGGTCCACCCATACGGATGGACTATGTCAAGTCTCTGTACGACGATATTCAGCGTGAACTTGATCGCTGCGATCACGAGGCACTATATTCTTGTAAAGGACTGGAACCGAATCATGCAATGGGCGAAGTCCTTGAGTCGGCTCAATACAATTATTATGCTGTATCCTCGGCGCTTCACTCAGCGCTTCTTTACCTCTATTGGGTATATGTAAGTACAGGGCTGAGCTAGCGATTGTCCACGCTGACCAAGTTAGCCATTACCATGCGTCAACACTCATACCTCCGTTTCAAAGATTCTACAGTATCAACTGAAGATTCAGCAAGACCCCTCTCGAGCCAACACCCCTACTTCGATACTGCCGTCTTCGCTGTTCCTGGCCGGCCTGTCCACCACTGACCCCATCCATCGCGACTGGGTGCTCAGATCCTTGAAAGAAGGAGAACAATGGGGCCTGTATATACGGAAGACAAGGAAATTGCTGGATGCAGTATTCAAGATGCAAGTTGCAGGTCAAAAAGTTGACGTCCGTCATGTAATGGACCAAGTTACGGGCAAATTCTTCATATAATACAACACCAAAGCAGAACGAATTTATAAGAAGGTTTCATCCTTTCCGAGTCCTGTTTAGTCAAACGGTCGGTTTATATTTACCGCCGGAGCCTTTGACGCTTTAATGAAGCCATGCAAACAGTGACCTGGCCCTGATTTATTCAAACGAGGTTATCCGTTGGCTCAGTTTAGTTGGATTTCATTACGCTGGTTTTGTTGTCTGTATGGTAACAAACATCAAAATCGGTCATCGACAAAAATAAAAAGTTGACAGACACATTGTCTAGCTTGCTCTCACTCTGTTGGAATTGAATCGATCACTTTTCGTAGGTGGATGCTAGCAGAACGTAACTCATCGCGCAAAAAAAAAAAAATCAAAACGAAATTCCGGAACGGGGAATTGAACCCCGAGCCTGACGGAGCTCTCGTATGAGAGCGTCAAATGTTGACCATTACACCATTCCGGATTTGCTTGTGCTAATTCTGCAATAGGTCCACTTGAGTAGCCCTAGTTTATCCAAGCAAATTGTCGACATGGCTTCTCCATCATGAAGAAAGCGTTGACGCTCCAGCAATCTTCACACCAGTTGCACTTAAGCCTGTCTGCCTCCAAAATATCAAAATTTACCTCAATTATCTTCTGCCTGGTGCATCCCCCAGAAATAACTCGGAGATGGGAGGCTTTGGCACCTTGACCAATTTGATAACCCACCGTGTACCTGAGTCAGCATCTTTTAAGGACTCTCGTCGACTACCTCTTAGATATTCGGGGCAGAAAATCCATGTTTGTATTTAATTTGGTTATGATAAAGTAATGGCAGTTGTCTCTATTCGTACCATTGTCATAATTGCGCTGTTATTAGTCGGTTGACCACTAAGATAAAATCAAGGCCGGCTACGGTGAAAGTAATTATTATCTCAAGCAATACCAACATCTTCTTCGACTGAAAAATGACTAATTCCGTCTCAAGTATCAGTCAATGAGCGGCTGCCGAGCAATTTGAGTGGGCATTCGACCAAGTTCAGAATTGTGATGTCATCTCGACCTCACAAAGACGTGACACGGAGAACAGCTCAAGTACTTTAAAAGTGCTTCTCTAAAGACAACATGCAAGATTCCGTATAGTTCTAACAATTAATTGCAAACTGTCTCCCAGTACGCATTATTTGAAAGAAGCAGAAAAAACTTACCCTGAATTTATATCTCCCACATATCTTAGTGAACAACAATATGTCTGCCGGTGTGCTATCCCGAGCCGCAGGCCGGTCGGCCTTACTCCGAGCAGCCCCCTCCACTCTCCGCCCGGCGGTTCCCGCTCCGCTCGCACGGTCCTTTGCGGCGTCAACGAGTGTTCCGATGGCAGCTCCGCGACCTAGAGTCATGCTTGAGGATGAAAAGGGTTACGGATTTATCCGTCATAACCCACGCGATCCCAAGCCGCGCACCAAGTCCGTCACCGAGATTCGCGGCCCTTATTACTCTGTCATGGGTAAGCGGTATCTCGAGGATGTACTCGATACGTGAGTCGGCGACTTCTCCCCTCCGTCCCAAGTCAGATAGACTGAACAAAGTCTTAGGATGGGCCACTATGTTGACGGCCTCAAATTCGCCGGTGGTTCATTCTCGCTATTCCCAGAAGAGAAGCTCAAGGAACTCATTGACCTTGCGCATCAACACGATGTCTACGTTTCAACGGTATGCCTCTCCAAGTCACATCCCTTCATGAAAACGGTTGCAAGCTCACACTTACAGGGCGGCTGGATCGAACACATCGTGACCCAATCCAACCCCCAAAATGCCGTCGATCGCTACCTTGAAACCTGCAAGCGGCTAGGCTTCGACGTGATCGAGCTCTCAACAGGCTTCCTTTCCCTGCCGCCGTCCGACTGGTTCCGCCTCGTTGAACGAGTGCAATCAGCCGGTCTCATTCCCAAACCTGAAATCGGTATTCAGTTCGGCGCCGGCGGCGACACGGCGTCGGCTGACTTGGAGAGTTTGGGCAGCCAATCAGACCCTTCAAAGGTGGTCGACCTCGGCAAAAAGTTCATTGACATGGGCGTCGAGCGGATCATGATTGAGAGCGAGGGAATCACGGAAAATGTAAAGTCCTGGCGGACGGACGTGATCCAGAAGATTCTGCGGGATCTGCCGATGGAGAAGGTCATGTTCGAGGCGGCAGACCCAGCAGTATTCAACTGGTATGTCAGGGAGTTTGGGGTTGATGTCAACTTGTTTGTGGATCATTCGCAAATTGTGCAATTGAGCGGTTTGAGAGCCGGCATCTGGGGCATGGCAGACACATTTGGCAAGATCACGACATTTCGATGAGATGTCGGTTGATCGAAAGCTACAATTATAAACACCAAAGATCTATTGTTTAGTCAAGATGTATTCTTTTGAGGACATGGTATAGGGCCAAGACAAGAACATTTCGAGACTTGACCATCTTGTTGTAATTGAAACAGTATAGGCATGGGATTCACTAGTCGCCAAGCCTGTGATGGCTAGTTTGCAATCATCTAATCTTAACACTGCATGGAATGTGTAATATCCGTCTGATGAAGCCCACCTCTATTGCGAGAAGCATTACCAAACGGCGAGCATACGCGTCCTAAACCCCAAGGAAATCACCCCATGAAGCAGCCGGTGATCTGTACCTCTAGCGGGAAGAGGCCTCGTCATCACCTCACTTATCCATTCCGTGTTAGCCGGGCCTTACTCGCAAAACAGACTTCCTCCGCAAACGCCACCAGCAGCCCAACAGACCATTCTCGACGCGGATCCTCAATTAAGGAAGGGGGGTCTGGCCGTTGGTTACAAGGCGAAAATGGCGCCGGCGCCGAGTCGGCAGCCCCTATTCGCATCCAGACCGTCGCCCGACTCTCCTCCACAGCGGAGCCGCAAAGCCTGCCCAACTCCAAACAATCCACATCGGCATTCGCGATAACGGACACCACTACTGCAATGCAACAGAAACACGGCGTTTGAAATCCTCCAATGACGGTGAGACACCGTTCCACGCTTCAGTCTTCAGGGTAAAGTTTCCAGGGGGGAACCAGACCAAGCTTTTCGGTTCACGAACAAGCCCAGATGTTCTTGGCACTGCTTCGCTACGGATGCAGAGTAAGGTACTTCGGCATCAAACAAATGACGTTGTTCATAAAGTAGACACTAAAAACCCAGTCTGTCTATTCAACAAGTCACCATAGAAATGTAGACAAAACAAATACAGTACGGCCTAAAACAATGTACAAGGAACCTACAACCGTGATATACCACGTCCATAGATCCCGCCAATGGGAAACCAGCAGACCTGTAACCGGTAGACGGCGTCGAAATTTCAACCAGGTGACCCCCCCCCCCCCCCCCCCCCCCCCCTAGTCCATGGGCAAATAATCAATTACAGACCTCGTCCCCAGATGAAACGAACGAACCAAGATCGTCAGCCCAGAGCACCCCGAATCTGGCCCAATTCCCGTCCGCAATATGCCCAGACAAGAAGCGCAATCCAGGGGGTGGGAAAGGGGACCCGCAAACCCGCCCCCATGCCGGAATGAGATGACGACTGAAGAAGCCAGGCCAGAAAAGAAGAAGAGGAAAAGAAAAAAAGCAGAGAATAATGACCAGTCAGTCCCGCGTATATTTTCTCTAGAGGGACCCTCAGTGGACCACCGTGCGAGTCGTCCCCTCGAGTTTATTCAAATAAAGTTGGTACCGGGACACGCTCGAATGAAACCCCCATTATTATTGTCTCCACCAAGGCCAACTTCAGATAGATTACAACCTGGCCACCCAGGGTGACCGCCGGATGGTTGAAGCGAACAGTACGGACTCTGAGACGCACAGTTTTTTTTTTTTTTCCCTTCTTCTTTTCGGCGGAGGCTGTGACGGACGCGCAATCACCCCGCGGCACAAGGTGGATTCTTTTGTTGTGCTCGGAGAGCGGAACGCCGCTGGGACATCCTGGTCTTTGGGATCTGGTTACTGAATCAGCGTTGCACGGGGACCAAATTGAATGGCACGATATCACGTAGATGGCTCTGCTTATGGTTCATGTAAATATTTGACATCTTTCTCACGTTGATTACAGAGGGCTCATCAACTAATAGTTAACTGATGCACTCGAGCCAATCGTCACAATCACCAAAACCACAGTCAAATAGAGTAGAACTTGTAAATTGGGTATATTTATCCCACTTTCAGCAAAAGCTTCAACCCCTAGGGCGTCTCTTGTCACCGGCCAGAATTACAAGATTTGGCTAGGTCTAAATGTTCCTCCAGCTAGCGGAAGTGAAAGTAAAGAAAGAAAAAGCAGATCTAGAGATCGGGGAAAAAAAAAATAAGGTGATCCCTAAATCATGAAAGAATAATGATGTTTACGCCGCCTATTGCCCTTTGCCCTTTCCTAAACGCCGTTCTTTGCAGCGGAGTACTCATGTAATTGTACGTTCGGCCGTCGTCAATGTTGGTTGGAAAAATAAAAAATGCACAGCATCCCCAATGCGTCGCTCCGCAACCGCTCTTTTTCTGATAATTCCGTAATCACACAACGCGCGTCTCCCGATGCCTCAAATGTTGAGTCCCTTGCCGATGCCCTGTACCGTGAAGCCGAGCTTCTCGAGCTCCGGTCCAGAGACGACGTTGCGGCCGTCAAGCACGAGTCGAGGGCGCTTCATGACGGAGGCGGTCCACTCCCAGTCGATCGGGTCGCCGAGGTCCTCGCTTGCGGCGTCCAATTTGCATCCCTTGCAGTCTTGAGGGCACTCGTTTTCGGGCATCATGCGCTTGAGGGGATCAAGGGGTGTGTCGGGAGCACCGCGGGAGACGAACTTCTCAAGCTCGACGACGTCCATCTCGGACAGGGGGGCCTCCTTGAGGAAAGCGGCAGCCTCCTCGCGAGAAGCCTCACCACCGCTCCAGATTGAGGAGCGGCGGGCAGTAGCCTGGGCCTTCTTGGGGTAGCGGAAGTGATACCAGGGGGTCAGGATGCACATGGCGCTCGAGCCGTGGACAGTTTCACGCCAGGTAGAGCGGACCTTGACCCGCTCCAGCACGCGCTCGTCGTGGATCGAGCTGCGGACCTCTTCCATGACCTCGCGGGGGTCGCAGCCGGGGTCGAAGATGGCGATTTCGCTGGGCATCTCGTGGGCGAGCTCGGCAATAATGTGGACAGCAATGCTGTTGCGGGTGTCGTTGGTGTTCTCCTTGAAGGCAAAGCCAAGGATGGCGACCTTCTTGCCACGCAGGTTACCGTTCAAAGCGCGGTGGACCTTCTGGGCAAAGCGCTCGCGCTGGTACTTGTTAATGTCGAGGACTCCCATCCAGTAGTCGGCGACAGTGTCCAGGTGAAGAGTACGGGCCATGTAAGTAAGGTTCAGGATGTCCTTCTCGAAACAAGAACCTCCGAAACCAACACCGGCGTGGAGGAATTTCTTGCCCAGGCGGGAATCAGCACCGATACCCTGGCTGATCTCCTGGACGTCGGCACCAAGCTCCTCGCAGAGAGCGCTGATGCTGTTGATGCTGCTGATACGCTGAGCAAGCATTGCGTTGGCGACCAGCTTGGTCAGCTCGCTGGACCAGGTGTTGACGGTAAGAATCTTGGACTCGGGTACCCAGGCGGCATAGACGCTCTTGAGGGCGTTGGCGGCGCGGATGCCGGCGGGAGTGGTAGAGCTGCCGATCAAAATGCGGTCGGGGTGCATGAGATCACGAACTGCGGTTCCCTCAGCAAGGAACTCCGGGTTGGAGACAATCTCGAACTCAGACTCGGGCTGGTATTGAGCCATCTGCTGCGTATTAGTGCCTGATTCTGGTAGCCCTGCGGCTCTATTTTTTTTTAAATGTCCCAACTTACAATCTCCTTGATCATGCGGGCAGTTCCCGTAGGAACAGTGCTCTTCTCCACGATGACGGCGCCGTTCCTTGCGTACTTGGCCACTGTCTCGCTGGCTCCCTCAAGAGCACTGAGATCGGCAGTGTAACCCGCACCGAGACCGTATGTCTTGGTAGGCGTGTTAACGCAGATGAGGACAATGTCCGCCTCGCCGATGCATCGCTTTACATCGGTGGTGAAGGTGAGGTTGGGCTGGCGGGAAGGGAGCTGCACTGCCTTGCCCACCGAGGGGAGGAAAGCGCTCGTCTCGTTGGTGCCGTCGCGGGCGATGCGGACGATCTTGGGAAGACCGGCCTCGTGGATGGGCAGGTGAGGAGAGTTCCATGCCGCAATGCGGTCGGCGTTGAGATCGACGACGTTGACGGTGAGGTTGGGGTTGTGGAGAGCAATCAGAGCAGCAGTTGGGCCACCTGCAAGTTGTGGTTAGCTCGGATTTTTGACTACATCGAATACGAGATCTTGAAAAGGCAGTTTTGACGATGTGTGTAAGTGACACAACTGGACGCAGGCTGCCAAAGCACAGAGCAGCGCACCAGCTTTTTTAGAAAGCAAGACCGTCGTCTGTCGGCCTAATTTCCGAAATCAAGCTGCACCAGCTCATAAATTTGCCAGGACGAAGGTTTCGGCGAGTCAGGGCTAGGGGTGGATAGAAGATGATCTAAGGGCTGCTACCAAATCACAAACACTTACCAACAAAACCAGCGCCAACAAAGCAGACGTTCTTGACGTCCATAGGAGGGAGAGGGTCGAGTTCAGAAGAGCTCCTCGCATTGTGCTTCAGCTCGGGACTGCGAGGTCTGGAGGCGGGAGGAGAGGAATTGGGTGTTCCGTTGCTGGAGTCGGCATCGGAGTGCCCCGGGCTGAGGGCGGGCGACTGAGAAACCATGCTGCCGACGGTAGAGGATGAATCTGTTGTGATGAGGCCTACACGAGCGAAGCTTGCAGCCATCGAGTGATCTGCTCTGTTGGGCAACAGAGCCAGCGACCGGGTAGAGTGCAAACGGGTTGGCTTCCCGAGTGTTGAGAGGTAACGACTGGCGTTACTGGCGTTAGAGTGCGAGGCGGAACCGATTACTGGATTCGGCGACCTCGATAGAGATATCTGAGGATTCAGAAAACTGGCTTTTCACCTAAAGCCCGAGAGTATCGAATTAAAAAGCCTGGCAAGCGACCGAAAGTTCCGGCGAAGAGTGAAACGAGCGGAATAATGGTTGACGTTGCTGATGACCACGTTGTGTAATGGGAGGTGGAGGGCGGACAAGAGTGCCTTTTTGAATGTGTGGAGAGAGTATGGTGCTGGGGATCGATGACACCAGCGGATTCAAGGGTTGTGGAGAGAAACCGGTGGTCCTGGCTGGCAGAGACAGAAAGGCGAGACGAAGTTCCTGAAAAGTCCAAAGCTGAATTCCCTTGCTTTGCTTGGCTTCCTAAGCACTGCTTCCTTTTTTCTTCCTTTTTTATGTGGCTTCCCAAGTTGAAGCTCTGGCAGTCTGGCTGAGTGAACGAAGGACAAGACAAGCCGGTTCAGAACAGTCGAAGCAAGTCACTGTGGCGGGACTTGAGAGGGGGGATGGGTGTGTGGGCGCGGATATCGGCGTGGAAGTGAGACGCGAAAGAACCGTATGAAAGCGAGAGTGGGATGAATAGTGACACTAACGCTTAAACCCAGGTTCACATGGAGGTGGCGCCCGTTATAAGAGGTTGACGATGAGGTCTTGGAGACAAGAGCAATGTCTTGCTGCGCTTGAAGCGAATGGATTGGGGGGGGGGGGGGGGGGGGGGGGGTATGTGTCTGATTTTAATGTAATGCGCCGAGGCACGAATAAGGAGGGCGTGGAGCGAGTGGCAGGTTTATTCAACCTGGGGAATCATCAATCTCCAACGAAGGTGAGGAAAAATGTACCACAAACAAGCGCAAGTAACAACAGGCGACAAAGCGGGCTGGACGATCCTGCAAGTGGAAAAGGGCCAGCAGGGCACAGGGGCTCTTTCTTGATATATTCCCCAGGGTCTTGGCTCTCTTCAGAGGTGTCTCTCTATTTACTCCTGCTTTGACGGTGCAGGCGGCGGCTTGTAAACTGTGGACCACAGCATTGGATGGTGGGAAAGGGGATGGGTAATGGGATGAGATGGGATAGGATGGGATGGGGATTGCAAGTGGATTGGATGGGCGGGTGAGAGGAGCATGGAGAGAGAGAGTGCGTGTGAGAGAAGGAGATAGGCATGGCATGGGCATCACATCCTTGCAAAAGAGAGTACCAGGAAGCACCACTTCCCATCCATCCCAGCCGAGAGAGACCGGACCACAGTGTGCTACGTATACATAGTACATAGAGAGGAACCAGGACAGGGCAAGACGAGGCCGGGGCCAGGTCCGGGTTGAGGGCTTCCTAGAATAGTGAGGCGTCTCAACTGGTGGTTTATGGTACGTTCAGTTTATTGTCGTTACCTTTTGCTCATACCGTTGAGGGCTGAAGCTGAAGACTCGGAAGGCGGGCACATACACAAAGTAGAATGTCGAGGTGATGTGAGGAAGTAGTCGGGCAAAAGCAACGATAGACAAACTACAGGACGAGAGGGACGAAGAGACAATGCCCCTTCTAGGTGATAATCGCCAATTTTCGCCTTCGAGACGCTTGGCCTTATCGCACGGCACCGTTTCCACCGCTGGAAGCTTGGCATTCGGTACACCAACCGTACCGTACGTACCCAAGACTCCTCCGCCTTGCAGTAGTAGCGGAAGCAGAAGCAGTTGGCGGACAGGATGTCGGGCTAGGGATATGGGGCCCAGTGGGCATGTTTTACACATCCACGCAGGAGAGCTGTTGTCATCGTCGGTCGTTTTCTGCTCACCGGCTCAGCTTGCTTTGCACACATATTCACTCATGAGGCAGCGGTATACCATTTACTGCCCACCTAGGAGAAGCCGGGCTGCTCCGGATGGCCCGCGCTGCGACAGTGGCGGGATCCCCCGGACAGTCGCAGCATCATGAGGGACGGGATGGCGTGGAAGGGATGCGTGTCCTCCGTTTTGAAAACGAGGGGCTCAGGCGCTCTAGTGTAGGACAATAACGGGAACACCTTGGCCCGGTCCCTGAAAAAGAGCTTTCCTTCTCAGGGGGCCTAGCCCATCATCGGGAGGCGACGGCGATGATCAACGATAAACATGAGAGTAAGGCCCTTGAAAAGGGGTCTTTGTCTCAAGCTTTTACAGATGGATCTGTAACCTGCAAACCACAGCCTGCGCCAATGTTGACGACGAGAAGTAGCGGTATCATTTTACAGCCGATGGATGGTTACCGTTGACTAATGACAAGTCTCTCCATGACGCGGTCCCATGTCTGTGAAATGAAAAAGTAAATGACAGCCCAACAAGAGGGGGAGGCCATAGAGGAAAGAAAAACAAGGGCAAAACGGATTGGCGGGATAAGCAGCGAACGAATACGCTCCAGTTTCCCCAAAGTTACAGTGGCTCGCTCCTCCATCAGTGCCAGGTGTATGATATTGCCTTCCTATTTCTGCCCCATCCGATGACAGGTACATTGCCCCATTGGCTTCCACCGGTGCCGAAGGATGTACCTGATCGTCTGGAACATTAGAAGCGGGTGCTGGCTGGTGCCATGGAGATTGGAGATTGGAGATGAGGGAGGGGGGGAAGACTCCATCACTATGAAAGTGGTACAGTGCCAGTGCACAAAGAACCAAGTACCTGCTGCTGCTGGCCTCCAAAACTAAGCTCAAGAAAAAGCTGAAATTTAGCGGCAGTTACAAATACATGCTACCGCTATGCGTAGGGGCCACAAGCTGCCTGAGAGTAATAGAGATTCAGCACTCACTGCGAGTACGTACCGCGCGGGTATCAGTAGATTCCCATGTCCGTGTACTACTTGGTCTCTTGTAACCTTGCCTCCCTGCTGTTCTGCTGAATGGAGACGGACAGGTGGGCAAAAGCAGATTCGCTTCAGTTACCGGGGACCCTAAGACCAACGCTAGCAGGCAGTGTTGGCATGGCAGGCCTGGCAGCAAGGGACCTGCTTGTGTCTTAGCCGGCCCGCCTATTGCTGTCAGGCCTGTCAAGTCAAAGTCTGTGACATCATCTCGGTTGGTGGGCGGTTCTCGACCTTTGTGCATAGAGCTAGTCTTTGGGTTATGTGGAAGTGGTTTAAGCCGCAGCAAGGGCTTTTTCGATGTTCCAGCGGTGCATTGGTGCCCGAGGGACAGTAGCGAAGCCAAGCAAGTAAGGGTGAGAAAAGAGAAAAAAAAAGAAACATTCGAGACACGATAGTGAGGTACCCTAGTGTGTTGTGGTGTGGGAGAGTACAAGCTTAAAGTGCCTCCACTGAAGTCCACCAAGACAATATCTCTCCATTGTCGCCATCAGTTCATGCACAAACTGTCCAATCTGACCAAAATGAGTTTACCCGCCTTCTCAGGCATATCGGGTGGCCTTACCCAAGTTCCCGATTCAATTGGTTGAGGTACTCCTTACTTGGCGAAGAAGCCTGCTCGTCAAGAAGAAAGAAAAAACCAAAAAAAAGGGTGTAACAATGCCAACCTTCTAGGAAGTGCCACTGCTCATCACTCCACCTGTGCAGCGACACTAATGTATCGACATATTCTGCGAGCCAGCATGGCCGTTACCATTAGAGGTAATCTTGACGAGACTCCACAGCTACTAGAAGCTGCGTGGTTCTGGGCGGCTATCCAAAATCTTAAGGCCACCGGCCAGGGAACAAGGTCATCTTCGTGATGGCCTCTCGGTCTCATCTATCACGAGGCCTTGGCTGCATTCGTTACCGCGAGTTGAATCCTGCCAACGGCCAGCAAGTACAGTAAACACGAGAAAAAAAAGAGAGACCTCTCCCCCACCGGTTGACGCCATATCCACAGTCTGTTTATTTCGGCTTCATCATCGTCATTGTTGGTCATCACTCACGGTCCACAATGTAACTGAACTGACTCTCTCCGTGTGGCCTGCTCGTCGTCAGATTATGCCCACAACGGCCGCTCATGAGGGGGACTAGGGGGGGAATAATCAAGACTGTATGCGTGCCAGTCATGACGGTAACGGTTCCCAGGCCCCCATGTCGCGCGCCCATTCTATTGCCGTCGTCGAAACATGGCAGTTGGACTCCCAGCGCTTCGGAATTAAGGTAGTGGACTGGGATCGGTCTGATACTCTCGCTGATCGCCATCATCCGTTTGCCCTCATGTTTTATCCATACAGCCCGCAGAGGGGTCATCCCAACCCTGCCACCTCATACAGAGAGCCTCCCAGCCCACTTCGGCCTCACTCATAGTGGCCACGGCGACGGCCAGCGATGCGGTACTGGCTCCGCCGGCCGATCTGTAAGAGATTATATCAAAACCCGTAAACGCTATCGCTCTTCTCTAGAAGCTGCTCTCGTTCGTGGGATGAAATTGGGGCGATTGGGCGGCCGGACTACCCCGAAACACCGGCTTACGAACCACTCTAGATGCCCCCCAAGCTTGCTTGCATCCTCTCTCACCATGTACCTCCACTCCTCTGACTTCCCGCCTTCCTCTCCTCCATCGGAGTGGCGGAAGTCAGGAGATGAGGTAGGGGCATTGGAGAGGGGACCTCATTACAAAGTGCAATCACAACATCGCCTTGGCCTCAAAGTACAGGATTACCTAGACTGGTGAGTGGTTAATCGAGAGCCGATCATCTCGCCCTCCGACAGAACCCGCTGCTCCCCCAATCGCCAGCGCTCAGAGACAGTCTTGGTGCCAGCATAGTGAGTGACGGAAACTGTACATCAGCAGGGGTGGCCCAAGGGGGGGTATATGGCCAATGGGGGCCAAAATTGACGAGATACTGGGGAGGCGAAAAAGGGAAATAAAACAAAAAATAGAAATCATACCGGATATGAAAATGAGGCTCATTAAGCCAAAGTTGTGTGTGTGTGTCTCGCACAGATTGGGCCGGGAGGACGGGAATAGTAGCGCGATGGCAAAATACTTTTTGACTGAACCTGCGTCCCCTGCTGAACGCCATGCACACTGCAGGGCTAGCAGGAAAAGGCAGAGGAAAGACGTCCGATCTTCAGGCACGAGACATCCACAACCACGGGCTGGCCAGACCATTGAACAATTGCCGCAGCGCGGGGACGCCACAGTCATGCAGCAGGGCTTGCTGTTGGCTCGGTCTTGTCCCACACAGCACGAAGGCTGAGTCCAGGGAATGGAACGGACGAGCAAGGCAGCGTGAGCGAGAGACACAAGACAAGACATCAAACCAAAGGGGGGGAAGAGAGGACCTGAATCAGACACTGGACAGGAAGGGGGAGAAAAAAAAAAAACCCCAAACCAGGAAGGATTATGCAGGGACAGGTGTCATCAGCAGTAGGGAATCAGAGGAACAGGAGCTTGCGCATCTGTCACGGAGCGATGAAACTCGGGCTCCCCCATTCTGACGTGCTTTTGCGCACAGCCGATTGGGGAGCTGGAAACCCGATTACGGATAGGGAATTCAAACTTGCAGAGGAAAAGAAAATGACAAGATAAAATAATAAAACCATGATGGTAATGAAATAACGTCTGTGGGTACTTTGAGAGAGTCCCTCTTCGACGCAGGTGAGTCCAACACCTGACGAGGTAGATCCCCGTTAGATCGATAAGGCATAGGGGGGCGCACAGGGCCGAATCTGGCAACCGTAATAACGTAGACTTTCTCTCGTCTCGCTAGACATGAACCTTGGGGGGTCAAGAGGCACCGTTATCTTCTGCCCTCCAGGTGGGTTTTGTTTGCTGGAGCTGAGGTGCGTTTACTGTAAGCTTTCGGGGTCTTTTCATCTCGCGACTACCCGAAGGACCCGTGTAGGACTGCTTCAGCCGCGAGACGGTGCTGAAAAGTCACGCCAAGAGTAGAAATAAGCAAGCCCGTCTTTTGCCGGAGCTGGGGGGACAGTCACATCCGTATGCCGAAGCGTCTATACGCAGCGGAAGGGAGGCCACGCACAAACACTCACCATTCAGCTGCGTATGTACGCATACAGTACCACAGTACACACAGCCGTGTCGCCGTTAGCTGGTTCCCCCTTTGAAGGTGACCTCGAAAACCTGGTGTGGGTAGGCCCAGCGGACCGCCAAGCTGGCACCAGGGCGGAGAGATGCAGGTTCCCACCCAGACCAAGCCTCTACCCCTGTCACTGCTGACGACGCCTCGTTGATTACAGGCTCGGCATGGTGGATCGTGGGCACGGAACAGGACTTGGAGATGGGCTCGATGGGGCACTCTCTCCATCTTTCGTCTCGGTTGATTCCTGGTGTGGCGCGGCAGTCTGGAGCTTTAAGTGTGAGAGTGTGGACACCGGAAGGATTCAGTCGGAGTTGGCGGGGGTAACTAGGGGGAGAGAGAGGTTATGCGAGGCTGCTGTTCGGTGCTGTGGTCCTCGCTGGTTGATGCTCTTTTCAGGCCTGTGGTCGTCGTCTATATCGGATCGGACTCGGTTTGGTTTACCTACCGAAGCATTACAATGCTCGACTTTGCGCCCTTCGTCTTCCGCCTATAACCGCTAATTTTGGTAACTGTGTTTTTTTTTTTCCCCCTGATTCTCATCACCTGATGAATTTTTACCCGCCTCTTCCCCTGACCCCAATCCCGTTCAGGCTGTTGGCATCTTGACCCAGGTAATCTCAATCTCGTCTCGGCGGCTGTCGTGAAATCCATTCCGTCTGTTAAGAGCTGCATCTGGAGACACCCGACATTTGGCGTCAGGAACGTCGGTTACGGCGGCACTTTGCCCAGAAAAAGCGGCCCCCTTTTCTGGTTCTTCTCGGCGGAGTAGATGTAGGTGTTCATCGGCAGCAAATTGGGACCAACAATTGGGGTCATTGTGTGTGTTGGAGTCCTCCCTCTCCTCCGAAAGCCGTCCGAGTTGGTTGTCCAAGCTCTTGGTGTTCCTTGGTGTGCTTGGTGGTACAGCCTGCCAATCTTTCGGATGGGAGGGGGGAAGCGAAAAAGGGGGGTCTCTGTTCACCGTTGTGCTGGGTCGAAATCCGGGTTTGTAGACCCTGTAGTAGTGGTGGTGGGTGGTCGGGTTTCCCACATGAATACATCGGATCCTGATGACCTCGTTTTTCTTTCACGAGACATCCTCGTTTTTTGCTTACTCGTCGTCGATTCGTGTTAAAGAGGGAGTAGTCCGAAGCGACGAGGGGGGCGACGGCTGACGATTATGTACTTCAGCGGCCTGGGCTATACGAGATTCTGGGATCCCATCTCTGCCGTTCCATTCTGTTTTGGGGCAGTTACGGGTTACGAGAAGTGATCTTTGGCGGTGCCCGAGGGCTGCGAGGGCCCCCTCTAAGCGAAGTCTAGGGGTGCCTCTGAGCAGTGAGTGAGAGGCCAGGGGCTTAGTCAGTCTACGGTGGTCCAGGCCTTTACAGGGCGGTCGTTTACCGTGGTGAGTTTAAACTTGGTGCGGCTCTGAGATGAGATGCCCTGAAAGAGGCATCTCGCCTGCGTGAGTTGAATGCAATGAGGCCATATGAATGGTCGCGATAGGGTGAGTTTTATCTCATTTCCCAGTGCTCACTATTGAGACTCGCCCGAATACGGGTGATTTCCCAACGAATCTCAACGAAGCGCTCATGAGCGTTGTTCACATTGATGCATTTCAGTTCATGTTGTCTAGGATATCGACATTTTAAATGAAAGAGAATAATTCAGCAGTTGACGGAGACTACTCTGTAGGGAGCTGCAGAGCGAATAACCATAATTCTTTAGTGAAAGCTGCTTAAGCTTCTCCGTTGACTACACTCACCAAGCCTGTTTCTTCCGCCCCGCGAGTCCGGAATCTTCACTGGGGAAGTCCCCAATTATGCGGTGTGCTATGGGGAAGAAAAACTGGGAAGCCATCGTCATCATCCGCCTAGCCATGACACCCAAGACTTTTGGTGTTTTGTCTAGCGGCAGCCACCCTTGGACTCTACAGCATTTACGCTGAGCCGTCCGTCCATTGTTCACTGTCTGACGCGTCCGCAATATTTCTTCGCTGGTGGTTGAAATACTGTGACACCAAGATAATGCGTCTTGGACCCAAGTCTTCCAAGAGCTTGGCATTAGTCTACATTGAATGAAATGCATTTGGCCGTCAGTACAGTACAATGCGTGCAAATTCGCAAAACAGCATTCACCATCAACATCTATCTGCTTATTCACTCGCGTTATCTCTTATACCCATTTCGGTAGCCAGCGACTAACCGCAAACAGAAAATGAGCATTACCATACCAGGAAAGGCATTCAATGGTGGCCGTTGGACACAACCGGCTAGACGGCGCGGTGTGGTTGCTTATTCCCACTCACTTGGACTTATCCCACTCACTCTTGGTGGTACCTCATCACACGTCACTTGCCCATGCCAGAAAAAGTAGCTTTTCCGTGATTTACATACTGGGTTTTATACGCATATACCAGCCTACACGCTGACGACAGTCAACACCAAATCCTCTCTCATCTCATTCACCTGTTGACTTTGAGAATTCAATACATTGTCAGTAAGTGAATTTCATATGAATCAATCTCATCAGAAGGAATAATAAAACTAAACAAGGCAACAGAAAAGACAGTGACGTACGTACCTGGCATATCCGTACACTCACTCAACTCTTGGTACAGCCAGATCCGGACCTCCAACGCCCAGCCTTCGTCACTGCTCGCCGCCGCTCCGCAGTTCCTGCTGTCATTCGACGTGGGGGAATAAGCACGCAGGGTCTCGCTTCGCTTTTCGAGCCTGGCTCTTTTCGAATTTGTTTTTCCTCTTTCCCCAGTACATACTAGTATAGAACAACATCACGACGGTCTAGGCCTGCTCGCGTCCCCTTTTTTATCACCCTTCTCTTCCTCCTCCCCCACGTCACAAGGGAATCGACCCGTTTACATTCGCTCATCGTCCACCGCTCTTTAACTCCTCGACATCCGCAGGAACAGTCATCTCACACACCTCGCGGATCACTGGATAATACCCGCACAATGAGAAACGTCCTGTTTGCTGCCGCCGGTCTGGCCGCCGTCAGGTCCGTGTACGCAGACTATGATGCCACCATCTGCGGAAGGGAAAACAAGTTCACAAGCGACGATAACCAGTTCATCTGTAAGTGAGGAACCTCAAAAACTCTTTCACGTGAGCCTCATGCATTTTCTCCCGCACCAGAGGCTGACCCCAGAGACATGCAGTCCAGTCAAACGCCTGGTCCGCAGTCGGCGACGGCTTCCAATGCGTATCGGTAAGTCAATGTGACGTGAGGTGCTGCCATAGCATGTAGCCACGCGTGACCCTATTCCTATTCCTCTTCCTGTTCCTGTTCTTGTTCCTATTCTTGTATCTGTCTGCTATCCTCCGGCCTCCGGCCGGTCTTCACCCCCCACTGCTCTCTCCCCATCTCAAGACCCTGCATATTTCTCCCTTCACAACATCTCACATCTCAGACCCCTTCCCCTCCCCCCGATCACCCCGCTGATGCCGGCTCACAGGTCGACCAGTCCGTCCCGGCGTTCGACGCGCCGTGGAACTGGGAGGAGAACCCGGAGAACGTCCACTCGTTCCCCCACGTCCGCTTCAACTCGACCAAGCTGCCCACGCGCCTCGACGCCATCAAGTCGTTGCGCCTCGCGACCCAATGGACCATGAGGGCAGGTAACCCAGGCGACAGCCCGCCGCGGGACTTCTCGGCGAACGTCTGGTCGGAGAACAAAAAGAACCTCACGGGCACCGTCGCCAATGCCGCGTGGGACTTCTTCGTCGACAAGAACAAGAGCCGCACGTACAACCCCGTCGACGCTGAGGCCGAGATCATGATCTGGCTGGGCAAGGTCGGCAACCCGTACCCGCTCATGGGCGACTCCATCCTCACGAACATCACGCTGGGTTCGACCGAGTTGTAAGTCAATTTCACCAATTGTCATCCCCTCTGTAAAAGCTGCACAGCGCTTTCCCCTACCCCCCTTGTCCGGAGGAGTCCAGCGTAGAATGCAATCCTTCTCGTATTCAAAATCCATACTAACCTTGCCCCACCAATAGCTCCCTCTGGTACGACACCAACCAGCGCGAGCAAAAGGTCTTTACCTGGGTCACCCGCAACGGCGAGGACGTGAACGAGTTCGACGAGGACGTCACGCCGCTCTTCAACTACGTCCTCGAGTCCGGCGAAATCGACAAGGAGTCCTGGCTCGGTCTCGTCGAGTTCGGGACGGAGACGTGGCACTCCAAGGGGAACGTCACCTTCAGCGCCGCGCACTTTAGCATGGAACTCGACAACGGCGACAGCGGCAGCTCTGGCTCCGGCTCCGGCGACGGGGAAAAAGACGCGGCTGTCACGGTCAGAGCCTCTTTCCTGCTCGCGGCGCCCGTGGTGTTGATGTTGCTGTCCGCCTTCTGGTAGATGTGAGAGCGCGCGTGAGGCTGTATACGCGTAGTTTATTTAGTTCACGGGGTTTTAATGCCTTAGTAATTCATATCTTGCAGTCATTTTCGTCTACCGACTATTGACATAGTATCATGAACATAGTCCTCATGAACATCAATAGCCTTGTCAACACTACAATTCAAGGTGCTGAATTCTACACGCCACCTTCAAACCCATTAAAAGACTTTCAAGATGGAAGGACTACACGGTGAACAACTAGTCTCGATCCAGCCCACCTACAAGTTAAACCTGATCCGCAGGAACCTGCGTATTATTCCACGTCACCCCATATGCAAGATCGTGTATGTAGATAGTCGAGCAGTCGAAACCTTGGATATGCAGTGTATACCTGCAGAAAACCCCGTCGTTGAATCCCGGACTAGGCTCAGAACCACGGGTACATACAGACAATAGGTCTCACTCCTCTTTGTCTCACACATACGCAGACACCAAATTCCAGCCACATAAGATGCATGCTTTACAATCAAGGGCAGCGACAACCATCAGCTGCTTCGCACGCCAGTCGGGGGGGCTGGCTGTCCGATACGGGCATCAGTAGCCTCATCCACTGGCTGCAGCTTATGATGCACCCATTTGTAATGTTCAAAAACAAACCTGACAACTACTGGTGTAAAACGGGCATTATCTCATGCGCTACTACATACGATTGCCGCAGGCCGCAGACGATGCGCATATTACCAAGGCTGGGACCTGAACAATCGCTGGTTGACCCTTTACTCCCGTGCTCTGGCCGTGGCACCCAGCTGGCCTGCCTTTCTTGCGGGTTTCTTCGTGGCGCGTTTGCCAGTATGGCGGTGGTGTGCTGTGCCGTCACGCATCTCGCGAAGGAACCGGTCCCTGGGAGGTACATGCACCGCGGGCCTTGGCGGAATGGTTGGCATCCGAGGCGGGGGGAGGGCGGAGCGGGATTGGGGAATGGACTTCAAAGAGGGGCTCAGTGAGGCCAACCATGGAGGACATAATTCCATGGCATGTTGTCATCGAGATGAGCCCGCCGGACACAGGTCTCAAAACAGATTGGGCATGTTTTGACGTCCCGCTCCAAAAGCACTCATAAACATGTATACGTCACCTCAACCCCCACCAGTCAAAAACTGCAAATACCGAGCAAGTTGAGCAGGCGTTGGCGAAATATTGGGTGCTTATCTGGCGACATGCCTTCGTTTTGGCGCCTTGGCGCCCGTGCCGCCAAACCGACAAGGCCAAGAAAACGGTCAAAGATGAGGAGCCGTGGAGGGGGGAGAAGCCCGGCCGCTAGGGATTGGAGGGGAAGAAAAAAATATTTGCGCCGCTGTCGTGCCGTCAGGCCTGTCAAAAAAAAGAACCGAGATGAGAAGGTCATTTAGAGCAATTACGTGCTTTACGTGACTCTCTGCAAGTGTCACTTGTAGTAGTCCCTGTCTTGCGCAGTTTTGACTACCACGGTCCCTCCAAGTTGACCAGAATCCACGATTTCAATCCTCAAAGACATGATATTGAGGAAGAAATATTTGTTAACAGTTGATGACGGCGTTGTAGGAGATGCATCGTTGACGCATGTCGTTGCCTTGGCTCGTAAGTGAGAGCGGTGGTCAAAACGCAAGACAAGGAGCGGCCTGGAGTCTTTCTTCTCTAGTCTCGGCAGAGGCAACCCGGATCGGCGAAGCGGTTGGGCAAGTGGCCGACTTTTGATTTTGCGCGCGTGTGCAGTGGGGAAAAATGCCCTTTTGTTGGGTTTGACAGGGGTCATGGAGGAGCAGGGGCGGCAAGGAGATGGTGATTGGAAGTTCAGCGGTTTCGATGCAGAGTGAAGTCTCCCGATGGTGAGATGACTGGCCCAAGTTTGACTGTGCTCGCTGCCCAGATGGCCAAGATGCTTGTGATCTTGGAATCTGTGGGCTAACAGTCCGGCTGGCCCGGTGCCTTGCTTTCTGCAGGCTCCTGAAGTGTATTGGCTGAAATGAAAATTTCTTCTCATGCGGGTTCTTGGGATCTGGAGACCTCTGAAAATGCCGATATAGCCATGCAAATGTCCTAAACAGACTCGTCAGCAACTGGTAGTGGCGGGACCACTGCCACGCCGTCTCTCCAAAGCTCAAGGCTTGCCGTTGGCACGAAGCAGAGTCCACCCAAGACGAAGTGTCAAGAGGCACACACCAACGAATGAGATGTTGGATTAGCCTACGTAGTGGAGGCTGTCAAGATTACGCTTATTACGTTAGATGCGGTCTATGCACACACAGCAAACAACTCGGCCCAATGTCAGGAAAGTAAATGCTGGAGACAAAACGGTTTCTGTCTGGGGAACAGCGTGTGCGTGTTCGGCCCCCAATGTCTCTTGATCTACTCCACTGAGGCGTTCTGAGGTGGGACACATGCCAGTTGGTTGTTTAACAGCACGTATTGTTGATTCTTTTGTGCATGTATAGTGTGCTATGGTGTGTGGTGTTTGGCGAGATCCAAGGCCGGATTTTTGATTATAGGCCTTGCAACAGCGCTGTTTGTTACAGCGGAATACAGATGCCCACAGAATCAAGATGAGACAGGCCATCACTCACTATGACGAAATATCAAACTCTTGGAGAAGCCAGCCTCGTTTGTCTTATCGTTTGGTGGTGAGATTTGTTCATCTTATTGGCCCGGTTCCAGCGGCTAGGACGTTGGTTCAGGTTTTAGTGCATCTCATCGTTTGCAACCGCCGCTGGAATCCTGCTGGAGATGGCATTTGATAAGGACGGCTGCTGTCAGTGTGTCGGAATATTCGCTCTTCCTGGCCAGGGGTACCTTGGAAGCAGAAGACAAAGTCCAAATCGTAGGCTGGTATCAAATATTCCAAGTTTGGCGGCGGAAATGAGACGGTCGTGGCGGACAGGAAGGAGGAAGTGAGAAAGGAGGAACTCGCAGATACGGGTCACCATCATGTCAAGACCCCTGCCCCGACCGTCAAATAGCAAAAAGGAGAGGAGGAGACAGCCACCTGCCCGAGCTCACCACCCCTGCTCCCGCTTTCCGTGGTGGAAAAGGGTACGTACCCCAATGAGGTATCTTTTCCAAACTGAGTAGGACCGAAGACACCAGAACACGACGTGAAGGAAGGAACGACCTCACAAAAGACCACAGAACCCACAAGAGTGGCAGCAGCAGTGGTGGGCCTGTCTATAATCTGGCCGGGAAGGATCAGATACGATAACTTCGTCGTGACTGCAGCCCCCATGCACATACCACTGTGTACCTGCCTCACCAACCATGATCTCCTTCCCGCCGTCGCCGTCACTGAGGTCGCATGTTGCGTTTCCTTCCTAGGTCTGGGCAGGCGCAACTAGCAACAACACCAACCAACCCATGCTCTTTCCAGTGTCCACCTAGGCGGCTCTTTCCCTCTGCCTTGCCTTTTTTCCTTTTTCTCTTTGAACTGAAGCACATGTTTTCAGTAGATACCTTCCACATTTGACGTTAGCCACCGCAAAACCTCCGAGAAAACCAACAAGCAGAGCAGGGAAGTCATGCGGGAGATGAATAATCCCCGTTTTGAGCTGGAGTCTCCCCTGTCAGTGATGATGGCGGTGGCTTGATGATTTCTACCTTTTGGCAGGAGCAGGAGTCTCGGGTCATGTCCGCCGTTATTCCCAGTGTTCGATCTGATGACCATCCGTGTGTATGTTTCCTCCCCCACGTCCACGTATTCGTCTTGAAAAATTGGTAGTTACTCTTGGGAGTCACTCCCGTATACATGCAAGGTAATGTGTGATGCGGCCTTGGTATTTTCCACTCCGCAGAGACACGCTTTTTTCTTCTAGTTCCATTTTTCTCTCTCTCCTAAACCCATTGCTTAATGTCTTTACCATCCACCCCCCTGTCACTCGTCTTCCTTCTTCTCCCATCTTCCTTCATCACCATCCACTCGTTCCATTCATGACGGCCCTTTCCCCCTGCCACCAAGCCATGCCGAGAAATAACCTAATTCAGCTAGTGTAGACCATCTGCAGCTTCATGGAAACCTCGCATCCTCCATCTGTGGAGTTCGTCCGTGTCCCCCGTGGGTCGCCCTAAAAACTGCAGATATCAACGGTGCCGGACAATCTGACTTCACCTTGGCACTGATGTCACCAACTCGTCTTGTCGGGCCATGCCACCGCGGTACGAGACCGAGAAAGCGGGAGATTGCCCACGTATCCCTCCAATCGCCGTGTCTTGGTGACTGAGCTGGTAAACCCATGATCCATATCCAACTGTAGAATCCATGGCAACAACAGTAGTACTCCATACATGCCCATGTGCCGCTGGTCAAGAATCTACCTGCATCTGATTTTTGTTCAATGAATGGAGATGGGGAAATACACATACATGGTATCTATCGTCTGCCTAGCAAATACGCATCCTTATCCCGTAGCCCAACCTAACCCCCCCGTACCGTATTGATCCTTGTAAATCGCCAAAGAAACCAACGGAGAACTCACTCCTGCCCGCCTTGGCCTTGGGTCTCCTGTTTTTGCCTCTCTTTCTGTGATTGTATTTCCAGTAATTGCTGTGGTGCGTGGATGTGGCTTCCTCCCCCCCAGCCTCCTGCCGCTCTTGGTTGATGCTAACATTCACTATCTCGTTTCACCCTTCACCTCACTCTCACCTCCAGTCTCACCTGACGTCTTCATCCATGAACACTCGTTTTTGTCTCTTACCCCTTCACCCCTCCCATCTATTCCCCTCCACTCGTCTCCCCTCCACCTCAGCCTCCTCCTCTTACTCCGTCAACTGCCGGGTGGCTTGCCTCTGACAACCTTTTTTCTGCCTCCGTCCATTCGCTACTCGCACAGCCTGGTCGTCAGTTGCTGCTTGCTTTTGCATAAACTGCTCTCGTCACTACCTACTGTGGTCTCGTCGCCTCACACTCGCTAGCATTACGAGGCTGATCACCAAGTTTCACAACCACGTCTTCGGTCACTCGCTTCGACGACGTTTGCTGGATTTTGGTGCTTTCTGCCGCTCGTGTCTCGCTTTACCCTCCCCCGGCCTTTGTTTGTCCAGGCGCCGTTACCTGTTCATTGGGCATCGTCACGGGAAATCTTCGACTTTTTTTAAGCTGTCTTCTCTTTGACTTGCTTTCCGCTTGTACCCTTTTCCTGTGGTAGTTGGAAAGCACTTTCATATATTCATCAACATAAGACCGTTTGAGAACATTTCTGCTAGTTCCCGGTCACCCCCGATAATACCATAATGTCGCGTCCTTTCACTCCGAGGGGAGAAACCCCCGACTCGGGCTTGACGCCCCCGAATAATCCGTTTGGATCAAACCCTTTCGACACCGACAACGATAGCAGCGCTGTTGCCTCGCTTGCTAGTGATTCAACATTTACTGTGGTATGTTTGACCATTATTACTTGCCATGAACGGCCCTCCCAAGCTTTCCAAAGCATTGACTGATCTCCTTCAGAATGCTGTACATGGGCCTTCTCCCATAGACACGCCGGAGAGGTCAGCACAAAGAACAAGCTTAGCAGAATCTTCCAACCACCGCCTCAGCAGACCCGAAATTGTAGGTTATTTGTTCCGCATATCCAAAGCTGCGGAAGGAACATGGCTAACGTGTGCCTAGGAGCCTTCACCGTTGGCCAGAGAAGTCTACAGTGAAAAAGGTCACCAAAACTCGGCATCCGACACTGATATTGAAAACACCGCCGTACCGCCTGTAGTTTCCGATCCCGAGAAGGCAAATGAAAAGCATACGACTGCTTTGCGGCACTCTTCGGGTGAATCATTCCCCAAGAGGCTGTACAACAAGTTTCGCGCAACATATTGTCCCAAGGAAGAGCCGCCTCTGGTTCTTCCCGTCTGCCCCAATGACACCGAAAAGCTGACATACGTACACACGAACCGTATCCTGCTTTACATCTTTGGAGTCTTTTCTTTTCTCTCCCTTGGCGCCGGTATGTGGCTGTTTGCGCTGTCCGCTCCGGCGTTCTATTGGTATGGTGTCTTCGCCGGTGCCATGTGCATCTACCTCTTGATTTCGTACGCTGTTGGCATCATCGGAAGAGATTGGGACTACAAGGCCCATTTGGAGATGGTAGAGCGTTTCCCCATCACCGAAGAGAACGCTCCTACCGTCGACATCTTCCTGCCGTGCTGCTCGGAACCTCTCGAAATTCTAGAGAACACTTATAAGCACATTGTCAAGATTGACTGGCCTGCGTCTAAGCTTCAGGTTCACGTTATGGATGACAGTGCTTCGGATACTGTCCGCGCTCTTGCTGAGACATATGGCTTCAACTACTCTGTCCGCGATGATCGCCCTCGTCTCCGCAAGGCCGGCAACCTGCGATGGACATTTGCCCGTACCAATGGAGATTTCTTTGCCATCTTCGATGCCGACTTCTGCCCCCGTCCGGACTTCGTGAAGGAGTTGATTGTGGAGCACTTGGCCGACGAGAAGACCGCGCTGGTTCAGAGTCCTCAGTATTTCCGAGTCACCGACGACCAGACGTGGGTCGAGCAGGGAGCTGGAGCCACACAGGAGCTGTTTTACCGTGTCGTTCAGGTCAACCGCAACAGATGGGGAGCTTCAATTTGCGTTGGAAGCAACGCTCTTTACCGTCGCGAGTCTCTTGTCGAAGTCGGTGGAACTGCTGAGATTGGCTTCTCCGAGGATGTTCACACTGGGTTAGTAAAATTTTGATCAGCTTGAAATACTGTTTGTTAACATCGCACAGTTTTGGCGCCGTCGACCGTGGCTGGAAGGTCAAGTACATTCCCCTCTGTCTCGCCACCGGTGTCTGCCCCAACTCTCCTCGTGCCTTCTTCTCCCAGCAGATGCGATGGGCTCGTGGCTCTACCACTCTCCTAACCAACGGCCACTTCTGGGTTTCAAACCTGACTTTGATGCAGAAAATCTGCTACCTCTCAGGTATGTTTTGTTAGAGAGCATGCAATGTTCATGGCTAACCTCTACCAGGATTCCTCTACTACTCGGCCGTTTCTCTCAATATTTTCCTCGCCCCTATCGCCGGTACTCTCCTGCTTGCCATTCGCCCGGAGTGGTTCAAGTTCTGGAACTTGGCATTCGCGATCCCCTCAATTCTTTACGGTGTCATTCTCATGCGTGTATGGGCAAAGGCCAAGTACGGCTTCAACGTGCAGCACGTCATGACAATCCAGAGTTACGCCTACCTCACCGCCATCAAGGATCGCCTCTTCAACATTGAACTTCTCTGGGCCGCCTCAGGAGACGCCAAGGCCCATAAGAGTAACAAGTACCGCAACATGCGACTGCTCTGCATCTTTTGGACCGTCATCGTTACCGGAGCCATGGTCGGCGTCGTCACATGGCGGCTCATCAACGGATTCACCTGGTACCACCCGCTGCCATTAATCATCATTAACGTCTATAATCTGTTCATCAACCATTACTTCATGTTCTGCAACTGGTAGCTTTTTCTGTACCGCGTTGTGTCTACAGAAGAGGATCGACAAGGAGGGGGTTGTGATTAAAACTTGCATTATACATGGGCAATGGAGTCAGACATTTGATTTTACATAACGACAGGTGGACATTGAGCATGTCAACCGCATGGAGACGGCCTATACCATTTCACTTGGACTCGCGCATGAGCATCCGTCGGGGCGCATGCCACACACGGCTTCGGCAGCATACATACATTTGGCATCTTTGTAAATCAGGACGGATAGAGTGAGCGCGGGGATTAAGCGCCGCCGATTTTAGTAATAATAGTACATAGTAGTCTTCTGTCAGAAATAGAACACGAGATCCTGAGGAAATGTTTGTTTATTTGCCTCGAGAGGTTGTAGACCGTCTGACCAGCTGTTGGACCGACTAAATTCAAAGCTCTCCGTGAAGAATGAACTTTACTAACGTTCTAGGAGGCATTTTGAGGATTAAGTCATGACAATTTCGCAACTGCCACAGTAGTTCATCCAGGCAATAAGAGCGCTTGACAGCGCAGTCCAACTGATGGCCGTCTGTGAGCTTATGATTTACCAGACTTCTAACCAGATAAAGATGGCATCGTAGAGTTCTTAACTGCGTCGGATAGTTCTCCAGCAGATCTTAAGTTTTGATCAGATGTAAAAACTTGTTGCGCATTTGCGGAGCACTTGGCTTGCGGCTTTATCTAACAAAGAGCTGCTTCTACTACGGAAATCTAAGCTTAAGAAGACTGTTGCATTTGCCGAGCCTCTGTGATCCCGACGCACACAAATCGAGGTATTCCTACCGCTCAGTCATTCGACCCTCACAGCTAATCACATCCCTCATTCTCTGCGTCATAGATTCGACCCATTGGTCGATTGTTTTCTGTTCAACACGATCCCAACCAAAAATTACCAGCTTTTTCAACTCATTTACATCCCAGGTATCACGCTCTCCAATTTGGGCTTTCAGGGCCTTCCAGCAGTCTTCCATCACGGAGAGATCTGGCGATTGAGGCGTATTCAAATATCGCTTTAAGCCATGCTCATCTTTCCACTTCTCGACGATACCGTCAGACCCTAAACCATTCTTGGAGTCTCCATCTTCCTCGAGGACAAACTGGTGGCTGGCATCGATCCACGAACCCACTACAGGCTCAAGAACAGAATCGCGATAGGCCTGATGAGATATCTTGCCGTTGGTATTAGTAGGGCCTTCATAGAATATGAGGGACGATTTAAAGCCATGGCCGACTGCCGCCCATGCGTGGAGCCTCTTAACATCCTTCTGCTTCGGAAGAACCCGGTCCTGGGTACACTCTGGACAGTATCGCTCGCCTGGCTTCCTAATGATCCGTGCCTTCCCTTGAGGCCCGATGCTAAAAAGCAACTCATCAGCAAACCGGACATCGTGCCAGTCTTGCGGCCGAGGCCTCTTCTCGAGGGCGACTTGGGCGTCTTTGACCCTACGGGCTGCTGTATCCGACGAGACCCAACCTTTATCGCAGGTAATACACTTCCGATAGCCAAGAGTACCTATAGCGCGTTGAATAGTACGCCAACTGCAGGATGTATGAATTCCGGCTTCCCATGCCAGAGACTGCCATGTCAGAGCCGCGGCCTCAAAGTCTCGAGACCAGACCAGGTCTTCCATCGCCTGGAGATCCTCTTTGCTAAGGACCTTCTTACGGCCACGTCGTTCGGTAGTTTGGGTGTCGCCATTGTGCCGTCGGGCCCGGCCCTCGTTTAGAATTTGCCAGCCTTGCCGATGGCTTACGCCGGCATGCTCGAAAACCCTACTTTTAAAATAAGGGATCTTATATCTCTCCAGGTATGATATAGTACCTAGAACCCGGGCCTTTGTAGGCGTGTCATGTTGTGGATAATCCATTTTGATGGAGTTGAAGATTAGAGTTGATGGGATGGTGAAGTTTAGTGGGGGGTTAGAAGCTGTGAGGTCATTGTGAGTGCGGGGTTTTTTGTCATCGGCGTAGTAAGTCAAGTCTCTCTTTTTTACGGCCACAAACAACGGGGGCTTGCTTAGGTGTCTTACTCTCTCCAGTTTTTGGTATTTTGCCCACTAGTGAGTAGTGAGGGGTGGAGATTATAGTAAAACGGGAAAACGCACCCACTTTAGTACTAAAGCGCGCGATCTACTATTAAAACTCGTGCTATGTTAGTAGGAGGAAGAGATAGCGTAGGAAGTAAGGTGACAACCCTAAACGCGACGCGATCAGTCCTAATTAACGGGACTACGAAGCGAATAAGCAACTTCAGAAGCAACGGTGGCGGCGGTGAAAACAGCGTAGACAACGATGGCAGAGCAATACTTCAGAAGGCGTTGGAGTTACTTGTGAACTTCGCAAGGAGTACCATTGGCTGAAGGAAACGTTCACGCAGCAGATGGAGTAGTACGAAGCCAATGAAGACATGATACGGGCTACTGGAAACCCTCGGCGTAATGGGCTATATGCACCTTAAACATTGCTCCGGGCATGCGGATTTTAATATGATCCGCTGGAAGGATATAGTGAAGGCAAGCGAGGCGACCAAAACCGATAGGCGATTCGGCACGAGAACGGATTCATTCGGTCGGAAAGGGGTACAGTAACCAAGAGTAATAGACAAAAGTAGAATCTATGTATAGAGGTACCTAAGGCCAGGTTAAAAAGAGGCGAAAGGTTAAGGTCGGCACAGGAGTCGTATAGTTTACTGTGGCCAGGTCGTGATAAGCTGTGAGAATAGCTGCGTGCGCAGAGAGGTATGTAAGCGAACCTTCGTACACATCTCTGATCGTAAGAATAGCTGCAGACACAAGAGAGTGCGTAAGCAGACGTTATGGACGCAGACCCGAGGCCGTTTTAGTAGGGCAACTCGTCTCAACGTTTGAGCTTTACTCTGACCACTCGCAACTGCAGCGAGAATCCCACTTCAGGCGTCTGGGGAAAGTTCATCGTTTTCCTGACAATTCCCGCTTATTTCTTGAACAAAAAGAGCGTAAATTTGAAGCCATTGTGGTGAGATTTGGGGTGGTGAAGTAGAAGAGGGGCAATCCTGTGGGCGCGAATTTGGTTGTTGTGTGGGGGGTATAAACGGACTTAGTTTACATAATTATAAGAATAAGAGCCAAGTTACCCTGACTCTGGTGGGCGTATACGGTATGTTTGTGGCCAATTGCTAGGCGCCCTGATCGCAACACAGCTCTCCATTGGCGTATTTGGTTGGAGGAAGGTACAATAGTTACTTTATAGTCCATAGAAGCATCCCCCTCTGGTTTGGAGATTTGCAGCTTTAGGTTTGAAGGCACGCTAGGTCGCGAGTCAAGTATAGCCAGCGGTCAGCCCGCCTCTGCATGGAGGGAACTCTAAGATTCGGGTCCAGCAATATTTGAACATGATCAATCCATAGTTGAAACACGGGTAACGAATTTCAGACACGGCGTTCGCTGCCGATTTGATGGCGAATGCCCTACTGTAGGAGCATTCATACGGGGGATGATTTTCAGACGGAGCAGAGCGAGCCCTCCCAACAAATTCAGGCTTCTTCCGACTCTTTCGAGAGCGAAATAGAATATGAAGTCTCACCAGGTAATGGTCTGATAGTATGGAAGATATGAAGAGAGCCACCGAGCGGGTCTGGCGGCTACTTCCTCGTTCGAGGTTTGCCCTCGCATATTGAACTCGATGAATTTCTCTGAGTCCAAGGAACCCCTCAGTACTCCAACCGCAGTCTTCCCTTTGCTAAGATGATAAACTCGTCATCGGGGGGGGGAAGTAGGTCGGTTATCTCATAATAGTCGATAAGGGAGTCGAAGCATCAGACGCTAAGATTCGGATTAGGACGCCTAGCAATTAGACCTCTGCGGCATTCGAGGAAACTCTTCAGAATACGGCTAGACAGGGGCTATTATTGAGATACTGCAGCGGGCTGAATCTGGGAGATCAGTTCCAGAGAAGGCACTATTGCATGAACACCTTAATCAATCGGTTTCTACCCTTCATTATCTCATCGGCTTCAGGTATTTACTCTTTGATGGGGTCGAAATATGGTTCGATATGTCTGAGGCGAGCGCTGACATCCTCACCCGTTGCCTTACCTACGGTTGTGATTGATCGTAGACGCGGGTCTTCATACTTGCGAAACTTATCTATCTCTTCTCTCGTGACGTAGGGCTTTAAAGAGATAGTATCGTCATAATCGAAAGAGGCTATGTAGTTAAGCAAGACAACGGCATGCGGAGAGTGAATTCAGCCACTTCCACAGCGAGGTCCCCATATGCGCATCCGATATGGTGTAGTGGCCACCATGATGCTCTCAGCTCATGATAGTGTAGGTGTAGTCCCGAGTTCGACTCCCGGTTTTAAAAGTAGATGATCAGGAAATGATCAGCATCGTTCTATCTTTCATGGGTTTTTGGTTATTCGCTAATGTAATTCGTTGATAATACGAACAGTCTGGATTAGCTGATATGAACTCCCTTTCAACCTTATGCTGCTCTGGTTTGTTTAAGCCATCTCCCATGGACATCAATATATAAACGTAACAACAGATTAAATATCATGTACTGGTGGTGAACAACTGAAGGGGCTGCTTATATTAATTGAACGATCCTGCCAACAGCCGATCAACAAGAACGCTTCCCTAATCGTCAACTCTACTACATCAACATCCTATAGTTAGGACTCTTTGTTGGCTCTACGATCCCGAAGCTTGTATCTCAACAATAGTAAGTATATTGCGCGCGAACACCGCCGTTATGTTGGCATCCTATTTCGTAAGTTCTTTGCTTCTCGTCAACGCCACAGCACTATCACCAGTCAGCGTACACTCGTGTTTGAATCTAAAATTTATAAGTAGTTACCGCGGGTTGATAGTCCGGCGCAGGCTTTCCGCCGACCGACGTACAGATGGGCACGCCTGGGTTCATATTCCCGTCGGGCATGACACACAGGAGACCAGCAAGCACCGGGCTGCCAACTTTAGCTGGAGCATGAAATTGATGTAGTGATAGTGGGGCATACCTAGTCTGCACGATCGCGAAAGCGAGAACGACATCAATCTTCATCCCGAATTGTTAAGGCGGGTTTCCTTTATTTTCCTTGAATGTACAGTGTTGACCGTGGATGTATTGGGGTAGAAGATCAAACTCAAGCCGCCACCGGTTGGGAGCCGGACGCCTTTATTCTTAAGACAGACGGCGGTGATGAGATAGTGAGGTGGGGAGCGGGCGGTCAGCACTAAGCTATTACCTTCTGCCTGACTCGTAGGACGACTCTTAATCGCGCTTGTGAGCAGGACAATCCTTGGCAGGGTAGTATATACACACGGCCAATCCCCGATCGCTAATGTTACGACCCGTTAAGTATGCCTAACAGAGAAACTAGCCCCACTCGAGGACAGCGGCTAGAGACAAGATATATGCAGGCTTTGATTGATTGATTGATTGATTCCTACACGGTTATGAAGCCGCTCTTATGCTAGCAGCTATGCCCGGAAAGCGGGGTTTGGCAGACAGCCGAAGCATCGACGATAAACCGCGACGCCCCACTTCGCCCTGTTGTTGGATCAGGACCAGCTGTCCCCAAGCTCCCACTATGCTATCTATTCTTGTGTGTTTATGCCCTCTGTTGAAGATTGTTGTCCTCCTGCCTGCTCTCTCGCTTGGTGTTGCCTTCTAGAATCCTTCTTTCGCGTCCTCCTACTTCGGTTCTGTTGGTGCTAGGCACCATGTCTGGTTCTGTATACCTATAGTCTCCCCCCAGCCCTCAGCTTCGTCTCTTTATCTTGTCCGCATCCTCTCAGACTCGCATGTGCTATATCTCAGTTGAATCTGTAAATCTTTTTGTTGCCTCATGCTGGGTTCCTATGTGGCTCTATGTTTCCATCTTTCGACCACCACCTCCATCCACCGCCTGGAGTCGGACTCAATCCGCAAAACACAATGCTCCAACCGCTTCGATTCGTCCGATTACTAAGTATGAGAGCTCGTACACAGATTCCGCAGACATTGTCATACGTTGAAGGGGCGACAATCCTTCTTCGCGGAGGGGGCGACAGGGGACCAATCTGTCTGCAAACTGTAGTATTTTGTGGCATCGATCGTAGCATGCCTGGTGTCTGGTGCTTTCTCTATGCAGGAGGTGATACCGTTCTGTCGGGCTTGTCGTCGTTGTTGTCGCGGGACGTTGCAAACTTTGTCGGGGGTGATAGGCGACCCATAACCTATCGGTGGCTATGGTGTTGATGTTTGTTTAGGCTTGGTCGTTGTGCTCACGTGATAGCCCGTGACTCAACCGCGGTGGTGTCGATGGTGTTGTCTATTGACGTGTCATACTTTGTGGCTTGCTCTCGAATTTTTCGTGGTCAGAGCCCGCCCGCGGCCACGAGCAGGCTCTTTGGGAGCAGAATCAATGCCGAGGATGACATTATGCCCAAAGTGACCTCTGAGAGCGCGAGCGGGCGTGGTTTGATCAATTTGATGCTGTTTTCAAAAATTTCGTTCTCGCTGTTGTTGATGTTTTTGATATATGCAGGCGACGGAAGGGACAAGGGTCGCCCCGCCGGAAAAGGAAGAACTATGTTCAAGTCACGTGATGATAAGAAAGGAATAAGAGATACGACTCTTGGCATGTCGGCTGCCGACAATCGAGATATCGGCAAGCGACGACGCGGACGTCGGCCTTAGGAAACGGGACTTGTATATAGACCAGGACTTGAGTGTTACGGCCAGCTAACTGACAGTGGGTTTGTGTTAACAGTAAGCCAGGGATTGAGAGTAGTAACAGTCGTTCCGTGGTCCTGGTCGAATAGATCGTAGATCTTCAAAGGTCTTGGTGATCAGTCAAGGCCTCAACAAGAGTCGTAGAGTAGTCGTCACTTAGGTATAGCTGAAAGTACCGGTTAGGGTAATCACGAAGTTGATTGCTAAAGAACTAGGAAAGGTAGGACTCGAGAGGACTCGAGTCCCAACTATATACAAGTCTGGTTCCATGCTGAACACTTCCTGATCCTGGGGGACCGACACCCAGGACGTCGGTCCATCGCCATGGACCGCCCTTAGCACCGTCGGTCCTGTCCCAGGACCGCTTATCGTCCGTCGGTCCTGCTTATCGTCACGTGACCTATATCCTAGTTCTTCCGTTCCGTGGGGGTTGTTACGACGTAACGGCTGACGGCCGTCCCTATAACCGCTGGACAGCCGCCCAATCAACAACAGCGAGAACGAAATTTTTGAAAACAGCATCAAATTGATCAAACCACGCCCGCTCGCGCTCTCAGAGGTCACTTTGGGCATAATGTCATCCTCGGCATTGATTCTGCTCCCAAAGAGCCTGCTCGTGGCCGCGGGCGGGCTCTGACCACGAAAAATTCGAGAGCAAGCCACAAAGTATGACACGTCAATAGACAACACCATCGACACCACCGCGGTTGAGTCACGGGCTATCACGTGAGCACAACGACCAAGCCCAAACAAACATCAACACCACAGCCACCGATAGGTTATGGGTCGCCTATCACCCCCGACAAAGTTTGCAACGTCCCGCGACAACAACGACGACAAGCCCGACAGAACGGTATCACCTCCTACATAGAGAAAGCACCAGACACCAGGCATGCTACGATCGATGCCACAAAATACTACAGTTTGCAGACAGATTGGTCCCCTGTCGCCCCCTCCGCGAAGAAGGATTGTCGCCCCTTCAACGTATGACAATGTCTGCGGAATCTGTGTACGAGCTCTCATACTTAGTAATCGGACGAATCGAAGCGGTTGGAGCATTGTGTTTTGCGGATTAAGTCCGACTCCAGGCGGTAGATGGAGGTAGTAGTCGAAAGATGGAAACATAGAGCCACATAGGAACCCAGCATGAGGCAACAAAAAGATTTACAGATTCAACTGAGATATAGCACATGCGAGTCTGAGAGGATGCGGACAAGATAAAGAGACGAAGCTGAGGGCTGGGGGGAGACTATAGGTATACAGAACCAGACATGGTGCCTAGCACCAACAGAACCGAAGTAGGAGGACGCGAAAGAAGGATTCTAGAAGGCAACACCAAGCGAGAGAGCAGGCAGGAGGACAACAATCTTCAACAGAGGGCATAAACACACAAGAATAGATAGCATAGTGGGAGCTTGGGGACAGCTGGTCCTGATCCAACAACAGGGCGAAGTGGGGCGTCGCGGTTTATCGTCGATGCTTCGGCTGTCTGCCAAACCCCGCTTTCCGGGCATAGCTGCTAGCATAAGAGCGGCTTCATAACCGTGTAGGAATCAATCAATCAATCAAACCTATAACCGCTGAGCCCCTGCGGGGTCGTCGTCAGTGGTCTGTTAACTGTCGGGTCGTAACATCAGCTCCCCTCTTAAAGGTCTTGTCCTCGAGACCTGAGTATAGGTAGGTCGTTGGTCCCAGGTTGGGGATCTACAAATTTGCTTCCTTTGTTTTTCATAATGCCGACACCATGTCAGGTCGCGTTCGAAAGACAAAGTCGCACTTGACTATGATAAAAGATCGTGAGAGAGCTGCGCTTATTGAATACGTGGAGTCCCGATCGATTGCTAGCGACATGCCTTGCACTCGTTGTTTCCGTGCAAAGGTCCCGTGTCGTTTTAGCGAGAAGTCTACACGCTGTAGGACTTGCATCGAGGCGAAGAAACCTTGTGACGGCGTCCTCGTGGCGTCTACTCGTAAGTCGTGTTTTTGTGTTTTCGCTGTTCTAGGGGTTGCTAATGTTTGCTTCTAGTTTAGAAGTTAAACTCTTAGCAAAAGGAGTAGGATGAGAAAGAAGAGAAAGCGGGTAAGGAGCTATTCGCGCTTCATCAAGAGTTTGCTCGTTTGCAAGTTCAAATGGCGGATGCTGCGGGTCGTCTGAAACGGATTCGGACGGTCCGTAAGATGGTTCGGGAGCGGCAGACCGAAGTTTTTAAGCGTGGTATACAGGAGGTTGACAGGGAGGATGGCGTCCTGGCGGACGACGAAGTCCTACCTGCCTTGGATGCTTACGAGAGGTTCGTCGTTAGTGACCTCCAGGCAGTGGGTCTCGGGAATGATCCTCCTTGGTCCCTTTTTGGTTTTGGTGACGAGTTTGTAGGTTTGGGTCCTCTGGTGGATGGCGCGGGTGCGGGGAGTGTTGGAGGTTCCTCGGCTACTCAGGGCTAGGTGTTCCTAGGCGAAGAAACGTTTTATTGCCCTGGGGTTTCTTGGTTGGTCGAAACTTAGGTTGAGGGTTTCTGACGCGAGGGTTGTGTGTTAGTCTTTGCATGACTTTGGCGTGCTGTCGTGTTTCCCATTGCGTCCAGTATTCTTGAAGTTCCTCTTATGCGTGCTCCAAGTTTGATGCGGGTTCCCATGTATTTTCTTCGTGTCCGTAGTTTTTCCACTTGATTAGGTATTGTATTTCTGTGTCATCGTGCTGATCGATGTGATCGAGGATCCTTTCGACCTCGTAGTCCTGTTCCGGGTCGACTTCGATATAGTCCATAGTTCGTAATCCTTTTAGTGCTGGCTCGAGAAGTGAAATATGAAAAACTGGATGACACTTCATAGTGTCTGGTAGTGCGAGTTTGAAGTTAACGTTAGATACCTTCTTCGTGATTTCGAAGGGTCCAAGTTTCTTAAAATCCAACTTATCGCTTAGTCGTTTTGTTTTAATGTTCCGGCGGAGAAGGTATGCGCTATCCCCCTCCTTCAGAGTTGGTCCCTCAACTCTTGTCTTGTCAGCGTATTTGCGCATGCGTTCGCGCACAAATTCAAGGTCTCTAGGAAGATCTCGTTAGATTTCCTTGAGTTTGTTAATATCTGCCACAGCTTTCAGAGCTGTTAAGCCTTGTCGGGGTTGTCCATAGGCTGTCGGGTTAAATCCGTAGTTCAAGTAGAATAGTGATTCTTTTATACTTTCTCCTACTGCGCTATTGTAGGCGAACTGGGCCATAGGTAGCAGTTAGACCCAGTTGTTTTGCTGATAGTTGACGTAGCAGCATAGGTAGGTTTCCATAATCTGATTGATTCGTTCTGTCTAGCCATCGGTTTGCGGATGGAAAGCGGTAGACATCTTGTAGTCAGATCCTAGCTGCGAGATCAGGGATCTCCAAAACTTGGAAGTGAACAGCTTGTCTCTGTCGGATACGATTTCCTTCGGCATTCCGTGTTGGCTTACGATCACCTGCAGAAACTTATAGGCGAGGTCTTCTGCAGTGCTTGACTCCATGTACGGAATGAAGTATAAGTACTTTGTGAGTCTGTCGACGATGACGAGGACACTGTCGTAGTGGACGTTAGTTATCGGTTCTCGGGACTTAGGTAACTTAGTAACGAAGTCCAGCGAGATGGATTCCCATACGGTTTGCGGCACTGGGAGCGGCTGTATCTTTCCATAAGGCTGATGTCGGCTGGGTTTGCTTTTTGCGCAAACCTCACAGTCCTTAATCGCTAAAGATACTTCTTGTCGTGTAGCCGTTTTGTCGTAGTGTTGACGGATGCGTTTCCACGTTTTGGTTACGCCTTGGTGACCATGTGCGGGTGCGGAGTGTATCTCCCTAATGGCTTCAGGAGACATCCTTCCAGGCGTGCTGGTACTGTCTCTTCTAGCCATCATTAAGAGTCTGGCTGCTGGCACAAGGTCTCCGTTTTTGTCTGTTTTGAGGATAACTCGGGTTTCCTCAGGTACCTAGACCTCGTGGTCCGGTCGTCGGCTGAGGGCGTCGGCCCTGCCGTTCTCCTTGCCCTTCCGGTAGATGATTCTGAAATTGAATTCTGACAAGAATTCGGACCATCGAATTTGTCGTTTATTAAGATCTTTCGATGTAGTAAAGTGTGCGAGGTTCTTGTGGTCGGTGTATACTTTGACCTCGTACTTGGTTCCTGAGAGTTGCGGTCTCCATTCTTTAAATGCCTCGATAATTGCCATAAGTTCCTTGTCGTGTATCTGGTAGTTGAGTTCTAGGCCGTGTAACTTGCGTAAGAAGAAGGCGCAAGGGTGTAGTCGTCCTTCGTCGTCTCGTTAGCCTAGTTGTCCTCCTATAGCGTAGTCTGAGGAGTCGGTCTCGACTTCGAATGGTTTCTCGGGGTTTGGTATAACAAGTATTGGTTCCGATGTGACTTGTTGTTTGATCTCGTTGAAGGCTTGTTCTTGTTCTTCTTCCCATTGCCAGGGAACATCTTTCTTCGAGAGTCTCGTGAGAGGGTCGTTTTTGTCTAAGTACCCTTCTAGGAACCGTCGGTAGTAGTTCACATATCCAATAAAGGATTGTACGTCCTTAACGTTCTGTGGTGTAGGCCAGTCTCGTACTGCTGCGATTTTGTCTTTGGACATTTTGAGGATTCCTGGGGCTATCGTAAAACCTAGGAATTCGACTTCTTTGGCGTGAAACTTGCTCTTCTCGGGTTCCACTAGGAGTTTGGCGTCTTGCAGTTTCCGCAGTACTTGGTGTACGTGTTTTTTGTGGTCTTCCAGAGTCTTGGAGAAGATTAGGATGTCGTCGAGGTAAACTACGACGAACACATCTAGAAATTCTCGTAAGACGTGGTTGATCATCGTCTGGAATGTCGCGGGTGCGTTGGTGAGTCCGAAGGGCATCACAAGGTACTCGTAATGTCCTCGGCGTGTTCGAAACGCTGTCTTCCATTCTTCACCTGATTTCATCCGGATCAGGTTATAGGCTCCTTTTAGGTCGAGTGCTGTAAACCACTGTGCTCCGTGCAACAGGTCTCGTAGTTCGGAGATGAGCGGTAGTGGGTAGCAGTTCTTGATCGTAATGTCGTTGAGTTTCCGGTAGTCGACGCAGAGTCGTAGTTTGCCGTTCTTTTTTGGTACGAACAGGATTGGGTATCCCGCTGGTGATGTAGAGGGTCTGATGTATCCCTTCTGTAGATTTTCTTTGAGGTAAGCGTCGAGTGCTTCCATTTCTTTCTGGTTGAGTCCGTAGATTGCTTCTAGCTTTGGCTCCTTCCCTTCCTTAAGGGGTATCTCGTGGTCGTAGTTGCTGTGTTCCGGGAGTCCGGTCTCGAGTTCTTCGGCGAATAGCTTCTGGTATTGCCGGTATTCTTCTGGGATAGACAGAAGTCGGTCTTCCTTGCCGATGTCTGTTGCTGATAACGTCCTAGCGTTTGCATCCTTTATCCGTAGGTATGCTAGAAATCTCTTCGCTTCAGGAGTCTTGAGAGGTTCGTTTAAGGCACCGTTCCGTGGTTGCTTCTCAGTGACTGAATCCTGGTCCCAATGGAGTTGGCCTGTTCTCCAATCTATCCGTGGGTTACTGTCGTATAACCATGGTCTTCCAAGGATGACATCGTACTTGTCTCCTATCTCCGTAATATCGAAGTTCAGTCGCTCATTCCGGCCATGGATCTGCAAAGGGAGTTGCGCTGTCTCCATAGCAATGCGTCCTCCGCCGTACTGGACTTGTTCTCCTTCAACGGTGCTGAGTTCGTAGCAGTCTTCGGCTGCTTTTCTTTTCCAGGTTATCTTTCTTTCATTCACCGTTCTTGGTGATATGAAGTTTCCTTGGGCTCCGCTGTCGATCATGGCGGTAGCTGTTCTTCCGTTAAGCTGTATTTAGACTTGTACATGCTCGTGTCGTTGTGTCGTGGGCGTCGTTGCGCTACATAGGGACCTTGTCTGGACTGCCTGTCGTTGTCCCTTGTCTTCGGTAGGCGAGTCTAGTTTTTTGACTGCTCGTCCGTTCCTTGTTCGTCGTTTTCTTGCTGTTTCTTCCATGCTTCGTCTTTCTTGATATAGTGGACTCGGCGCTGGTCTTGGTAGCAGTGATACCACTGTATTTCTTCGTCAGAGTCCTCTCCAGAGCTGGTGTCGTTGACTGAAGCGACTTCAAAGGCGACTTCCAGTTGGGCATGTTGGCGGGCAACATCGCGAGGTGTTTCCGAGTCGTTGGGGGTGTTCTTGGTCGTTTCTGATTCGACCTGTTCTTCCAGTTCTTGGTTGATTTGGCGGATCCGTGCGGGATCTCCTTGTGCATGTTGTCGTCGTTCGATGTGTGCGTCCAGCGCACCGAGTTGTCGTTGCTACATAGGGTTTTGTAAGTCCTGTTGAATCCGCTGCAGGTTGGCTTGTCGTCCTGCGTAGAGGAGGTTCAGTCTTCGCTGATTGTCTTGTTCTAATTCCTCGTTATCGTTCATACTATCGAGCTGTTCGATTGTCTTGCGCTCGATTTTGCTATTGCTTCTATATCCCACAGCGAGGGTCCGTTTAGGTGCGTTGGTAGTGTCGTAACCAGATCGTTCTTAAGGTTTCTGGGGGTACCATCCTGCGTGTTCCTTACTACTAGAGTAGATATGGCAGTTGTCATCGAAGCAGGTGGTCCAGTTGAGTTGTTCATGAGGGATCGTCTTCGTAGCGATACTCGCTTGTCGTTTCTCTAGTACCGGTTGGAAGCGTTCCTTCTTAGGTAACCTGCATTCGTATGCTAGGTATCCAATCTTCTAGCAGTTATAGCACTGTCTATCTTTCTTCCAACTGTCGTTCTTTTTGTCGTTTCTCTGTATAGCACTAAGGTCCATTAGTCCACTGTGGTGACCATAGGCAGTACTTTGTCGGGGGTTGTTCCAGTTGTTACAGGGTCTATTGTCGTTTCGCTAGTTGTTAAACTAGTACTAAGGCTGCCACTAGTACTTGCGTCCTGAGTTGGGGTTTTGTCGTTTTTCGCCTCTTTCCTTTCGTCGTTCGAAAAGCCGGTTGTCGATTTTGATGGCGAGTTCGGCGTACTGGAGAAAGTCGTCAGGTCGATCAATCTTGATGATCTCGTCCTTGACTTCGTCTTTTAGTCCTTGATAGAACATGAAGATCTTGGTTTCCTCGGTAAGGTCGAGTTGAACGCTAAGTTGTCGGAAATTGGCGGAGTAGTCTTTGGCGGACTTAGTCTGCTTAAGTTGTGCCAGATCTCGTTCGGCTTGTCGCTTTTCGTCGGGGTCTTGGAAGAGTGACCTGAGCGCATCCTCGAATCCTTTAAAATTGGCGTAGATGTCGCGGGTCTCGGTGGTGCACTCGTCGAGGGTCTCGCATTTGAGGTATTCTTCCTGGATTGGTTCAAACCACTTGAGGGCCTTTCCTCGGAGGTAGGTGGCTGCGTGTACTACTTTTTCGGTTTCGTTGGTGAAATCTCCATGGTGAAAGTTCTGGTAGTTTTTGACCTGAATCAGGAATCCTTTAAGGGTCCCGGGGGTTCCGTCGTAGGTGACAGGCGCACTGAGCTTGAGCTTTTGTCGTCCTCCGTGGACGGGCGTGGTGACGATGTTGGCGGCGGCCCGGAGGGTGGTGATTTCCCCCTGGAGTTCCTGGATCTTCCGGAGGTTAGCGTCCCCCTTGATGTCTTCTTCCAGCTTCTTGTAGGCCTGTCCAGCGTGCTGGAGTTGCTCGTTGAGGTTTTCCATTGCTTGTCGGTTTTCGTTGACGATTTTCTGCATGTCTTTTGTCTCGGCTTCTTGTTTCTGGATTATGCGTCGGAGCTTATCGTAGCTTTCCTTGGTGAAAGAGCCATCTCCATCGGAGTCGTACTTGAGGTCCGGCATGTCGAAGTCCTCAGTGTTGGCGGGCTCCTGCGCGAGGCTCTGAGGCTGGTTGCGCGAAGAGGATGAGGATCCTGGAGTGGGTGATTTGGCAGAAGCGCGAGAAGACATCTTGTCTATACTGTTTAGTAGTTCTCAAAAGGTGACTTACTGAACAGGAGCAATCAAAGTGTTACGGCCAGCTAACTGACAGTGGGTTTGTGTTAACAGTAAGCCAGGGATTGAGAGTAGTAACAGTCGTTCCGTGGTCCTGGTCGAATAGATCGTAGATCTTCAAAGGTCTTGGTGATCAGTCAAGGCCTCAACAAGAGTCGTAGAGTAGTCGTCACTTAGGTATAGCTGAAAGTACCGGTTAGGGTAATCACGAAGTTGATTGCTGAAGAACTAGGAAAGGTAGGACTCGAGAGGACTCGAGTCCCAACTATATACAAGTCTGGTTCCATGCTGAACACTTCCTGATCCTGGGGGACCGACACCCAGGACGTCGGTCCATCGCCATGGACCGCCCTTGGCACCGTCGGTCCTGTCCCAGGACCGCTTATCGTCCGTCGGTCCTGCTTATCGTCACGTGACCTGTATCCTAGTTCTTCCGTTCCGTGGGGGTTGTTACGACGTAACGGCTGACGGCCGTCCCTATAACCGCTGAGCGAAACATCAACAACAGCGAGAACGAAATTTTTGAAAATCGGAGCAAAAACGGCCCCAAATACGCGTGCTCGCGGCCACAGAGCCCCCTTCGATGCAATGCCATCCTCGGCCTTGATTCTACGTCCCAAAGGGGCCCAAGATGGCCGCAGAGCACGCCCCGACTACAATGAAAAACTTGAGAGCAAGCCGCAAAATACGACATATCAATAGACAACACTGTTACCACCACCACAGGCGAGCCACAAGCCGCTACACGAAGCACTAAGACTGCGCCCAAACAATCAACTTCAACACAACAGCCGCCGACAGGTTTTGGGTCACCTGTCACCCCCGACAAAGTTTGCAACGTCCCACAACGACGAAGATGAGTCCGACAGAACAGTATCACCTTCCGCACGGAGAAAGCACCAGGCATTAGGCATGCTACGATCGATGCCACACAATACTACAGACCACAGACAGACTGGTCCCCTGTCGCCCCTTTTGCGAAGAAGGATTGGTGTCCCTTCAACGCGCGACAATGTCTGCGGAATCTGTGCGGGAGCTCTCATACCCAGTAATCGAACATGTCGGAGTCAGTGGAGCATTGTGCTTCGTGGAAGACCCTTGGGCCAATGTGGTGGAGGGCAATAGTGGTCAACAGGCAAGAAACAAGAGGCCACATAGGAACCCGGCAGGAGGCAACAAAGAATTTACAGATGCAACTGAGAAAACGGCACATACAAGTCCGGGAGGATACGGACAAAACAAAGAGACAAAGCTGAGCGCTGGGGGGAGACTGTAGGTACAAAGAACCAGATACGGTGCTACCAGCACCAACTGAACCGAAGCAGGAGGACGCAAAACAAGCATTCTAGAGAGCAACACAAAAGCGAGAAAGCAGACAGGAGAGCAACACACTTCTTCAACAGAGGGCACAAACACACAGAATAGAGAACATAGTGGGGAGCTTGGGGATAGCTGGCCCTGATGCAACATCAGGGCGAAGTGGGGCGTCGCTGTTCATTGTCGACGCTTCGGCTACCTGCCAAACCCCGCTTTCCGGGCATAGCTGCTGGCATAAGAGCGGCTTCATAACCGAGTAGGAATAAATCAATCAATCAATCTATAACCGCTGAGCCCCTGCGGGGTCGTCGTCAGTGGTCTGTTAACTGTCGGGTCGTAACATTGAGCACCTGCTCAAGCCCTCTAGATAGTTCTTCAGCAATCAACTTGTGATTCATCCTCGATGACTTTCAGCTTAGCTCACAGTTTGTGATATTACTATACCTCGTTACCTAGTGTAAGACTGATCACCTTACCCTTACCCTCGATCTACTAGTACGACATACCTGTATACGACGCAAGACCTATTGTTAGTATCGTAGCCTCAACTTCTGTTAGCAGAAACCCTACTGTCACTAGCTGGCCGTAACACTTTGATTGCTCCTGTTTGGTAAGTTGACCCTGCGAAACTAACAAACAGTACCTTCGACAAGATGTCTTCATCCAGCACCGCCAAAACTCCTACTACTTTCCCCAACTCCTCCAAGGGGAAGGCACCCGTCAAGAACCTTGCTCAGGAACTTGGAGAAGAAGAAATGAAGGACGTGGAAGAAGAATCTGAAGAAGAAGAAGATGACGGCAATGAAGAACTTCAGCGTCAAGTTCGCAAGAACAACCGTGACGTTGGAAGACTTCAGGAAATGTTCAATTCGAACGCCGTAGTCCTCGAGCAACTCCAAGCTACTATCCGGAACCTCGAAGGACGCAACCAGGAACTCCTGAACCAGAACCGTACCCTACAAGGTGCTGCTAATATCATCCAAACCCCTGTAGACGGACGAGAGAAGCTCCGTTTCAGCACCCTAAGCAAGTATGATGGTACTCCTGGCAAACTCAAGGGATTCCTGATTCAACTCAAGAATTACCACAACTTTCACTGCTCCAACTTCAGAAATGAGTCTGAGAAAGTTTTACACGCTTCGACCCTCCTGGACGGGAAAGCCCTTCAGTAGTTCGAACCGTTTTTGGAAAATTACTAGCAGAACGAAACGTTAGAAGACTGTAACACGGAGACCCGTGATATTTTCGACAGCTTCGAAGGATTCGAGCATGCACTCAAATCCCTATTCCAGGACCCAGATGAACGCAGCAGGGCAGAAAGGGAACTTAACAACCTTAGACAAACCAAGTCGGCAATTCACTACGCCGCCGAGTTTCGACGCCTCTGCGCTACCCTAGACATGACTGATGAGTCCAAGATATTTATCTTCTACTCAGGACTCAAAGACGAGGTCAAGGACGAGATCGTTAAGTTAGACAAACCAGAAGACTTTCTCAGCTACACCGAACTCGCCATCAAGATAGACAACCGACTTTATGAGCGAAGAAGAGAAAAGGGCGAAAGACGACAACCCGCCAATTCGGCCAAGAAATACCAATGGCAACCTCAGAAGAAGTTTCATCAACACGACAAAAACCGCTCTCAGCAGAATCAACAGCGGAGCACCGCTTACGGACATCACAGCGGCCCTATGGACCTAAGCGTCGCTAATAAGGACAACCGATGGAACCAGAAACCTCAACAAAAGAAGGAATTCAAGTGCTACAACTGCGACAAACCCGGACATATGGCCAGAGACTGCAGACAACCCAAACGGATCCAAGGACCACCGCGACAAGCCAGCGTGGCACAAAAACAACGAGATCATAGTAGTGAAAAATGGACCAACTGCTTCAACGATCTCTGTAACGACCACAGGGAAGCTAAAGAAAACAGTGGATGGTACCCTAAGGACCCTTCTGGACGATCTGGATGCGACACCACCGGGATGAACGACAAAATTCTCGCGGTAGCAGACCGACAAGACATCAGCTTCTTTAACAATAATAACCGACCCCTGGACCGGTATGAACAAGAAGAAGTTGCCAACAAACTCAACAAAGCCTTTGCAGACGGAACAATCGTAAATCACCCCGGGCTGCTCTGGGACAGCCGACGACTTACCAACTATACCTAAGTTGACCAAGTCACAACTCCTGACTCCTTCACCCCGGAAGAAATTCAACAACTAGAAGACGAAAATGATCAAGCCATTCGACGACTTGACGAAGCTATAGGAGCGGGGACCCGAGCAACCATTCCAGACAACAGGGTCACCCTATACCTTACAAAAAAACGAAACGAACGCGTCCTACTATAAGGTAACACGCGCGGACAATATGCACTCCAGCACAGAACCACCCGGTTCGTACCCAGAGACGATGGAGATGCAAAGAACACCCGCACCCTAGCAGTCGCTAGCAAGATAGAACGAAAAACAATCGAGCAACTCGATGAGATGCTTCAAAACCAGCGACTAGACGCGAGCTCGACATATCAAGACAATGAGCGACGGATCGCCCGACTGCAGCAAGGACGAGACGCTTGCCAACAACGAGCCCAACAAGACCCAAGTAACCCTACTTGGCAACAACAGACTAGAGCGCTGGACGCCCAGATTGAACGACGAATTAGTGCTCGAGATAACCCCGAACGAATCCGTAGGATCAACCAGGAGCTCGAGGAAATGAACAAAATCAAGGAAGAAGAAATCAATAAATATAACCCTAAAAGGGAACAACAGCTTCAAAAAATTACTCAGCACTAGCACTTCGGGATAAGCGAATCCCCCTACCAATCTGAAGAACCTGACCAGATCGAAGACGACTATGTGGATGCGACCCTACAAGACGTAGTCAGCATCGATGACACTAGTTCCGAGGAGGACCAGGAACGACAAGACAGGATCCGACACCTGACAGAAATCCTTCAGTACCAAGAAATTGATCCTTACGATGATAACCAACAACTATATTTCTTCGGGATACCAGCCAAGAAGAGGAAAACATACTTTGAATCTTCCATCCAAGCCAACGACCACCCAATCCTCGACCCAAGAGCTAAGAAACACTATGACTTATTTTGGGGACAATGCATTATTGACAGCTGCAAGCTGCACGTCGTCAACAAACACGAATACAAATTCTACCCACGCAGATAGGGCACTGAGCCCATCACGCAAGTCTATACTGAAGTCGAACTACCCATGTGGGATTTGGTGAGATACGAGAAGGAGGAAGGTATCGCTATCTTCGCACCCAATTGTGAGTACCCAATGAGATGCCAACACGATAGGACAATGTCGTAGGAAGAATGCACTCGGGACATTTGCAAGGTACATTGCGAGGACAAATCCAGAGCATGGAGACTATCACAACAACCCAGTGGACCATCCAAAGAAATACCCGACCTTGCCATCCTGCGAAAAAACAAACGTAAGGGAAAGAAATCGTCAAAAAACGAGCAGAGCCACTCTTAGAGGGACAAGAGATAGGCTCTAGGGAAAAGTCCCTATGTGCAACCACAGCAAACGACGCACATCTCAAGATCACAGTGAACCTGGGAGGTTACACTACGGAGGCCCTGATCGACTCGGGAGCCCAGGGAAACTTCATATCCCCACGAATAATACAAGAAAGAGAAATACCATGGGCCAAGAAACAGAACCCCTACCCTTTGAATACGGTAGAAGGGAAAAGAGTCAAGTATGGCGGAGGCATTATTGATTCGGAGACCGCGCCACTCCCTTTGATTCACCATGGCCATCAGGAACACATCACGCTTGACATCACTGAGATAGGACGACACGAGGTCATCCTTGGAATCCCATGGCTAAGAAAGAATAACCCCCGGATAGACTGGGGAAAAGGCCTAATTACATACGACAATCCAGCCCCTGAGCAGCGCTCGCAGAAGCCCTCACGCGGATTACTAGCGGCACAAGGAACCAGACCAGGCTTGTTCCTCAGAACGAAAGACATGCGCACTAGGACGCTAGCTGCGACAGCCACCAACAAAGTTACAGAAGACCCGCTATCGAAGATACCTGTTGAATACAGGATATACAGCAAGCTCTTTGCATCAGAGCTCGAGACCGGACTACCGGAACACAGTGGATACGACCACAAAATCGAACTCAAGGAAGGTTGTGAACCTACCTTCAGTAAAATCTACCCCCTTAACCAAGAAGAAATGGACGCCCTCGACGAATGGCTAGATGAGAACCTAGCTAAAGGATTTATCCGACCCTCGACATCACCGGCCGGATACCCAGTACTCTTTGTACCAAAGAAAAATGGCAAGAAACGACTATGCGTGGATTACAGGAAATTGAACGACATCACTATTAAAAACTGCTACCCATTGCCCTTGATCTCGGAACTACGAGACCTACTCTATGACGCCCAATGGTTTACTGCCTTGGACCTCAAAGGAGCTTATAATCTCATCCGAATAGCTGAAGGAGACGAATGGAAAGCAGCTTTTAGAACAAGGCGAGGACAATTTAAGACTCTCGTCATGCCGTTCGGACTCACCAACGCACCCGCCACTTTCCAAACCATGATTAACCACGTACTCAGGGAATACCTGGACAAGACAGTTGTCGTCTACCTTGACGACATACTTATATTCTCAAAGACACTCGAAGAACATAAACAACACGTCCATCAGATCCTCAAAGCACTAGAAGCAGCCAAACTGCTTGTAGAACCAGATAAAAGCCTTTTCCACAGACAAGAAGTCGAGTTCTTAGGATTCACCATCACACCTAGACAAATCAAGATGTCAGCAAACAAGGTCAAAGCCATCAGGGATTGGCCTACGCCAGAAAACCCTAAAGACATCCTAGCGTTCTTAGGATTTATCAACTTCTACCGAAGATTCCTTAAAAACTATTCCAAGACGATATTGCCCCTTACCGAGCTTACACGGAAAGACGTTCCATGGGAATGGTCAGGAAAACAACAAGAAGCATTCCAGAAGGTAAAAGACCATGTCAGCTCAGAACCCGTCATCATGATCCCAAACCCTGAGAAACCTTTCGAGTTGGAAACCGATGCTTCGGATTCCGCTATGGGAGGACAACTCGGGCAACGAGATGAAGACGGTGTTCTGCACCCATGTGCCTTTTACTCTCGGAAACTTTCAGGACCAGAGCTCAATTACCAAATTCATGACAAAGAACTCATAGCAATTATCGAAGCATTCAAGGAATGGAGACCGCAACTTTCAGGAACCAAGTATCAAGTCAAGGTCTATACCGACCACAAGAACCTAGCATATTTCACAACATCCAAAGAACTTAACAAGCGATAAATACGATAGTCAGAATTCCTATCAGAATTTAACTTTAAAATCATCTATCGCAAAGGATTAGAAAACGGCAGAGCCGATGCTCTCAGCCGACGACCGGACCTCATAGTCCCGGTCCTAGAAGAAACTCAGGTTATCCTTAAAGAACACGACGGAGGACTTGTGCCAGCACAGAAACTCTTGATGATTGGCGAAAGAGTCAGGACCAGCACGACTGGAAGAATGACTCACGACCAGATCATGGAAATCCACACTGCACCCGCACATGGCCACCAAGGTGTTACCAAAACCTGGAAGAGAATCAGACAACATCACGACAAACGAGTCACCCGCAAGGATGTAGCCGAAGTAATCAAGGATTGTAAAGTCTGCGCCAAAAGCAAGCCCAGCAGACACAAACCATATGGAGAATTGCAGCCACTACCGACACCTCCTGCACCATGGCACTCGATTTCACTAGACTTTATAGTCAAGCTACCACTGTCAAAAGAACCGCTTACCAAGGTAAAATACGACAGCGTACTAGTCATAGTAGATCGACTCACTAAATACGCCTATTTCGTACCCTACTTGGAATCAAGCACAGCCGAAGATTTAGCATACACCTTCCTCAGAATCATCGTTAGCCAACACGGACTGCCACAGGAAATCGTGTCCGACAGAGGACCTGTCTTCACATCCAAGTTTTGGAGATCCCTGATCTCGCAACTAGGAGCGAAGCATAAACTCAGCACCGCTTTCCATCCGCAGACCGACGGACAAACAGAAAGAATCAATCAGATTCTAGAAACATATCTCAGATGCTACGTTAACTATGAACAAGACAATTAGGTTAAGTTACTACCTATAGCACAATTCGCATACAACAGCGCGGTAGGAGAAAGTACTCAGGAATCACCTTTCTTTCTTAACTATGGATTCAACCCCACTGCATACGGAGAACCTCGACAAGGTTCGGCAGCGATAAAAGCCATTGCAGACATCAAGAAACTTAAGGAAATCCAACAAGAACTACCCCAAGAACTCGAATTCGTACGACGGAGAATGAAGAAACACGCCGACCGACATAGGGTGAGAGGCCCACCCCTAAAAGAGGGAGGTAGCGCCTATCTCATACGGCGAAACATCAAAACGAAACGACCTAGCGACAAACTCGACTTCAAAAAACTAGGACCTTTCGAAATCACGAAGAAAATTTCCGAAGTTAACTACGAGTTGAAACTACCGGAAACAATGAAATGTCACCCAGTCTTTCACGTCTCATTATTAGAACCAGCACCGGACGGTACACACACCGAAGACTGCATCATTGTGGAAACAGACGATACCGAATATGAAGTAGAACGCATTCTAGACTACCGAAAGAATGGCGAAATAACAGAATACTTCATCAAATGGAAAAACTATAGACATGAAGATGACTCATGGGAACCAGCTAAGAACTTGGAACACGCTCAGGAGGAACTCCAACAGTACTAGACCCAGCGGGATCACCCACTAAGGGACCAAGATCAGCGAACTCCTCCCCAACACCGAAGGAAGACCAGGAAGGGTCATTAGGAACCCCAAGAAACCGAAGGTCACCAACCACACCAGCCAACCTACTTATAGGCCTTGAGGACAAGACCTTCGAGAGGGAGACCTGATGTTACGACCCGTTAAGTATGCCTAACAGAGAAACTAGCCCTACTCGAGGACAGCGGCTAGAGACAAGATATATGCAGGCGACGGAAGGGACAAGGGTCGCCCCGCCGGAAAAGGAAGAACTGTGTTTAAGTCACGTGATGATAAGAAAGGAATAAGAGATACGACTCTTAGCATGTCGGCTGCCGACAATTAAGATATCGGCAAGCGACGACGCGGACGTCGGCCTTAGGAAACGGGACTTATATATAGACCAGGACTTAAGCACCTGCTCAAGCCCTCTAGATAGTTCTTCAGCAATCAACTTGTGATTCATCCTCGATGACTTTCAGCTTAGCTCACAGTTTGTGATATTACTATACCCCGTTACCTAGTGTAAGACTGATCACCTTACCCTAACCCTCGATCTACCAGTACGACATACCTGTATACGACGCAAGACCTATTGTTAGTATCGTAGCCTCAACTTCTGTTAGCAGAAACCCTACTGTCACTAGCTGGCCGTAACAGCTAACCTGAGTGGCTCTTTACGCACTTATGGATGTTCTAGTTGGTCCGGACGTTTTGCGGCTCGTAGCCACTCTATATCTTTGGCCTAGGGCTTCCTCGTCCTGGAAGTAATATAGCGGTCTTGCGTTATTGCGCATGAGTCAGCGCAACTGCAATCAAACTATTGCTCCTACAGGCATCTACACAGTATACTTCCACCAGCGTCTTGGGAGGACTTCTTACTGGAATGGGGGGCACAAAGTATAATCGGACTATCAGTCCTTTGCAGTGGAGTCAAAAACCGTTAATACCGACTCGGACTGAAAGTTAGACTCAGAGAGAGACCCTGATGAGGTAAGCACGACGGTAAAAAGCATCTTATGGACAAGAGTATTGCGCAATCACTTATAGGCTGCCGGGCCTCCGGGTATACACTTACTAGTAGCACCAGAAGCATCAGTACAAGAATCTGGCTTCAGAGACTTATTAGGGATGCGGTTCCTTTGGCCTTGTGGTGACTAACTTCTAGACCCATGTAGCTACGTTCAACATTGCGAGTTAATTTAAGTAAACCTTTACCTCTCATGTTACGCAGCCCAAGGCCCACCGCTAATAGGGTGTAATGTGTGCTTCAATCAGGAAGAGACTATCTGATTTCTACTAGGCATTTATATAAACTCGGATTTGAAGTTTTCATGGATAAAATGCGGACCCCGTTAGTTTTATATTGGAAACAAGAACCGTGTTCAAGGGTTCAAGTTAGATCAACACCTACGTCCGGATAAAAAGGCTAGAAAGCTAGCTTAGTTGAATTATTGCAATATGCAGGAACCGGGAAAAACAGGTAGATACAAAACAGAACCCTGCTTCAACCGGGATAGGAGAATCAGTAAATCAACAACATAAATAGCGCGCTCTTTGCTCCATGAACCCCAAATATATTACTTCAAATTCACAACGATTGACTAGCAGCGGAGTGCAGCCTGGAACCGCTCTGCTCGATAGATAACATGCCTTCCCCACAGGGATAGCCTTCCCAACGTTCAGTACCGAAAACGCCCAAACCTAGTTCGCCACTATAAAGAGTTTTGGTAGGCTAATAAACCTAGGTCAGCAGGGTTTATAGAATCGCTATACTGAAATAGCTTTAGGTTTGAGTTGCACAGTACTTACGGGACGATCTCATCTTGCAAGCCAGAGAGGAAGAGGATAGGCACCAAGGTGATGCTAGGGATATTTCGCCTGCGGCCTATGCTTATCTTGAATCCATTCACCTATCAAGCACTCAACAGCCCAAGAAGATTAAACCTATGCAGGCGCTGACGTAGCCAAAGCTCCCAGAGTCACAGTTGAACACGGCGCGTCATACAACGCTGGTTTCACAAACTGCGGCTCCGGATCATTACCCTTACCCAACACAATCAATGACTCCCCGTTGAGATCAAACTTGGGCCACCCCAAAACCTCACTCAGACCGTTTTCCGGGTCATTTGCGAATGCCGCCCAGGCGCTCTGCATAAGCCGCGTGAGCTGCCTTTGCGTTTCTGACGGCGGAATACCGCTGACATCCCCCGACGCCCCGAAGATCATGTGCAGGTCCACGCCGTGGTACGCGCCGCTGGTGGGGAACAACCGCGTGTTATCCCAGTCGCCAAGGTACCGGTACACCCAGACCGGCACGCCCTGCGCGAGACGTGCGGCGCCCTGATACGAGTTGGGGCACGTGAAGGATTCGAGAAGGAAGGACGAGACTTGCTCTGGTGTTGGGACGACCCCGTTGCCGTAGGCGGGGATTCTGTAGTACCCGTCCTCGTTGTCGTTGTTCCCGAACAATGCCGGCTGGGAAATTTGACATTCTGTTAGTTGGGGCTGGTAGGAGTGTTCAGACAGGGGGTATTCTCACCAATTTGGAAAACTTGCCAGCTTTGGTCAAAGCGACGTAATCCGAAAACACGATCTCGTTGTCGACCACGGGGTAAAAGGGGGGGATGGCGCGGAGAACGCTGCTGCTAGACGTCGGTCTGACCGCTGCGGCGGCAGCCTTGATGTCCTCCCAGGATTTCCCGCGCATGCAGACCATCGCGTCCTCGGCGGAAGTGCAGTTGACGGCCGCGACAACCGTGTTCCAGTTCCGCTCGGGGACTTCGGGGCTGTTTAACGGGAAACTGAAGGCGTTACCGGAGGGCGCGATGAGGCCGTTGACGATGGGGTCCTCGGTGTACGCGTACGTCCAGTAATCCACCGCTACGCCGCCCGAGGATTGTCCAGCAATGGTGATTTTTCCGGGGTCACCGCCGAAACCGGCAATGTTGTCGCGGACCCATTCGACGGCAGCGCGCTGGTCGCGGAGGCCGAGATTCTGCGGCTCACCGGGGGCACCGGGAAAGCCGAAGATGTTGAGGCGGTAGTTCACCGTCACAACCACCACGTCCTGAGCCTCGGCGAAGTACTTACCGTTGTAAAACGGACTATGAGTGTTCCCGATTGCGAAGCCTAGTTGACGTTAGGGAAACGGCGGATTATGGGTGGAAGTCCGCTGGGGATTACTCACGGCCGCCGTAGAAGAAGACGATCACCGGTTTCTGTGCGGAATGCGATTTCCTGCTGGGCTTCGACCAGATGTTCAGCGTCAGACAGTCTTCACTTTGGGGTGTTCCGGCGGCGGAAGCGAAGTAGCCGATGATTTGCTGTGCTTGGGGAGTCATGTCGGGGTAGTCGACTCTGCGAGAGGGTGTGAGAGGGCAGTCGAAGCCAAAAGACGACGCTTCGAAGGGCGCATCGCCGGAGAATCTCTCAGGGGCGGCGAAGCGTAGGTTGCCGACTGGAGGCTTTGCGTAGGGGATGCCCAGGTATTCGATCACGCTTGAGCTGTTGGACGCGGCGTGGCCGGTGATGGCGCCGTTGGTGGTGTTTACCGTGAGCCAAGGCGAGCACGGCGATGCCGCGGCCGGTGTCCAGACGGCGGTCCACAAGGCCAAGACCAATGTGACGGTGATTTCGGACTTCATTGTGAGAGTGCAGAGGTGGGGAGGAGAAGTTGAAGTCCTGCGGCCGTGGGAGATGCAGAGTTCTTGTCAGTCTGCGGAGTGGCGGTTGATTCTCGCGTCAATCCCGCGTCGGCTCCGGAGCTTCACTTGGATTACTGTGCGCCGCCTTTCAGGCTATATAGCGGTGTAGTCTCCCCGCCGCTAATCTATGCATGGTAGCCAGGGCCGTGGTTAGCTGGTAATACGCGCAGAACCCTTGTTAGAGTCGGCTGCTTAACCCCTGTCCAAATAGATTGCGGCCAAGAAGCGGTAATAGTGTCACTGTACGAGCAATAAACGTATAGGCGTGACAATACCATACCATGACCTGGACAGTATGAAGGAAACCTCGTTGTATTTCAGTTCTTGCGGAGTTGCACGCAGGTTAATTGTTACATACTATCCACTTAAGCTTTGTCTATCCAGTGCAACACCATGCCTGAATGATTGTCTTGCATCAAGCGAGAATGTTTCCGACCTCAACAACTCATCTCGCAAAGCCACAGACCTTCCCGTTGTAAACAGCAATACCTTCATGTTATTACCGCGCAGTACCCTGAGAAGGTCAGAAAGGTAGTTCCCAGTGCTTCGGTCGTTTAGCCAGTGGAACGCGTCAATGATACAGAACACCGGGCCAGGCATGAGTGCGATGAGCTCCGCAAGAATCGATGTTGCCGAACTCCACGTGGCTAGTGATCCGTCGAGAGATTGAAATCGACTCTCTGTAAGATCCGCGCTTGTTTCCAGCACTGGTGGGAGCAGTTCAATCAGCTGTCGTATAAGTGCGTAAACCAGTGACAGCATCGCCTGCGTTTCCTTTGAATCATTGCCAGGTCGCAATTTCTCGCCTCTGCGCAGCTCGCAAAAGTAAGATATGACTGGCACCTTTGTCTTTTCGGCGATTCCCGCTATTCTGGCAGCCATCATTGTGACGGGATTATCGAGATCGTCGGCTTCGAGAGGTTCGCCTTCAATCCATAATATTTTAGGCGCAGAAGCGCTTACCCAGTCGCTGATGTACCTGTAAGCTTCTGGCTGGATCATCACGGGACTGAGTTCGTCCCCAGAAAGTCGGACTCGATCTCTGTGGAAGAAGTCTTCCAAGTGAAGGGAAATCATGATAATACCATCAGAGGTGTACTCAGTTACTAGAAACACGATTATTGTGAGGTCAACTAGGTAAAACGGGAATTCAACATACCTCGCTCAGCACTTCCACCGAGGGATAATGCAGTAGTTGCTGTTTGGAATGTCCGCATCTGGTTTGGAGCCGCTCTCCTAGCCTCCAACAACCCAATCGCTTCTTCTTTCAACATGTCGACAATGCTGACTGCCAGCTGATGACGTTTCTCTGCAGCCCACATATCTGAACTTCTCATTTGTTCTCTCAATATGCTCTCCGCAAAGTGTCTCATCTCGGCCTGGTGGCGTCTGTCGCCTTCCAGCCCCACGCGGATATCTCTCAACATGCTGGCAGAGCTCTCGGCAGTTATCCGTGTTGACCGCAGCTCTGCTCGCGCCTTCTGTGCGGCTAGATTGCGGATGCGGTCGGATATAGCCTTGATCTTTCCCATTTCATTTTCAAAAACACTTGGTAAGTCGTCATTGAAAGAATCCAATAACCTCTTTAACCTCTTCTTCATCATCCAGTCCATCACGCTGGTCAAGAGGAGAAAAATGTGAGCATATAGTTCGGCGATGAGACTCTGCATATCTTCCATGTTGAACATCTCGAGGTCTGTCTTGCAGGCGTTGACATGTTGACTCATTGCACACAGCGCCTCTGACAGTCCTTCTGCAACCTTTTCATGGTTGGCACTGGCCTGTAGTAGGGAGTTTGATTAGTTCATCTCAACCAAGAGCCTATGCGACTACACGTACCTGTATAACAACGTTGAGTGTCCCAGTGAAGATGGACACATACTCGTTTCCTGACGGTAAGATCTGGATCAATAATTTGTGGGAGTCAAGTGTGCTGCAAAACTTGTGGAAAAACCTCTTCGCCTTTGCTAATCGGCCATTTCCCCGCTTTGCTTCCCATGACTTTTGAATTTGCTGAACTGTGTCAATCACACCATCCATGGTCGGCTCAGACGTTTGGAGATTCAGGCGGTCTGCCGCCGGACTAGATTCTACAAATGCTTTCCATTTGTTGCGTAGCTCAGCTGTCTCCACAGCGAGGACTTTCGTAATCGGGTTGTCATCTCTGAATATGTTGTCAGCCACATACGATCTGGTTTGCTCGATGATTCTTTTTGTGTACCTGGCGCCATCGCTCATCTCGGGAGGTTCAAAGAACCGCCGCCAGGGATCTAGGGCATCATCTCGACTACCTTGGTTCTCGGCCAGTATGTGAGCCAGGGAATGTGCACCACTTTCCGACGTCAAACGCTCCTCGGCCTCAAAACTATATGCGCGAATAAGGTGCCTGGCGTCTCTTTCATCATTCATGATTACTTGTGCTATCCAAGATTCCCGCAGGCGTTCATCTAGCCAGTCGACAAGCAGTAAAGTCGCCTGATTGTTGCTAGACGAGGCTGCGACCCGAGCGATGATCTTGCTGACAACGTCTTTCAAATATGGCAAGCTTCTCAGCTTGTCAGCCGTTCGAGAGATGTACCCCAGTTGATTGGACCCAGGTCGCAGAGATGCATGAGTGGCTGAGAGTCGGCAGGGTATACGAGTCGTCTTATTCGCTAATCTATGGATATCCCCTCCATCTATCCTTTGCGTCAGCGGCTAGTTGCATAGATCATCTCACCAAAGTCCAATTCGCAACCCCGCTCGTGGCGGTGCCTCATTGGTAGCCTTGTCTCCATAGGGTTTTCCTTTCGCGATGAAAAGAGTGCATATTCTCATTTCCTACAATCCCAAGAACAACTATCTGACACTGATTCTAATCCACCGTAACCGACACAATGTCGTCTACGGAGGTCACAACCGACACGATGGCAACCATCGCTGGTAATGAGCCTTTCAACCACATTGACACAAGCGAGTGTACGGAAAAGACTCCCGATCAAAGCATCTCGCCGACCACCAGCGAAAGTGAGAATAGGCCAATCCCCGATGAGAACTCTGCATCATGCGAAGTCAACAATCACAAAACCCCCAAGAAACCATGGGTTGGTTATCGGGTTGAGTACCGTAACCGGTGGACGAGCGATTTGATTGCGGAAAGAGTTCATGAGAAGGATAGCAAACCCATCATCGACGAAGTGGACGGACCAATATTCGAGGTTGTGACTACGTACAAAGTAGTATCTCAATCGATGGATGCCAATAATTCCCTGGCCGTCAATTCCCAATCGCTCCCAACTTACAACATTCGGATACATTCAACAAGCCTCATCAACGCCATTCAGTCAGTGGTTCGATACTATCCCAGTCAAGAATTATCTGGTGAATACATCACCATCCCGAAGCCGTATCCAGTGCTGGTTCATTACTATGATGAACTGCAGCAGTTCCGCAAGGAATGTCTGGCAAAGTCGGATGAAGAACTCTGTGTGCGAGAGAAAGACGCCGCAGAGCACCTGAAGATTCTTCTCGAGTTCTTGGACAATGAGGTAATGGAGGATGTTAGAGAGGAGAAAGAAAGAAATAAAAGAGGGTTCTCTACGTTTGATTGGAGATGGGTGGCATATAAACCTGGAGTGACAGTAGTGGAGAGGCAGATACATGGAGACTGGGAAGCTTCTGTGGTCCACTCCGTGACAGGAGGCGTGTTGGAAAATCCGCCAAAACAGTGGTGTGTTCAGAGCTGGCGCCTAGACTGGGATGGTACCTATATCGAACGAGTCTGGGCTGGTGAGGTGACATGGCCGAAGTTTGATGGCGAGAGACCGGAGACGACAGTTGCCAATGAGACAAGGTTTACTGACCCAACAGTTGACGACAGCTATCTACACGATGAAGTTACGAAAGGACTAATAGAGAACGGGAAAAGGTTTGTTCAGGTTCTCAATCCAGCTTGCTACCATCATAGAGGAAAGACTGCAAGCTTCCCATACAATGAGGTGAGTCGGAAATTGAACCCATGCCGCGCAAAGGCCTTATACTTATAAGATCGCAAACAGGTTGAGGGACTGGCAATGGTAGATATGAAGAGCTATCATGCCTATTGTCCAGGTGATGTCCCTTCGACAATAGGAGAAGAAGATATACGGAATTGGACGAGTGAGTGCACTTGCGACGTGTGTCAACGAAAGCACAACGGCAATCACTCCAAAGCCAAGGCGCCGCTGTTCATCGATGTCGGAGGCGTGAGCAAAGATGGTAGAATAAGTAACCATGAATACCTCTTATTCCCCTCAAAGGTGGTTGCATACGTTTTTCGTACTCGAAGCTGGGGTGAGTCGTTCTCCAATGGCCATACAATGATGAAGACTAATGGAACCAGAGGATGTCCACCTTCGGAATCTTTTCGAACCCCAGTTCGATGAGAACATGATCAGTCACCTTGTAATGAGCGAGCAGCGATTAAAGACCTTGAAGGCTCTCTCCAAAAGCTTCGCTAGAGTGACGCAACATGGGGAAGAACTGAAAAATAGCCGATGGAGTGCCGACTTTGTGCGTGGAAAAGGCAATGGACTGATATTTCTTCTGCACGGAAAACCTGGTGTGGGAAAGACGTGCACTGCCGGTAACATAATCACTCCTCGCTCAATCAAGATGTATACTGACAGACGTCTGTTCTAGAATGCATAGCCGAGTTCACACGTCGTCCGTTAATGATTTTGACAAGCAGCGACATTGGAACTGAGCCTAGAGAAGTGGAGGATAATCTTACTGCCAATTTCAAACGGGCAATGAAATGGGGTGCTGTCTTATTGATTGACGAGGCCGATGTGTTCATGGAACGTAGAACGACGTCTGATCTAACCCGTAACAGCTTGGTAGCAGGTGAGGACATACACCCGGAACGTCAAAAAACTACCAGGCCCCGCTAATAGCATTGAAGGATTCCTAAGAGCCCTCGAATTCTATGACGGGATTCTCTTCCTCACGACCAACAGAGTGGGATCATTTGATGATGCTTTTATCTCCCGCATCCACATTCAGCTGTACTACCCTGATTTCACCGACGATGAGCGACAGCGAGTGTGGAAGACGTTCATCGACAAGCTGGCAAAGGACAGAGGGGACACCATGCGTCTTACAATTGACGCCAAAGAGTACATTCAGTCGACGAGAAAACATGGCATTAAATGGAACGGCAGAGAGATAAGAAACGGTACGCGGAACTCGAACGATCTGACAAGGGGAACATCTTGCTAACATGGTGTCTTTTGTAGCGTTTCAAACCGCTGTCGCGCTCGCAGAATATGATGCTGACAAAGACAGTGAGGGCAGAATTATGGTAAAGGATGACCATTTGCGAGCCGTAGTCGAGTTGTCCAAAGATTTCAAGGGTTATTTAGACGATCTGCACCATAGGGACGAAGGGAAACGAGCGGAGCATAGATATGAAAGATTGGATAGCTACGAAGGCAACAAGTAGCGTCCGCATATTTAGCTTAGCTGCAGCTCGTGTTTCTAGGCATAACCAAGATGGAAGGTGGAGGTTTTGCGATAGGGCTTCCAAATGCAAACCCCTCATTTACCTTGTCAGAGTGAGCCTTGAGACCACCAGTCGAAGTAAACCGGCCTAGGAGACATATCAAACGGGCGTAGACCCCGCAGACTGTAAAAAACCCCTGTGAGAAACACTAAGACTGTTCTCCCGCCTGTGGATGTTCTGCTATATCGGGCCATAGTGCTCGTGATGAGAGTGGCTCCGCTTAAACGACCTAGTCGAAAGGATTTGATCAGCATGCGCCCTAATACTGACTTCCGTAAGAAGCCGTTTTTGCCAAGAGTAATCCTCCGATCCTTCAACAACACCTTCCTGGAGAAGTAAGCTTATATGTTCTGGTGATTGGATCGTCTATTGACTATCGCGCCTCCATTAGCTCTATATGTAAGTATATAAAACCCTCGTCTTACCATGATCTCTTGATCTTGATAGACAGATCACAGAGAAAAGCTACTAGATACAAGACCGCCAACTTGGATTCACAACAAGATCAAATCGCAAAAACACCATCTGTCTCAGACACAGCTGAAGAATTTTCTTTCTGCTTCAAACGATGTAAGTTGTATCAAGGTTCTATATTTCAGGAATGGCTAGGGCTGACCCTTGAAAGTTCAAAATGGCCAAGTTCAGCATTGTCTTGCTTCTCGCCGCTAGCTCCTTGGCCTTTGGCAGCCCTGCTGCTGTCCAGCCTGAGGCTCGTCAAGCCGCTGGATGCCAGCCCGACTACACAGTTTGCCGTGAAGGGTGGGCTTGGTGCTGCTACAGCTCCTCCTCTTGCTACGAGTTTGCCCCTCCAATGCCTTGCTAGAACTGTGGTGATTGAGTATTACTGGAAACATAAAGATACATTTATTTAGCGAAGGAGGTAGTCAATGAGGCAACGTTGGAGATTGTAGCCCTTTTGTAACAGCAACGCTTATCCGCATTCAATTACCAAGTCTTCCAAACAAGAGCACCGAATTTTGACTATCTCTCTAGCATAGCATGCTGGAGTATAACCCCAACCTACGCCAGTGGCTTCTGGCCGTAGACAATGAATATAGGGAATACACCGCCTTTCTCTGTCATTTCCTTCACATACCTTTCTTCCAGATTTTCCGAAATAGACGATGGAGTATCCAAACAAACCACTGAAAAGCAACATTAGTCAGATGGCTTGCAAATGGCCAGGGCAAACTTGCTCTTGCATCTTTTGGCCATTAAAGGGATGGCCCGCTTGAATGGCTCTATTGAGAGATTCATGTCTGCATCATTGCCATAAACTCTGCCAATCTTACAGTCAATCTTTTCGACAACCACGTTCTGGAGGCCGGCTTTTTTGAACGCCTCCGGTAATTGTCTCGGATACTCACGGTCCATGCCTACCGCTTCCATGAGATCTCCGACAACCCGGATGGCGTCCTTGAGGGCTTGGGGTTGTCCTGGCTGCTCTAAGGAAAAGTCCATTTCCATCGTTTGCAACCAGCCGCCCGGAGCGAGCGTTTCTGCGTAGGTCAGATCAATGAGTCAGGTTCAAGCCGATCAACACTTACCAGCAAGATGGGCCACCGCTTTTTCGACGCCAGATCTGCTGGTACTATGAAGCACATGACGGACATGGGTCAAGTCGAATATGCCTTTTAGGTTATTTGCGGGTGGGTCGCAGACATCTTGGGTTACGTATCGAATATTGCCTTGGCTTGAGGTAGGCATAAAAATGGTCGACACATCTGCGCCAACCAGTTCGGCTGACGATGGAACATTCTTCTGCAAGTCCCTGAGAAGCGTCCCTAGTCATGCGCGTTAAACTCAAGTCTGTTCAATTGTAACAAGACAACGCACCGTCCGCGCAACCCATGTCGAGGATCTTCAATCCCTCCTTGTTAAGGTCAACTGGGGCGAACACAATTTTGTCTTTCAGGCACATTTGCAGCCAGCGATGCTGAATACGAAGCCTTTCCAACTCTTCCTGGACATCTCCTACCATGCTCAGGTACGTATTGGGGCCGCCCCGGCCACCAGGGTTGTGAGTGCTGGTTGCATCGTTCACACTGTTGGCAATGACTGTGCCGCTCATGGTTTGGTTAAATATGTCGGGTTTGTTTCTACGACCGCATAGAAAGGAATGATAGCCAACATCAATTTATCCCAGACAGTTGGGAGAGGACGCTGGAGCTATTAAATTAGCATCGCCGTTTCGACGTGACTCATCAACAATCACAAGCTCAACTTTAGCTGCATTCGGGATCTGCAAAACTATTCAAACAGGTCCAAAATGCACAAATTCCCCGCAAGACGGGAACAAAACGCCGCAGTAAGATGCCAGCAACATGTAATCGCAACATCAAGATGAGATAACTTTCCTTATTCGGCAAGATTAACTGCTTTGGGCTTTACCTCAAACTGCTCATTCATGTTAGGGCGAAGTTTAGATGGCAGGAAAGCCTAAACACTGATAAACGGTTGCGATACCGAAACTGACCAGTTTACGCCGTATTGAAAGCGCGACAACTCCGACCTAGTGAAAAGAATCAGATGACGCAAACCCGCAGTTCCCGGGGTACCTTAGATATCATCTGGCTGGCAGCCATCAACTATCCCCCGGACGTTTGCTCTGTTTGGTAAGGAAGCGGAGCTCAATGACATGGTGTAGGGTGGCCAGTTTCTGGGGTATGGGGATCAGTCGCCTACTTAGTAACCACTCCGCATTTGCTGTCCTCCGTTTGTTCCCACGAAACATGGTACCAACGAGCTATTACTGTGATTACCCAATGTGCTATCAAACTGTCATGAACGTGCGAACCGGCCGACGCTTGCTTCTGTTTGTTTGCAATTGAGTTCGAGCAGAACAGCTGACTGGCTAGATGGTGCGCATGCATCCCCCCCTGGCCCCTCTCCATTTAGCACGATATCCACAAATAGTAGCGGCGTTTGCTTTCGGGAGAGCGTTCTCAGAAAGCAAAGCATCAACTTGAGGCTGGGCATTCTTCGGGTGATCCGAGTAAATTGCTTGGCTGGACCTGTATGCTATTCGGAGAATCCAGTAAGGACATTTCAGTCATTGCCGTGGTCTTAAGAGCACGGATAGGTTACAATACTGTGTCATCTCGCCTGAGCAAAGTGGGTGATCCATGCAATGCACCATATATTACTGCTCACATCCCAACCCACATGAAACCTTGGGCCCAATCTTGAGCTAATTGATCTGAGGCACGCCATCCTTGAGAAACACTCGCTGTTCGCCGTAGGGCTGTTTCTTGGCTCTCGCTCTGAACGCCGACCGTCGCAGCTGAAGCGGCAGCACGCAAACACTCTCGCCAGTCACAGCGAGTCATTTGGGCGATCTCATACCACCTTCCCTCATGGCTTGTTCGAAGATCCGAATCTTATTGCATGACTCCACCCTAGAGACGGTCAAGGTTTGATCACTCAAAAGATCCCATCTTAATCGTCTGCAGGTGTCTCGTATCCAATATAATAATGTGCATCTGCCCCCGTTATTCTCGATTTGGTCCTTTAAGCGCTTTTCAAACTGAGATTGAAGAAGAGAACTGTTTACTGCATTTATCCACTGCCTGTCTCCCTCGATTTAAGCTCGACACGACCAAACAACTCATACATCTCATACGTTTACCTCCGAACTTGCGAGTCAGCGCCAATCACTCTACATTCAGCTCATCATGAAGGTCACGCTCGCTTCCGCCATCGTCTTCGCCCTCTTCGGCGTTTCCCAGGCCGCCGTCACCCCATTGAACAACATCCTCCGCCACGAATACAAGTTGAACGCCAGAACTGGTGTGCACGGAGGCCTCGGCCGCCGCGATGAGGTGGTCCATGAACCTGCGGCGGACGTCCTGCAACCCATTGTCTAAGGACATCTCACAATTGCCAACCGGCACCTCGAGGGGAAACGCAAACTAGCACGGAGCATTTGACCGTGAAAAAGCGCAGTTACCTCCACCAATACGGCACGGTTTAGACTTTTTTCGTACATAACGCATTTTCACCATCCGATTCTTGCGTGCTTCAAGCATGCCATTTAGGGGACAGCAGCGGGAGTTAGGGACAAGGAGGGCATTGGAGGAAGGCGTTTGTTGGGATCTGGATGAATGGTACGGGACAAGAGGATACGGGAGGGGATTGACGATACCCGCCTGGACTGGCCCACATCGACATGACAGACACATTTGAAGGATTAAATGAGAAGATATTTAAGATTTGTCCAAACCCCTGCAGCCTTTCAGGCTGACTGTGGTGATCACATTAGGCTTTCTACCCTGGATGCCGCCACAGCCGTAAAAGATGACGTATTTATCGCTCATAAGTCCATGTGTAGTTCCATGTCTTCTCCCCATCTACCACGAGATCAAAATCTACTTGCAAACGATCCTGACGCGACGTGTCGAAGAAGACGACACCGAATTTGGAGTTCCCCCACGGGTGAGAATGAACAGAAACATCAGTATCCTCGATCTGTTCATGGAACCGGGAGAACGGTTCGTAGAACTGGTTGAGAGGGGAAGTGGAAAATTCTATGATCGACTTACCACCCTTGCGGCCAGGTGGAAAAATTGTCGTAGCGTGTTCGTGACGGTCCTAAATTGATGTTAATCTCGACAATCGTAATAGCCTACTCCACTGCAAGGGTTGGACTTTGCTTACTCCACTCAAGATAACGACTCCGTCCGTCCGTCTCATCATGTCTAAGACTTGCTCTCGTTCCCAGAGGTATCCCGACCAGCTGTCGGCCGAATCGGGTCCCCTCCAATTTCGAGTAAACGGCACGCTGCTTACAACCACTTTCCACGCCTTTTCAGACGCTAGCCACTGTTGGAGGTCGGCAAGCTGGGCCGAACCGAGCATCGTCTTTCCGGGTCCGTCTTCCGTCGATTCGGCGGATCTGTAGCGCCGAGTATCCATTACGAAAAACGAAATATCGCCTCGGCGGAAAATATAGTGCGTTTTGCCCTGACCGAACTGTGATGCCGGGTTTGCATGACCGTGATAAGCCCAAAATGGCTGCATGGCGGACTGGTACAGCCCGGTCTCGTTGGCCGCCCAGTCGTTGATGATTTCATGGTCATCATAAGCATGAAGCCAAGGCAAGGAGCGCAATGCCGGTGTCCAGCTCGGGGAAGCATAAACCTGGCGGTACGCACTTGTGTAGTGATCTGGTGTCCAGCCTAGGGCGACAGGCAAGTCGATGTAGATGAAGTCGCCGAGGAAGAGCATCATGTCAACTGGATTGACTGAGATATACTGGTCCAAGTACTCTAACCCACGAATTCCAAGTCCATGGTCCAGAGGGCTATAGGGGTAGAATGGTTTGATGCAGCTGGTCGAAACAAGGCCCCATCGCTTTTGACTTTGATCTGCCGTCTTGAACGAGCCGGTATGGCTAACATTGGTCGAGTAAGAATACTTCGTATTAGGCCTCAGTCCCTCCAACACAAATGTGCCGACATAGTCACCTGACTCGGTGACAGCGATCGTTTGAGGCTCGACTTGGTCGACACTCTCTTCAGCGGAACTCAGTCTTATCTCAACATACGTGGCCGGCTCTGCCGGGGCGCGAACGACGATGCGAGCCGATGTCTCGTCCACATAACCCACGCGGGAGAAAGACAGCTCATTGCTCTGATGGAAGATATGACTTCTGTAAAGAAAGTCCCAGACTGCTCCCAATGATAAGAGGTTCAAGAATACTGTGATGAAGCTAGCAAGCGGTTGCCTTGGGTCGAACCAGCCAAATAGCAACACGAGGCCTGAACGGCGGCGTTTGGAGGCGGCTTGCGACTTATTGGTAAGGATCTTAGCAAGAAGGCAAATAAAGTAGGTTACGCCGTTGCCGTAGATTTGGTTCAAGTATCTTCTTCCAAGAGGATGCTGCTGGAGAGTAAGCATGAGTTATGAGGTATTCCCAAATTTGTCTTACAAATCGTGTGAATAATACTGCAGTGCACCGAAGGATGATCGTCGTAACCGCCAGTATGGCATCCAGAACGCTGGAGATAACCATCTTGCCTGCTGTTGAAGAACCGACAGACACCGCGTGTTAGATCTGGTAGGTGTAACGGCCCTTGCAGTAAAATGACTTCAACGCAAATGTTCCCTTTCCACTACCTCTATCCAGGTCGTTGAGTATGACTGTCTTTGGGCGAAGAAGCTTTTCTACAGTACATTTCCGGCGATGTTGTTACTAAGCCGTTCATTCAATTCATCTGCGGTGGAGGCTGTATTCAACCCATGTGGAGTTAAGAAGAGTAACATTGGGTGATTCGAGTGATAAGCTGCCAATAAGGTTAGCACGTGCCTCTTTCACCAGCTTGGACACCAGCAAGTCAATTTTCCAGACGCCAGCGAAGGGCTTGTGGGCAGATGTTTTTGTCTAATGCCGTCCTTCCGAGCATCTCGGGTGGTAGGCCAAAGAAAACTCGAGTTTCTGTAGAACCATATCAACCCCCACCAAAGGATCCCGCACACAATCGGCCATGTTTGTGCGGAAGCCAACAAGTGGACCGCGGCAAGCGGAACCCCACCCCGACTGACGTCTGACAAGATCGCATTGCACCACGTGGGTGATGGTGCGCAACGGCTTTCCTCCGACGGCGGAGACCATCCAAGAATTCAAGCCCATTCAACTGAAGTTACACGAAGCTTGTTTCTACCACTCATCCCAGTGCCCGTGGTTCAATAGCAAATGGTTCGTACATTTACTTGGGGCTATTCCTAGCAGTTCCCACGTCTCGGTCATCTTCCGTACATCTCAGTCTCAGTCGCTTGATGGTACGCGGCGACGATTCTAACGCACGTGTCAGAAAACTTGCCTCAAGTGGCCAACAACGTGATTTTTAGGCGTAAAAGATAACAGGAAAACATTCTGCTCTTCGAGAAAAGTGGCACACATTGGCCAGACGGGTGGAGGCCTGGCCTTAGCAAGCTGAGGTTCCAGGGCTTCAAGGACGGTTCGCACCTCAGCGTAGTCGGTTTTGGCCCCTGAAAAAGGCCGTATGCATCAAGATCCGAACGTACCAAGGGCTTGGGACTGGCAGGGGTTCCACGTGTATATGCAGATGAGCTTCTCGCATGGTTTATATTGAGGTGTATATATTTAGTTCACGACTTCCGTCGTAATTCGACTACTGATCGTGTTAATCAGACATTCATCGCCTATCTCATACAAGCCGAAGTGCTTTCACTATGGAGTCTGTCACGCGCTCGGAAGCCGGCTCGGATCAGCCCCATGATTTAATCAAAGACAATGCAGTCGTGATGTCATCCGACCGTGATGATGCTTCATCGCAAGAGCAGACTTCCCCAGCCAGAACCCCTGGAAAGTTTGATGTACTTGTCCAGGGCGTCGCCTTGTTCTCGGACGGATATAACATCCAGATTATCGGTTACATGAATACTGTTTTGGCTAAGTTGTAAGTGAATCTTCGTCGTCCCGACAACATGTTGGTGCAGATAATGTCGGGAGATTAGAGCACATGCTAAAAATCTACAGATATCCGAAAGAGATGACCAGCCAAGTCAAGACGAGACTATCCAACTCAATTCTAATTGGTGACATTTTTGGTATGCTGATCTTTGGACTTTGCATCGACAAATTCGGTAGAAGAGTTGGCATCATTCTTACCACCCTCTTCTTGGTCCTTGTAAGCAAACCTTTTACTGAAGCTTGGATATCGTTGCACTGCTGACTCACTCAGGGTATTGTCATCGCGACCGCAGCTCATGGAACTACGGTAGAGGGCATGTTCTGGATGATGGTGATCGGCCGCGGTGTTGCAGGAGTGGGCGCCGGTAAGCACACAGTCTTCGCGTTGTTTCTCGCCGTTATCATGACTGATCCCTTTCAGGTGGAGAATACACCGTTTGCACATCTCAAGCTCTCGAGTGCGCCGACAGCACCGAGGCAATGAGGAAGAAACGAGGAATGCTCGTTGCCGTTTCCACAAATGCTGCAATCATTTCTGGCTTTGTGGGCTCCAGCATCGTTTCCCTGATTGTAATTGCTGCCTACAACGGCCAAGCCAGCGATGGCATCTGGCGAATTTGCTTTGGAATTGGCATCTTTGTGAGTTGGACCAGGCAAACCATTTATAAGTTGTCCTAACATACCAGCAGTTGCCTCTTGTCATCTTCTTCTTCCGCATGCGGCTGGCCGACTCGCAACAGTACCAAAAACACGCCATCCAACAGAACATCCCCTACTGGCTCGCCATCAAGTTCTATTGGAAGGCCCTTCTAGGTTGCTGCACCGCCTGGTTTCTCTACGACGCTGTGGTCTATCCCTTCAACCTGCTCGCCCCGACTCTTGTTGCCGGCTTCTCATCCCAGCAAACAATGATTCAGTCCATCGGCTGGTCAGCCCTGATCAATGCATTCGCTCTTCCAGGTGCTTTTATCGGAGCTTTGTTGATGGATCGAATTGGCCGTCGTCAGACTTACGCACTTGGCTGGACTATTGTTTGCGTCTTTGGCTTCGCCATCGGCGGCTCCATGATCCAGCTCAACAACATTTTCCCGTTGTTTGTTACTTTGTACGGCTTGTTTCAGACGTTTTTGTCGGTAGGACCTGGCGACTGCAACTTCCTTGTCTCTAGCGAGTCTTTCCCGACCCCATTGAGAGGACATTTCCTTGGATTCGCGGCGGCTGTTGGCAAAGCTGGTGCAGCGATCGGCACAACTGCCCTGAGCGAAGCCCTCGCCAGCTTTGATGACCGTCTAAAGGGTCAGCAAGCTATTTTCCTCATCGGAAGTGGCATCTCGGTCGTTGGCACTTTATGCGTTTGGTTCTTGATTCCTGACGTGAGTTTAACTACATTTATTTCCCGCCATAAGCTTTACTAATTCTCTTAAGGCACCTAAAAACCTCGAAGACGAGGATGTAAGATTCAAGAAATATCTCGAAGCGAACGGATATGACACTAGCAAGATGGGACTTAAGGCTTGAGATGCTTCTGAGAGCAGCTTAAATCACATAGAGTAATTGATAACCCGCGATATGGAGGTAATAGACGTGAATAAATAAAAGACAACTAGGTATATAGCGAGATACTAAAACAATGCGCACATAATACTTTTAGAGATCCTTCTTCTCTAATGTGCCCCCAACCTGTCTCGACCATAATTCCTTATACCTGCCTCCCTTGTCAAGCAACTCGTTATGGGTTCCGCTCTCTAGTATCCTCCCTTCGTGAACAACAACGATCTTGTCTGAGTTGACAATCGTCGATAATCTGTGTGCAATTATAAAGGTGGTCCTTCCGCTCTTCAACACCTCGAGGGAATTTTGAATAAGACCTTCCGTCTTTGTGTCCACTGCACTGGTGGCCTCGTCCAGAATCAAGATTGGCGGATCCTTCAAGAACACGCGTGCGATGGCCAGGCGCTGAATTTCACCACCAGAAAGTTTCACGCCCTGCTCTCCGACGCGGGTCTCATAACCATTTGTAAAGCTGAGAATACGGTCGTGGATAGCAGCGGCCCGGCAAGCCTCGAAGATTTCCTCATCCGTAGCAGTGGGCTTGGCATAGCGCAAGTTTTCCATTATCGACGCATTAAACAGCAGTGGATCTTGAGGCACTACGCCAAGGGCATCTCGTAGAGAGCTGAGGCTGAGGTCGCGGATATCGTGGCCGTCGATTGTGATGCGGCCGGAGGTTACGTCGTAGAATCGGAGGAGGAGCTTCATGACAGAAGACTTTCCAGCGCCCGTCTCGCCGACGAGGGCAACAGTTTGTCCCGGCTCAACAGAGAGACTCATTTCTTGGATGGTTGGCCTTTTCAAGTCATATGAGAAGCTGACATTCTCAAAAGCAACATAGCCCTTGACGTTGCTGAGCTCCACTGCATTTTCTTTCTCGGGAATGGTCGATTTGGTCTGGAACAGGCCGAGAAGGCGTTCTGCGTCAACCAAATTCGTCATCAGGTAACGGTATTCGTGCGAGAGCCACTTCATCGGGTAGATGAGATAGTCCCAGTACTGGAGAAGGAAAACAAAGTCTCCGGCGGAAGCGCGGCCCTGGGAAATTTCATACAGCACCAAGCTGGCTAGAGTGAAAAACGTGACGGGACCAGTCACCTCAAGGAGTCCTTGGACAAGGGCATCTCCAATGTCGTACCTCCGGCTTGCCTTGAGTCGAGACTCAACAGCACCGCCGAAACGGAACTTTTCAAAGCTAAACATGTTGAAGTAAGTGACAGTTTGCCATCCTTGAACGGCCTGGTGCATGACCCTGGCCTCCTCTCTTTGGGCTTTGCTGCTGACGCGACGGTTTTCGATATTCAAGTTCGAAGTGTATATCTCAAGGGTCATGAATATGGCCGAGGCCACGACCATGACGAGAGCGACATAGATGTTGAATTTCCCGTACAACATCCAGACTGAGATGAAGATGTCTACAGTCGTCGGAAGAATATCGAGGACAAGCGAGTCAAGCAGGTTTGTGAGTGCATCGCCCTGCTCAATGGCCTTCATGACTTCTGCAGAGTCTCTATCGGAGTGAAAGTCCATCGACAGACTCATGACGTGGTTGAAAGCCGCATTGGTGAGTTGCCGATAAGAGAACTGCGTGATGGGAATCTTGGCCAGGGACAAAATAAGTCCTAGGCATGCATCGTCACTTATCAGCGTCAGGAGCAACCATATGCCCAAGGCGCCATAAGGCGCCTGCTTGTTCATTATTTGATCGGTAATGAGTCCGAGTTGCCGGGGAATGAGGATATTCAACGCTCTTTTTCCGGCGATGCACATGAAGCAGAGGAAGATTGAGAATTGGACTTTGCGATCTTTCCTGGGAACCAGAAAGGGTAGGAAGATGGAAAAGTCTTTCAGATAGCCCAGCCACCCTCCTGTTTCTTCAAGTCGCTTTTGTCGTCGCCGTTTGATGCTGGCACTGTCATCATCATCAGAGTCACTGTCGCTGTCATATTTTGAATCGGCATCGGACTCTTGGACGGTTATAGTGTCGGCGTCATCTTGGAAGGGTACAGCGCCGTAGTTGTCTGGGCCACAATCCCGATTTGCTGAGCTTGGTTGAAGAAAAGGCTGGCTTTCTTCGGAGGTTTCATGGCGTTTTCTGCGCGACGATTGGCTCGCATAGGCCACCACCAGAAACACCACTGCCAGAACTCTGCTAGATTGACAGAAAATGCTGATTACACTCGCAGGCGATTTGAGGTTACCAAGAGCGGATAAAATGAGTATCGGAATCTCGAAGAGAGGTGTGACGGTGGAGACAGCCCAAAACAAGCGTCGATCATGAGTGCGTCGAATCGCAACGGCGGACCAAACGAAGGCGGATAGAACAAGGTGTGTGAAGCGAGCTTTGGCCTTGTTTAAGGCGTCTTCTTGATTAGCGGTGGCAAAAATCTCACCAAGGTAGGTAACAAAAATGAAGAAAAATAAAAATATTGATAGTTTTGAACCGCGTTGTGATATCGGAGGTTGTGTCTTGTCTGTCACTCTACCAAGCCGAGACAAGGTCGATAGCAAGGCAACAAGAGTGACACTCAAGGCACAGCCGTAGTCTAGTGCACGGCAAGCGACGAGTCGGTCGAGCATGATCGACAAAGGCGATGAATCTGATGATGAGGATTCGTTATACAAAATCTTGTCTTCATGGGAGAGGTAATGTTAAATATCAAATTACCTAGTGGGCTGTGTTAGATTATGAAGTTTCGTATGTTACCTAGTATAGCTACCGTAGTAGCAACCGAAACTGGTTGGCTGTATACCTAGCGCTGATATTTTCGCCACTGCTACCCGCAGTACGTTTACGAGGGCCCACAGTCGGCAGTTTTTCTTTCTTGCAGTAATTAGTGAGTGTTTCTCACACAGACTCAAACGCTACGTATGGTCTGACTCATCGGGATGGGTAAAAAATGTGTGGCTCAGTTGTAAGCCACTGTACGGTACTATGCGGAATGCGCGGGTCCCGGCATGTTGCGCATTTGCGAGTAAGACGTTATTTGGACTCGAAATTACTTGCGGGCTATAACTTCCTAATTTAACCTGTTTATGTAATACTGAAGGGCATTTTGACATTGTGAAAATTTAACGTGCCTCTAAGATCGTAGAATTTTATCCTGTTTAAGACTTTAAGAGCCGCCGGCCCCATTGAGGCCAAAATGCACCCACATATCCACTAAAACCTTCTGGGCAACGGGGGCACTCCCCTTCCTGACCAATGCCCCCCTGTTAAGCTGTAACGATTTACTTCCGAGCAATATCATTCGCCAACTCTATACAGCCTTATAACATTCTTTGTGGTGTTAACTGGCTATGCACCTCTGACTCACATTGCCGTACATCTTAAATCCAACTTTAAGGTCAATCGACGAGGAGAATGTCACGCTGGAATTTTGACTCCTGTGAAAGTGCTTGAAAACGGAGTCAAAGACAACCCTAGCTGTACATGAGTCAAATCCATAACGAATTGAACAGTGATGCGAAAACGACGTCACAAGACAACTTTTCGATCCAATATGGCTCGTGAAGTTTCAGCCATAAAGGTTACACGAACATCATCTCGGGCGATCATCTCTTCCAGCCAGTTCCTAGTCTACCTTATGTGTATGAATTGGAAAAGTCTACCCAGGTAAGTAATGAATCTTTGAAAAACGCGTAAATCATTGGAAGCCAAATTGATCAAGATTTTAGCTTCATACTCAAAGTACAAATCCGGCGAGCTGCTAACCATTCTTAATCGCTACCAAGACTGAGAGTCGTCATCTGCTTCGTCGCCGTATGAAGTGGATCCCCGCAATTCCGCTCCGATGTCTTCACGCGCTTCTCCATCCAGTCTCGCGCTCCGCTGTAGGTGCAGTTGTAATCCATAAACTCGCCAGGGTTCCTCCTAAAATTAGCTTACGAAAATCTTCTGTGGCGGTGTTAGGTCCCACTCACATGGTGATTTTGTTGCTCGACTTCTCTGTCGCTGGTTTCCCGGACTGCCGGCTGTAAGCTTGTATGATCGTTGCGCGGTCATATCTACATTCGAAAACAGTCTAACAGCATGTCAGTGACGATAAAACGCCTGGTAGGATTAGTATTGACCTTGAGAAGAGCGGTAACTTCGGCTGTTGCGGGCTTGATCTTGACTTCGGCAAAGATCGCCCCGAGAGCCTCGGCGTCTTCCACACTTTGGCTTGCCCCCTGACCTTGCGTGGGAAGCATTGGGTGACTTGCATCCCCAATTAAGATTGTGCGGCCACGGTACCATGTCTTTAACGGGTCCTGATTTTTCGTCATTAGTACGGCAATCGCTCATTGCGAGATGAATTTGGTTTACCAGGTCACGCAGCTGCCATAGTCCGACCTCTTTGCAGTTCTTGAAAACTGCTTGAGCCCACTTTGGAAACATCTCAAATGTCTTCCTAAGCTTATCAGGATCTCCCTTGGTCGTCCATGACTTTCCTTCTGCGTTTTCTTGCATCTGGTCTACTACGAGTAAGCCATGGACCCATCTTATGGCAGATCACACATGAACAATCTTACCGTCAGGCACAAGAGCGATAATACTGTAAATAGAGCCATTCCTTGCGGGACCCATGATAATCCTGCGGTCGTGGCCCATGATCATGGTTGTCAAAGATTCTCGGGGGTCAATGACCGCCGTAAAGTCCTTATCTTCCTCCAGCTCGGAGCTGTCCATGATGAGCCGATAAGCTAAACTTATTGTCAGCCTCTACAGGGCCAGAATATGTAGAATATGAGGGTTGTCAACTAACCTGATAATCCAGTAGGAATTGCAGGCTCTTCCACACCAATAACAGATTTCCTCAAAACACTCTTACTATCATGCAGTCAGTTTGCATGTGAATTACTCACATTTACCGTTCACTCACATTCCGTCTGCTCCGACTATGAGATCTCCCGAGATTTCCTCGCCGGACTCAAGCTTCACAACACCAGCATCGGGATCGCAACTCTGAACGACACATCCGGTACGGATGCTGACCGAGCCGTTCTCGGGACTTTGTTTCGTCGCGCCTTCTTTCAATGCATCATGCAAATCAACCCTTCACCTATAGTCAGACCCATTTAACGAGACATGGGCTTTTCTCCTACCTGTGGTAAACCATGCGCTCCTGCATCAGATGTTAGGACCAACAGACTATGAAAGACATTTCGGTCTATACAAAAATGAGGCTACTCACAGCGCCATAGCTCTTTTTCAAATGAAATGGGATTTCTGCATGCAATTTGCCATCTGTATCGTAGATGCGGAACTGAAGTGACGCGATCAATGCATGGCACCATCAACAGCATCACAGCACCTACAGCTTTATCGGCCATTGCGCCCTTTTTGGCAAGGACGTCTTCAAGGCCCCATTGCTTCTTAACAATTCTACGTCATCTTGTCAGCCAAATACATAGATGCAACTACGAAAGAGCTTTGAATAGTACATACTTTGAAGCATTTGGTTGTAGTCTGAGAGATGAGTGATTAGTAATTCGTCCCTCACATTAAATTGGTGTAGGCGTCATACGATATTGTTGCACCAATTTCCTTGTTCAGGTGGCTCTGTTCCAACACAGTAATACGCCGATTGGGTCCCCTCAAAGCGATTGCCTAGCAGAATCAATATTGGATGTCATGAAAATGTCTTAGGGAAAAAATGAAAAAGCAGTGAAGACATACCGCCGAAAGGCCTGCGATCCCACCACCAACAATAACAATATCAAATTGATTATTGCCAACCATGATGAAGAATAGGTGACGTGGTTGCACTAAACGCCAAGAAAGTTGTCCAAGACTCTTCGTTAGAATCGGACGCTCTAGGATAACTAGGTATCTGAATAATACGAGATAAACAGCCTCTTTCAGTAGCGGGAAGAGAGTCCTGAGAGAAAGCAAAAGCCTTCCCGTCCCGTTCAGGGTGATGCCTCCTCCGTTGCCGGTTCCCCACTTTCCGGTCGCCAACCGAAACGCGTGTGCGGGCGATCAGAAGTAGTTTGGAACCGCGGATCCGAACCGAAGTCTCCGAACCGAGGAGCTTACAAGAGCCCGAGTGTAAGTCCCCTGCGACCTGACAGCACCAACCTCGGAAAGCTCGATATTCTCGGGGCAAAAAAGACAGGCTGATTCAATGGCTATTTTGTGGCGAACCTTCTACAGATTAATTTGCATCTCAAAAAGAGGCTCAATCACTTAAGCTGAGCTAGTAGTCATCTTGGCCCTGCAAGAATTCAGAAGCACTTGAAGCAATCAGATCAACATCCGTTATGGCTACCACTACCACTGTCGTTGAACAACCCAGCGCACCCATCACAGCTATTGATGATGGACGCATGAAGATGGACGGATCTGACCCTGTGTTCGAGGACTGGAGAGATGATCTCCTCCGAGATGGCTATACAGTTATCAAAGGAGCCATTCCGCGTGAGCGAGCCGACGGGTACGCTGACAAGATGTATTCGCTCTTGGAGTCTTTGTAGGTTTCCCCCTAGTTTACACTTTTGAGCTATCCAACTAATGCTCTCCAGCGGCTTGGGTTACGACCGCAATGACCCTTCCACTGTCCACCCTGACAAGCTCCCCGTCATCAACGAGAAGGGCATGTTGATGTCTTATGGTGCTTGCCATGAAGACTTTGTTTGGAACATTCGCAGCGAGCCCGGCGTTGTTGGTGCATTTGAGAAGGTCTTCAACACTGAAGACCTGATTGTCTCCTTCGATGTCATCAACTATGGGTTCGCAAACCGCTCTAACCTGCCCGAGAACAAGCCTTGGCCTCACCAGGACCAGGTAAAGTCTCCCATCAAATATATTGAATGACAGTGACTAACATTGCCACAGGATCCCGAAAAGCCCGGCTTCCGCTGCCTCCAGGGCCTGGTTAACCTGCACCCTTGTGGCCCTAACGATGGTGGTCTTATTGTCTGCAAGGGATCCCACAACCTCAGCGCCCAATTCCACGAGGAGCTCAAAGACGAGCCCCGCATCCCAGCGTGGACGAAGGAATGGTACGGATTCACTGATCGCGGCATGCAGTGGCTCAAGGATCACGGCGGGGAGTGGATCAAGGTTTGCGCCGACCCTGGCGATCTGATTGTCTGGGACTCTCGGGCGGCGCACTACAATGTCCCCGTCAAAGGAGATATTGATCGCATGGCTGTTTACACATGCTACATGCCCGTTGCCGACGCCACTCAGGAGGACCTTGTGCGAAAGAAGGCTGCATATGAGGGTAAGTCAGAGTCAAATCCTCCTCATCCCGTCAGTTGCAAATCATTCTAACACTTGTGTTTAACAGCCCGACTTGGAACTACCCACTGGCCAAACGCCAGACATACCGGCTCTAATGCTGCTGTTAGAAACGGAAAACCTGACCATGTTGTGCGGGAGAGGCCGCTCAATGATGCGACCTTGAGTGAGAGAGCCTTCAAGCTCACGGGAATTCCTTACATCCGCACAACGGCTTGAACACGTAGTTCTTGGGGGAATATCTATTTTTCACAGCTCAATGTATTTCAACATAGTGTCAATCATTAGCATACAATGAATGAGCAAACCGCTCAATACGTTTATCACATTTCTCTTCAAGAGTTAGCAGAACCTTCCGAAAAGATGTGATCGTCGCGTGAATACCACGAGCAGGGGAAGGCCTGTATTGACCACTGTTACAGTGTTCCGTCCGAGGGACGGCTTCGGATTCGGCAAAAACTCGGTTCCCTTACTCTCCTAATGGCATAACCTACGGAGCCTGTAGTAACCTGAGAGGTGACTGATCCGAGTTTCGTTTTTCGGATGCCTTGCTGTCTCCTCGTTTCTGAAGAAACCTTCCGTAGAGGTGGTCTAGACTATCCAGGCCATGATTGCCATCGGGAATTTGCTCGGCTCTTGAGCAAAATACATTGGTTTCTGAATCCGAACCGTATCCATTCTAGTTATCGATGACCATTATCGAGGCGTAGTAGTGGTGGTGGCGGCCAAGAACCATGCCGCGTGTTATGGCAAGAAGTGATAATAACAAAACAAGCAAGGTTTCTCTTCCGAACCGAAAAGTGATGGGTGTCGTGGCGAGAATCAAACCGAGGGGCCCAGTTACCCCGGAGAGCCGTGAGGGGCTGATGACAAGCCGGTCCATGCCTGGCTAGCCTTCCCCGCAATCGAGCTGATACGGAGCGCCGAACAGCAACACTAGTGATGGATCCCAAGCCGGGGCCCCTCTCTCTCACCAGACTGCACCCCAGTTCCCCAGCCTGCACCCCACGTTGGGTACAGAAGAAGGACGGGGTAAGGGAGGTACAGACAAGCCATGACAAGACAATTCCAAGTGAGAATCGTAGAGACGTGTCGGACTTGGCGAATGGCACCTTCGACATTTGTCAGGTTGTGCGAATTGCAGAAATAGACCCAGGTTCCCCAGGCTAGCATTGAATCAAATCAAACTCAACCCATCTTCTCGGGGTTCTTTCAACAAGAGATTCTTTTTCTCACGAACCACGGCGCAGGAAATCGCCAATCTCTTGAAATCAGAAGTCGATTTCGTTGTACGTCGAGATGGGCGATTCAGACAACAAGGTTACAGAGGAGAGGATCGAGTCGACTTCTGATCTTCCCCAAAAGCCTCCTGTTGACAATGTCGATTACAAGCCAAATGTACAGCTGGCTGATGGAGAGAACACATACCTCATTCCAACGCCTAGTTCTGACCCGCGTGGTAAGTCGAATCTTGGCACACTTACCGGCGAATAACCAATTGGTTTTAAGAACTACGTACTAAAGTCCTTAGACCCCTTAAACTTGAGCAAACTACGAAAATGGGTGAGTCAATCGTGTTCTGCAACGCAAAGACTGACAAAGAAAAGCTAACATGTTGCCATATTAGATTATCACGATGACCTGCGCTACATTTGCCGCCGTCGGTCTAGTTCAAGTTTCTGGACTCGGCGCACTCTTGGGCGAATTCATCCCGGAATACCAAGCCGAGGGCAAGGGGAGCTACGAAGACATATCTCATCTCATGACCTATCCTTCTCTATTCATGGGTCTCGGCAACCTCATCGGAATGCCTTTGGCTCTCGCCATCGGACGCCGACCCGTCTTCCTGGGTTCTTGCGCTCTAGCTGTTGTGGGGTCAATTCTTTGCGCAACGGCCAAGGGCTACAACGCGCATCTCGGTGCTCGAATGGTCCTCGGCTTGGCAGCTGGTCAAAGTGAAGCTCTATGCCCTTTGATGGTTCAAGAAGTCCACTTTCTACACGAGCGAGCCCGGTGCTTGATGTGGTTCACCCTCTGGCAGTCAACCCTCAGCGCTGTATACTCCCTTCTCACCTCCTACATCGCCGCCGGCATCGGGTCTTCGGGATGGTACTTCCTCGGCGCTGGCTTCTCCGCTCTGACATTCCTCTTTGCTGTCTTCATGGTTCCAGAAACCAAATACGACAGACCTCTTGCTGCGTACCAGGGCCAGGAAGCCGCAGTATCACGGTTTGTCACTGCCCGTGCCCCGGGCGTTGACGATACCACTGGCGTCTACACCGAAATGCTCACCCGAAAAACCACTACTGAGCCTCGCACGCTCGACTTTGTCAACTTCAAGCCCCGCACCTTCGCCTCCGACCTCCGTTTGCTGAACCAGAAGCCCGATTGGAAAGAGGGCTGGCAATGCTGCACTGGCATGGCCATTGTCACATTTTTCCCTGATATGTTGTGGGCTCTTTTGCTCAACGGCTTGACCATGTAAGATACATCACGCTCTGGTGTCCACCAAGAAGCATCCCACAAAGTTCCTGTATGCTGTCACTGACAATTGTTTTCCGCAGCGGCGTCAACATTGCACTGGGTACTACCTATGGAGAGATCCTACAAAAGGCTCCATACAGCTGGGACTCATCCGTAGTAAGCTTTGCATTGACGGGGCAAATCGTTGTTGCTTTCCTGGCTTTGCCTCTGTTGGGACGTGGCTCTGATTGGATCATTCAATTCTTCGCTCGTCGCAATGGCGGTTTGCACAAGCCTGAGTACCGACTGATTCCCCTCATCATTCCCCTTATCGTGGGCACTATTGCCTCGGTGATTTATGGTCAGGCGGCCGAGCATCCTGAACGATACCACTGGTTTGCAATTGTGTTCGCCATAAATGCCTACTACTTTGGCTTTGTTGGCGCGAACCAGGTCGGCATTACATATGCTCTCGACGCCTACCCGACTCGCTCTGGGCCTGTTCTGGTCATCATTTGCGCTATGCGTGGCGTCATTTCCTTTGGCACTAGCTACGGAGTGACGCCTTTCGTAAAGGCGATTGGGTATGATGGAGCTTTTGGCGTTTACGGTGCTCTTACAGCTGGGATCGGAGCCCTTGGCATCTTTGTCTTTATCTGGGGTACTCAGATTAGGGCCATGGTTTCCAAGTGGGCTGTTGCCGACACCTCTGCTTCACCATCTTACAACCATTAGCGCTATTTCCCAGGAGCTCCAAGGATACAAATTGGCCATCTGCTGTTTGGGATGTTTCTTTTATTTAAGCGACGAGACTGTTTATTGTGTGTATGTGTGTTTGAATTGCGAGGGAATGACAAGTCACTGGAATGCTGGCGCAATTTCAGAGTCTGAAAGCTGTTGAAACGAGATTGACTGTTTTGGTTGCGGATATTGAGCGAAGACAAGCGTAGTACGAGCGAGAATTTACAGGATGTACCTAATTATATGCAGCAGAGTTGTCAGCTTGCTAGCTACTGCAGATCACGTGTGTCTATAAGAAACTTTCAGTGCGTTGCACTCTGAACTCGATCAGTCTAAGTTAGATATGATGAGCTAACAACATGGCTCTAGTACCCATGAGGCAAGCCCTCTATAAGAATTTACTCCTATAAGTAGCTGATATGTTCAAAGTTGAAAGGGAGCAATCCATGGACTGCGCAAGTCTTCCACCAACTCTAGCGAAAACATTGTAACTGCCAAGCTCTCCTTTTCGATTTTGCGTCTTGTTCTTCTCACGTTTCCATTCTCAGCACTCGTTATATGTACATTGAATGCAAACAACTTGTTCTTCATAAAATAGCGATTTTGCTTTATTTCTTATCTAACTAACGAAAGGCCTTTCCATTACTGAATGAACGGCAAGATAATTCTGCTTTGATGCTCCGGTCCACAGTGGATGTAATGGTCTCCCTTGTTCCGCTCGTGCTCCGGCCGCTCCGTCGAGAACGCCTTGTATTCTGCAATCGACGGGAACTGTCCGCCAACCTGAACCTGCACGGACTCACCGGCTTCGTAGTCAACGCCCATGGCCCAAATGCCAATCTCCAACTCCACGATTTCGCCAGCAGGAATTTTCCGCTCCTCGTTGTGTGGGTGGAAGGGAAATTGCGAATGCATAGACCGGGAGGGATCGATTTTGCGATGAGATGCCCTTAGCTGACCAACCGAGCCCAGGTGCAGGTTCGTGCTGCTCCGCTCCTTGGGCGGGATATCGTGAATGGACTTGACGGGTGCCGCCCAGAATGGGAAGCAAAGGTGCATCATCGGGTTGCCCTCCTTGTCAAGCTTGCGGATGTTGATGAACACATTCATATCGTCGTGGGAAGGGCAGGACATGTAGAGGATTGCTTTTGGCAATCCGATCAGACGCGATGGCTTGTCGAATGTGTAAGTGAACTTGGCTAATGAGTTGCCATCCTCGGAGTTATAAGAAGCTTTCGATGGAGCTGAAGGAACTGATTCCGACAGACTGCCGTTTTCTAGATAGAAGGTCTTGTAGTCTGTGTTAGGAGGAGGAAAATCTTCGTAGATGATATCGCTTTCGGGTTCTCGGTCGCCGAACTTGAGAGATGTCCACCGTACTTTCGGCGTCTTCTCCCAATCATTTTCAATCCCTTTCAGGTATCTATCGAAGAATTTCTAAAAACCGTTAGCTCAGAACCAGAAAAAAGACTCGATGGAACATACCGCCAAGTCCTCGTTCGTCTCGTGAACACTGTACAAATCAAACCACTCTTGCCAAGCACTCCAGCGGATCCACTTCTTCTCACAGCCCAACTCCATGAAGCCTCTAATGCTGCCCATTGTGTGGATAGAACTAAAGTCTGACCCGGAGATATACGCAGGGATGTTGATTGCCTTCATGTTCGCTCGCTTGTCTTCCCACCAGATGTTGGAAAGAGGGCTTCGGCGGTACATCTCGGCGAAATCCTCGACTCCTGAGCCACCCTTGATGATGAGGCTCGTAATCAGGTCGAAGTTGCTCATGGAAAATATGCCGCCTCTAACGAATTGCTCTCGGAAGAGGTCACCGCTTGCCTCCCAAGGAGCAATGGCTTTCAAAGATGGAGGGTTCAAGGCTGCGACGTGCCATTGTGCAATAGCTAATGCTGAGTTGCCGGCCATGCCAACGCTGCCGTTGCACCAATCCATCTTAGCAATAGCCTCGATGACATCGTACGCGTCCTCCGCGTCTTGGAGACCCATAATGGGGACTTGGCCATCGCTATTGCCAGCACCTCTGCTGTCGACGCTGATAATAGCGTAGCCCTTGGGACACCACCTTTGAGGGTCAAGTCCCTCAAACTTTTCAAGGCCGCTAAGGTCACTCTTTTTGACGCAGCATGACCACGGTGTCATGGGCAACATCGTCAGAGCGCTGTACTTCTTGCCGTATGGGGACCAGCCGACGATGGCGGGTATCTTCTCCGTCGAGTCTGCAGGGCGGTATACGTCGATATACAATCGGCAGCCATCGCGGACTTTGATCTCGACGTCATGATCAATGCGGATGTCGCTCTCCAGAGGTTTCGCATTGTAGCCGTTCCAGCCCTTGGGAAGGACTTCGGTGCGCCCTGGAGTGAAGCCTTGATAGTTGTTTACTCCGATTTCGGGCTTGCCGATAGGCTTATACGCGATCTGAATTGGGAGGGGCATGATTGGGTGATATGGATGAACTAGGATGTTGGGAAATGGATAAGCTCGTACAGCTCATGTTCAGGTCAAGGGGTCTGCCGACATGGCGCTTTTTATTGAACGCGTTGGACATGTTCCTTCATCCTATCAGAAGAACCAATTGCTCATCAAACGCGTAGCTTGATGCTTCAAGACTCTAGAACCTCGGTCTATTGGAACCCGCTGCAATCCCCGCATCGGATATGTTCCAGTGAAGACATTACGTGGGTTGAAGCAGCGGGGTTGGGTTCAGCTCAGATCCGTTCGGATCAGCTACAGTTACCGGCCCCACAGCCGTGTTTGATAGCCAAAACCCAACCCCGAACCGAACCGAACCGAACCGAGTTGCACGCCCAACGATCTATTTCGAGACGAACAAACCGAGGAAGACGGCGACCAGACCGAACCGCATGAATCTGCTGAGAAGGGGTAGCCAAGCAATATTCTCGCCCGAGGCAAGGAAACCGGGGCAGTCGCTGTGAAAGTAGTCATCAGTTCATAGCCATCGTAGCATCTAATGCTCCCTCTAATCAGAGCTGCCTATAACAACAGGTGGAATTCTCGAACTCAGTACCAAAAGTAAACCTCTCTATCTTAAGAGTTCTGACAATTCAAACAACAAGATCTGAGATAATCATTCGCCTCACTACCTAATTGCGATATCCAAAATGTCAAAGTCCCTCCTCGAACCCAAGTCAAACTACGGCGATTGGAGAGACTTCTTCTTTGAACATGGCTACGCCATCCTTAAGAACGCTATTACTCCTGAGCGAGCTGAGTATTACAAACAGAAGCAGCTCGACTGGCTCAAATCCTTCAACCGCGGGTTTGACCCCGAAAACGAGGACACGTGGACCTCAGAGCACCTCCCAGTCTCCTTCAAGGGAGGCATGTATGGCTCGTACTGCGCCCCACATGAGCGATTTGCATGGGAGGCGAGAATGTGGGTAGCATACTGTCGCGAAGGCTCTAGACCTGGGGAAAGGGCCGATTTCGCTAACGCTGTGACAGGGAGCCGGGTGTTTTGAACCCGTTTGTCCATATCTGGGAAACCGAGGAGCTGTTAGTAAGCTTCGATATGTTCAACATCACTCTTCCCCGCCAGAAGGACTTGAAGTGGTCCCCATGGCCGCATTGTGGTAAGTCCATTTGGAATCATGATGGGTAGACTTTGCTCATCCCACTGTGTCTAGACCAAGACCCAAAACGCAAGGGGCTCCAATGCATTCAAGGGCTCCTCAACTTTGCCCCTAATGGAGACAAGGATGGCGGCCTGATCCTCATGGATGGTTCCTCTAAGCTTTACGACCAATTCTTTCAAGAAACTCGCGTCATGGATAACCATGAAGACGCTCCGCCGCCAGAGGAGAACTACCGCGACCTGTTTATCTTCAAGGAGGAGGATGTCAAGTGGTTCGAGGACCGTGGCTGCAGTCTTATTAAGCCGAATCTGGAGCCTGGTGATCTAGTTCTGTGGGATTCTAGGTATGCTTTCCGACGAGAAGTCTTCTACTGTTAGATCCCAACTAACTATCAAATGCAGAACTATGCACTTTGCTAAACATCCAGAGGGCACTCAGATCCGCCACGCTCAATATGTCTGCTTCACTCCGGCCAAATATGCAGACCCCCAAAGTCTGAAGGAAAAGGCTGATATTTTCCGAGCTTGGGGCGGCACTACCCACTGGCCTCATACTAACATTCACCCACAAGGAAAGGCCAAGAGGAATGGTGTGGTTGACCCCCAAGAACGCGAAGAGCCGTTGGAGAAGCCAGTGATTACGGATAGGTTGTTGCAGTTGGCTGCAGTCAAAGCATACTGAAGGTCGAGATAGGCAATGATAGTAGCTTGAATTTCATCTGATGTTCCTGTGAAATTGCCATTGTGTCATTAAATATTTTCCGGTCATGAATGCTGACAATAGGATTGTAAAAATTGCTGAATACTGTCACATCCGGGACGGCTGTGCCGGCATGGCCGCCTTAGACCCAATTCGACTAGAAGGCTTCTCCTAAAGTCAAAAGTTTCATCGCCAGTTCGGCATAAGTGTACCGTAACGCTTTTGTCTCCTGCTCTCGTCGAATTTCATCATGTTCCTCTACAACCGGACCCCAATACGCGATCAAGAAGCCACTCTCGTCCTTGTTGCAGAGTTCTGGTAACCGGTCGATGATGATGAGTGGATGCCAACGCACATGAGTAGTGAGTCGCGAAATATGAAACTCATCGTCTTCAATGTGGTCTCGGAAGGCAATCTCAGCCGAGGAGTGTGCCTTGCATTTCGGAATTTTCTCCTCGTCAGACGCATCGGTAGCGAGTGGCATACCCCACACATCGATCCGATCAACCGATCGCAAATCTCGCGTGCATTCAGCGTCTCCTTGTAAACCTTCTCAACCAGGGTTCTGAGGTGGCCGAGATTGTGAGACTGCGGGGTGGTGTCGTAAATCCGAAAAGACCGTTGGGGGCGGGTATCTTGAATGGAATAGTCTGAGTCTGAATCCGATGATTTGACAGGAACTGTAACGAATTCTTCACGTTCCCAAGCGGTGAAGCAGGGTGTATTGTCGCGGCTCGGTACCTCTTCGACGACAAAATGCACGCGGATCTTCAAAGGCGGCTTGCCACCTGTTGATAGCTTTTGTGGCGGCGGCCATTCTCATGGAAGTTTGGGTTGTCGGTTGTGCTTATTCTGCTGCTTATCTACGGGATATGGTGTAACTACCTTAGATATTGACGTATGAGGAATGACTAACGAAAACTAACTGAACTACAGACTATCCCGATAGCTGGTGATGCTGTAAGCAACTGTAGATATACCTTTGCCGTTGCAGCTATGAGCCCACCTTTGTCTGCCAATATGCCTCAATGACTAAATTGCAGTTTGCTAGTTTTCATGTTCAGACACATCGATTCTTCAGGTTGCTGAAAGCATACCATACTTTGGAATTACATTTTTTCCCACAGATAACAGAACCCCACAATACACCAAACACCGAAACAAGGCCACAATTGCGGGTTAAACCAAGCTTGATGGCCAATTATTAATTCCAGGGCTTCGACTGGACCTCAGCACCCGAGGCCTATTGCCGCCAACGCCCACCCCCGGATTCTTAGGGGCGGGGTACAGCGTTCATGGGTCAGTCGGGGTTCCCTTGAACCCCACTCTCGGGTCATCCAAGCTGGGGGAAATGCAAGATTAGCTGCTACTCTCTCCGCTTTGACTGGATACTCCTCTGACATCCCCTAGAGGGTCCCTGCTCCATGCTGGGATTTCCGTTATATACCAGGTTTGCCAGTGAGCCAACCGAGCCCGACCGAGGACTTCTTCAATCCCCTTCCGTCTCAGCTCCGGACCGTTCACCCTCGGAGTCGTTCAGATCACCATGAATAGCCCTTCCTCTGCCGTCATGGCCGACTCCGTGTCGAGTTCAAGCGAGCATCCTCCGGTAACATCAAATCAATCACATTCAAAACGAATACGTCTTTCTCTGGCCTGCAATCAATGTCGTAAACGCAAAGTACGATGCGACGCCCAGACCCCAAAATGTCACAACTGTATTCTCCGAGGAGACGACTGTCAGACAACAAATCCCAGGAATCCCAAGGAGCACGCCGTTCGGAAATGGGCTTCTAAAAGCAGCACTACCCAGAGCGACAACAGCACCCACGAGGGATCTGAGCCTGCCCGTGATCGTCACCTTCGGACAGTTTCGCCGCGGCCACGCCAATATCTGTCACCAGCGTACGATAATGGCTCTGAGGGTGAAGACGCGGCTTCTCGCCGCCTCTCTTGGGTTGCACAGGCTTATCGGGCCAATGTTAGAGACAATGACAGCGGCCATGCACCACCCGGCCACTCAGATCTCAACCCCGATATAGCCCTCAACACCGATGAGAGTTCACATAGGCTCAAGTTCATGGGCGGCAGCAGCGTCCAGTCTCTGACAATGTTTGCCGATTTGTTCTTTAAGAAACGAGGTCTTCGTACCTTGTCGCCTTACTTTCGCTTCGGTATGCATCATGTTGAGGAATTCCAGCTTCCTCTGTCGCTACAACTGCCATCTCTTCCCCCTCTGTCAACCCTTGACGCATACCTGGACGTCTACATGAAGAGAGTATTTCCCCTCTTCCCTGTCTTTGATGAGACTACCATGCGATCGGATATGGACCGCCTGGTCTCGCTTCAAGAGGCAGAACCGTCAGGTAGCCTCCAAGGTGCAATCGACTCTCCTCAAGTTCCCATCCTCGTCGCTATTTACTCTATCATCTGCATTGGTGCCGACGAGGAAACGGGCTCGTTGACAGAGATCGGCACACATTTCTTGACTGCAGCATACGGCCTTCTGGCTCATGTAATCTCCACCCCATATCTGGCTTCCGTACAAGCTTTGGTCCTTCTTACCATCGCATTACGAGGCCGAAGCAAAGAAGGCCAAGGATGGCAGACACTAGGCCAAGCCATCCGCATAGCACACTCGATTGGTCTACACAGACATGCATCAACAAAAAGCCCACATAATGCCCCTCAAAGAGCTGATTCTGCACCGTCGCCGGGGTATCAGGGCAACCGAAAGCTCCACGGGCAATTATGGTGGAGTTGTTATACACTCGAGAAGCTGATGGAACTTGAAACTGGTCGTCCAAGTGCAATCCACGACTCGGATTGTGATCAAACACTACCGGAACCTGTGCCTGTTCCTGCCGCCGGAATAGCCATGTCCATTGGATCTTCCCCAGAGGGACAAGCCGACCGCCAAACTATTGACTACTTTCAGCCGTGGGCCTCTTTAACAAGAATCATCAGTAGCATCAGTGCTCATATTTACGGACGTTCGGGGCAAGCTAAGTCTCCCCGGATCCTCCTTGGTGGCACCGTTCGTCTTGACTCGGCTCTGACTGAATGGGCACAATCACTTCCTCCCGAAATTCGCCCCCCAGGACCGCACAGCGGAAATGTGATTCTATGCGAGACCGGGCACAAACACCTTGCTGCATTTCTGGCCATTCATTACCACCACGCCCTAATCTGCCTTCATCGTGCAGCGCTCGTATTCCCGGAAGCCATGTACCGCACCCACATCAACTCACAGGCCGATTCCGCTGGTCTGTCTACAGTAGAACTCTCCCGTCTGCGTAGAGGCGCAGATATCTGCATCGGCTCAGCCAGGGCGATAGTGAGACTTACCGGCGAAATAGCCGACGACTCGACGCCGACTCCTCGCGCGAGAGGAGGACAGCTAGGCGAAACACCCACAAACAGGTCAGAATCAGTCGTCTTCACCATCACGCAACCCCTCTTATCAGCAGTGGCCTTGGCGCTTCACATACTCAAGCAGCCCCGCTCACGCCTCGCGCGGTCCGATCTAGAGCTTCTGGGTATAGCGGCCCAGTATGCGGAGGAGCAGTACACCAGAGTCTCGCAGAACCCACGCTTCATCCAGGCGTGCTCCGTTCTGCAGTCCAACATGTCCGAAATTGTGTCCTTGCAGGCCCACCAGCATCATTCCAGCCATTCTAGCCAGAGCCATCGTGGCTCCGTCACCTCGTATGATATGAGCTGGCAGGACGAGAACCGCACCCCGAGGGAGGCTTCGGCCTCCGATGGTGTAAGAGTTGAGATGGATTTGATGGACCTTGAGCTACCGGACCTGACGGGCATGTTTACCGAGATCAGCAACACGGACTTGTTTGGAGGAGTAAGATTGGAGGATCTTTGGGGGATGCTGGGAGCACCAGCGAATGGCCAAGGCGCGGAAGTCTCAGATACTTCCTGGTCTCGATCATGAGAGCAGACGCAAGTTGATGCATGCATGGCTCTGCGTTTGCCTCATTAATTCTTAATACTTCGCAGTCGTGCGAGGATTTGTCTCATGTACGTGTTAAACGCGTTGTAACATTGAATAGAAGTCTTGCAAGGACTGCCCCCGCTCGCCAGTGACATTTGAAATCCATAACAGGTTAAGAAGAACAACTAAGAGAACTATCTCATGCGGCTGATGCAAGGTTTGCTGTAATGTTTGATGGACGCCGTCCAATTTGGGTGTTGCCTGTACATATGTAGCCGCCCTAAAGCATCACCTTGACATAAAATTACACATTTTTCTCTGCCTAACAAGCTCGTATAGAATCCGAGCTTAACTAGAAAAACTTCCGCTTCCGTCTATTGGCCGACTTGAACCATCCCCTTGTTTTAGCCGTCCACGTTGCCTCTCCTCCACTTCAGCCATTTTGGCGCAGGCAATCCTTTAGAAGTTGATCCTAATCCGGTAGTATCGAGTCCCAGTAGGATTCAACCCCGCAATGTCTGGCCCCCAACGTAATGCAATGTCTACATAATCTGTCTTAATACGCCGTATCGAACGACGTAGGAATGATAAGGATTTGTCGCAGGTTGGCTGAAACATTCGATGTGGCGTCGGACATACGGTCCGTATGCACAGAGATGAATCCACATTCCTTTTTAGAGAATGGTCGCATTGAGCGTCTATCAAGGTAACCAATCTGGCCACAGGTATGTTATGTGTTTATTGTCGATGAGGATCTTAGATCGGCACAAAAAAGTTCGGGGTCTAGAGTTACCTGCTGTGAAACCCCGCATACTCCGGAATAGGTACCGACTACAACCATCTTTTTAACGCAACATCAAATCCTACCAAGTCTGATTGCATCCTCAACTTGTAGATAAATGTAACGTCAAAATTATAGAAGTGTCTTCCTATCACCTTGCAACAAATCATTCTAATTCACGCATGCCTAGAGGGATTTGTGAATCGTAGGGCTACATGAAACGCGGGGTTGGGCCATTCTGCAATGCAATCCTACGGAAGATCAAGCTCCATCCTATGTTACTGGAACAGTTCTCGATGCAACTTCCCTATCATAGGTGTTTACACAAACTGCATAGTATAGCTTTATACTATGCGCTGTTGTCATTTGAGTTACTTATGACTTGAGGAACTGTGCCTCCTGGAGCAGCTTAGCATGAGTGCGGGCTATAGCTCTGGATGTGTGTGATGCTTGTCATTGGCTGGTGGATTCAACCTGTCTTAGAGCTGTTGACCTTCTTACAGTATGTTCAACTCTTGCAACACTATCTCAAAGGCCCAACCTCACAGGGCAAAATATTTCTCAATGATTAGCATGGATGTATTCTTATTAACAATCGTTAGGCCAGTGAACGCAGTGAGTGCTACCACGTGAAGGCTATTGAGCTTTTGGTGCGCCGATCTACTTTCAAACAAGGCTAGTCAACTTCACACGTATGCCTTCTATGAGAGGAGAAACAGTCTTGCATCCTTTCCAAGTTGACTTTGCATCATACGAATCATCTCGTTTACATCCCGATTCCAGGAATCCTTCTGCAATATGTGCTTCTTGAGCACATCGGCTGAGAGGAAATGCAACCCACTCCTCAACCTCTTTCCATCATGAACGTGTAACGGAGCGTAACTTCGCGTTACAAAACTCGGAAAAAGGAAATGTACCCAAAGTCCGGCTGTAGAATCATCTATAAAAGCTGGCATCTCTCTCGACTGTTCTGCCTGTTTTCTGAAGTCCTCATCAGCATCAGCCAGCAACTCAAACAATCCAGTCTACTCCTCAAACCACAGCCTTCAAACACTTCGGGTTGGTTCCTGATAAACTCATGTCTGGACCTACAAGAGACTAACATTTCACTAGATTTTCAATCCCATCTCCAATCATCCAAAATGAAGTTCACCACTGTCATCGTCGGCCTCTTCGCCACCATCGCCGTTGCCGCCCCTGCTATGGAGAGCGCCGAGGTCCTCGAGGCTCGAGTCGTTGCCGCCGCTGAGGAGCTTGTTGCCCGCCAGATCTGGACTTGCACTTGCACCAACCACAAGAATGTCTGCTGCGGCGCCATGGGTGCCTGCTACACTGGCAAATGCTAAGCGGAGAAACTTTGTCAGAAATCTGCAAGTCTTGGCTTCAGGGGACGGGGGTTTTCCACCTTGCCGCTAGATAGGTGGTACTAGTCCATCTTGTCAATAATACATGGGCTTTTCTCAGACTATACTTGCATTAGTGAAAGCGTGGTGCTAAAGCCAAAGCACCCATGATCTTGACCCTTTAGCCGTAGGAATTAGGCTGACTGATGACCTGTATTGAGAAAAGGTAGGTATTGGCCTCCTCAGCTACCCGAAACCCATATACGCCTTTCACAGGTGACTAAAGCTGTTTAAATTGTACCAAGATTAAGAAATTCTGCTGAGGTCATGATGCAAGTCAACAAAAACCGTGTATTTCCTCTGTAGTCCCATATCGATTGATTCTACTTCTCTCCTTTGAATTTGTTACTTTTTCTCTCCTAAACCACTAATCATTCCAAAATTTGGTTTGTTCATATGAGAGGATCAAACGTTACGTTTCCGAGAGATTAGGTACGGGTCGTTTGACATCTTTAGGAGCTTGTGTCGCTTCCATCACCGGCAAGTCAATATCGATAACCCATGGGAACTGCACCAGTTCTCCATCTGCTTCGATTGCCGCGTTGACAAATATGGTGCTCTTCGGCTCAGCATGGTTGCCGTCGTTGCGGAAGAAGCTTGTGTGATAGTACCTTTGCTGCCTGCAGTGTGCGATCTTTTCCTCCCTTCGTTTTTTATCATCCTCGGATTTGAACTGAGTCCCCCTGAGCTTTGGGAGACTCTCGATTAGCCATGACCGATTGTTATCAATATCCCTGAAATGTGAGGGTGGATCTGATATGATATGGCGCCAAGTTACCATTTTTGCTCCCCAACCGCCATGTACATGTCCAAAGCAATGCATGCGGGGCTGACACCTCGCTACAGCAGCGAAGAGCCGCGAGCAGCCGATACGTATCCTCTCTGCTGACATATCCAAAATCCCATGAGACGGTCCATGGGTTATGACAACATCCGTATCCGGTTCGATATGGAAGTGGTGGTCGTTATTGTCGTTGTAAGTAAAACCCCAAAGCTCCGTCGAAGGAGTGTAAGGGCTCGCATAAACTTTGAGGCTGTCACGGTTTGGAAGAGCGAATGTGTAGGTTCCCTCATCCAAAAATATGATGCCATCTTCTTTCGCATCTTGAAGCAATCTTTTAGCCTCTCCCTCATGGCCAAATTCCCTCTCAACCAGGTCTGTCTCCAAAGGTTCCCCAATGATTTTATTTGCTTCCTCGACTTTTGCTTTAAACGCCTCGGTATCTAGCGAGAAGTCATGGTTTCCTGCGATTATGAGTTTGAGCGACGCTTTTAACTGCTTGAGCATTTGAAGTGTTTCTCGAAATTCATCTAGCTTCGAGTGCTGCGTAAGGTCGCCACAGTGTATTATAATGTCAACGGATTCATGAGGCATGGATTCGCTTTTGAAATTTCTTCCATGAGTGTCAGAAATAACCATGAATCTCGTCTTGATACTGGCTGTCATATTCCCTGAAACTTCTGTGGATGATCGGCTGTAACATCAGAGGGTGGTACGTAGATTGAAATCTATTGAATTTGAAGAAATAACTTTACATGTGAAACTCAGAGAGAACAAGATGTAGGATCGCTTAGAGAAACGCTCGTTTATACGTAAGGAAGGTAAGATATGTTTCGGAGATAAGCCTGAAATACCCTTCCAAGCTTTGTTGGTTGCGGACAGAGAGGTCGCAAAACGGCATACAAAGTGCAAGCCACCAAGGTACAGTTTCAACATCTGGTAGATTATAAAGTTGGATATCTCATATTGATGATGCAAGAGGATTCGAAGATGGTTCTTCTCTTTCTTGTTACACTAGCTGGAACTTTAGGCTGAATTAGTTCCGTGGCCGCAAACCGCCGGTTATCAGCTGCAGACATAATGGGCTGCCTAAGGGAGTAAGATGCATGATGGTTTCGATTAAATCAGTGGATTTTGCATTAACTCGGTTGTCAAACAGACACTTGGTTAGTCGCCGGCACGAACAGAATGCGTGTGACAACTTGAATAGAAAGAGTACGGTTGCCTCCCGGCAGTACACGCGTTGTTATTCATGTTGACGTCTAATAATTTGAAGTAGTCACCCACCAAGCTTTAGGCACGGGCGTCCCCTATGTAGGTAACTGGATAGTAAGCATTGCTGTTCTAGCTCCCATGCTTACCCCGCACTCGCAGTCCTACAGGCTGGCTGCTGCAGGTACATTATATGCTACCTTGCCTTGTTCAATAATTACTCGCTTACTCGTACCGCGAGTAATCGCTTGATGACCCCCGGGGGCCCGTCGGAAGCCGGCACCAGACGGGCCTGCCGGATCACAGTCGTTTTGCTCAACGGCATGGGCAGTTCACCAAAGATGCATTACTATCCCCGAGTATGGCGTCTACGGGGATCAGTTTGTCGCCGGGAAGGGGGGGACTTATAGGGGACAGAGGCCTGTTGCGAATTGTGGAGATCCGGAAGATAGCGCAGAGATCGGAGGGGTGGCCCGGAGACCCAAAGAGTGGCCCGGAGACCGAAGGGGTGGTGCGGAGACCCGGGCTTAATTTAATCACGCTTGCAACTACATGCGCGTCTTGCTTCACGAGAGCTTCGCAATGTCACGAACTACTGACTACCCATACAGAGATTTAAAGATGTGTCAGGTTAATCGTCAATAGTAAGGCACGTCTTTGATTCATAAATGCACATTTGTATTTTGCTACATAATACTGGCAAAATGCGCCTGCAACGCAGGTTTCGAGGACGCATCTCCTTGCCAGTTGGCAGAAGCCAGAGTCCCAGCTCGCCGCCAGCTTTAGTCTGGCCGAGGTGGTCCCAGCTTCATGACAAGGATCTTCAACCGGCAAAGCAGCGTAGCCTGCCATCTTCTTTGCCCAAAGATTGAGATAAAGTGAAGAGTCATAGAAGAGTTTGGGACACTTGAAGAAATGTGAGAATCAGGGAGACAAATCAAGGTTGCACATGGGGAACTGTTAATTCGTTTAAGCATCAGACAAAAGTTCCTCGTGTCGGCCACTAGCTGTTATAACGTCGCACACCCACTTCTCGCACACCCCCACATTTCGCACACCCATAAATCGCTCATGTAGAATTTTACCCTCTTCAACATTCTTTAATATCTTCACCACTTTTACAGCGATTATTATAATTCTTTGAATAGTTACTCTTATACGCTTAATGGGCCAGTATACGGAAACAGAAGTCAATCAAGCTCTCAATGCAGTTGCAAGTGGGCAGAGTGTCCGAAAGGCAGCTCATGATGCTGGAATTCCACCATCAACCCTCCAGTCTCGATTAAAGGGTTCACAGGCAAGAAATGTAGCTTTCTCTAGCTTCCAGAAGCTATCTCCAGCACAGGAAAGTCACTTAGCTGAATGGGTGCGTATCCAGGCGGCGTTAGGGCTGCCGCCAACACATCAACAACTCAAGGAATTTGCCCAGCGAATCCTAGACATCAGAGGCACTACCCAGCCACTTGGGAGAAACTGGATTCAGTTCTTTATTAAGAGAAATCCATCAATCAAGGTTCATAGAGCTAGAGCCATCGATTCTAAGCGTGTCAATGGGGCCTCAACTAATGTAATCAGGCAATGGTTTCAACAACTCGCCCTTCCAGAGATCAAGGCGATCAAACCACATCATCGCTATAACATGGATGAAACTGGTATCCTAGAAGGCAGAGGATCAAATGGCTTAGTACTGGGATCATCAGAAAGCTCATCAATGCGAAAAAAACAGCCTGGGTCTCGGGCTTGGACAACTATGCTTGAGTGTGTCTCTGCAACTGGTCAGGCGCTTCCTCCACTTGTTATTTATCGAGGGAAATCGGTTCAACAACAATGGTTTCCTCTTGATATCCATAAACGTGATATTTACAGTGGTTGGAAGTTCACAGCAACTGAGAATGGCTGGACTTCAGACTCTACAGCTGTGGAATGGCTTGAGAACATCTTTATCCCTCTGACTAAGCCTGATCATCCCTCTGAGCAGAGACTATTGATCCTAGACGGTCATGGCAGTCATGAAACAACAGAATTTATGTATCTCTGTTATAAACACAAGATATATCTCCTTTTCCTACCGCCACATACATCCCACGTTCTCCAACCTCTAGACCAAGCAGTCTTTGGGCCTCTCAAGGCGACCTATCGAAAAGAGCTTGGATACCTCATTCAACACAACGATTCTACAGTTGTAGGCAAACGGAACTTTCTTACCTGCTATGGAAAAGCACGCCAGATGGCATTTTCAAGCAAGAATATCAGAAGCGGCTGGAAAGCAACAGGACTATGGCCCATTTCGATAGCTCGACCGCTCATGAGCCCTCTACTGCTTGAGAATGCTTCCAAGCCCTCAAAGCCAGGCTATTCTACGCCTATGAGGGCCTCTGATGGTGGAAAAGACGAAAACTGGGCATCTGCTACATCCATAGTAGCCTGGTCAACGCCCAAGAAGACAGTTGATCTATATGATCAACTTAGCTTATTCAGCAAGTTGGATAAAGATCAGCAAACGCAGCGACTGTTGTTTCGGAAGGTTCAAAAGGGATTTGATGAAAAGGACTATCAATTAGCTACAGCAGAGAAGAAGATTGCAATGTTGGAAGCAGAAGTTGAGGCTGGAATGGTACGGAAGCGGCGTAAGGTCCAAATGAGCCCAAATTCGAAGTTTGCCAACATTGAGGCAATTCACAAAGCCCAAATTGAGGCTGGCGAAATTGAAGATAGCTCAGATGAATCTAGCGAGCCTGAATTACCTATTAAAACTGGCGATAGTATCACAGTTGCAGGAGACGAATCAGACTTATAGTTATGAAGTTGATGAATACCTCATGATGACCCAATTTATGGGTGTGCGAAATGTGGGGGTGTGCGAGAAGTGGGTGTGCGACGTTAGTTACCTTTCTTATAGTTTCTATAAACTATATATCAAGCCTTATAGCATACGATTTCGTTATTTTTATTAGTTTTGATATTATATACCTACTTGCTAGGCAGGACTTTAGCATTACGTAGTAAGTAAACGACTTTGTAAACCCCCTTTTCCGTAAATTAAGTCATCTCTCGTTCGAAGGCTTATTCCCACTAAGGCTACTATAGGCTCTTCTACGCCTTACGGTAGGACTTCGGGATTACTACGCCGTCAGGTAGGACTTTCGAAAAGGCAGTAGCAGAAAGCACGCTAAGAGAAAATTAACAAGAAGTCAGTAAAGCTAGAATATTAGCAGATAGGAAGGTCTTTTTAGCATAAGAGCGTACGCTACTAGCGGCTCGGTAGTAACTAGGTAGTCGCTAAGCTAAGGCGCGGCAAGGTCGAGAGGACTCTGCCGGTTGACTCGTTGCTTCCTTAACAATCGTAGAGAGGGAATCAGGGTCCTAGTGATCAGTTTCTATTATTTCCACGGAGGCAACGAATTCGTCGTTGTTTAATTCATTAACAATACTATTACGAGGTATAGCAGTAGTCTCTAACAGGTTCTCTAGTAGCGGAGACATAAGATATGTATTAGTAAGTGCTATCGCTTTTTTAACGATAGTCTTATCTAGTTTAGGATTACTAGTTACGGGTTTTTTACTTTTAATAGGCTTCTAATAGATAGTATACTAGATAATAATATCTAGTTTAATAAACGCAGTATTATGTTTAATTTTATTAATATTAGGTATGCTAGTAGTTAGAGGCAATACTATCTTATACGGTTCCTTACGAAATCGAACATCTCTATAGCAAATAACCTCCTTTCGATCAGGCAGGTAAACGTAGTAAATATAGCTACGAAGAGAACCGTAACCGACGAGGAATCCCTTAATTGCTTATAGTTCTATCTTAGCAAAGCGTATAAGGCGTCGAGGGCCTTTCTTATATACGTAGGCAGCATAGCTAAACGTTCGGAGATATTCAATATAGGGGGCCTCACGTTTAGCAGCCAAGTTTAGCTCTCTTGCTATAATCTCGTAAAGGCTTAAGTTACCTTTAGAAGGTATAGGCAAGAGGTTAAGAATCTAAGTTACCGAATCGATACTATAATCCCATAGTTCCTCTAGAAAGGATATGTTAATCAGCTATATCTAGGCGCCTTCGACGATAGTACGACTAGCATGCTTAATAGTACCGTTTATAGAAGGCGTATAGGCAATAGTCGTATTATAGCAAGTACCCTCGAAGTAGGGGTTGTTAAAAACCTTGATTAGCTCGGGAGCATTATTAGAAACCTAAACCTTAGGCTTAAGGCTAGTAAGACTATAGAATTTAGTATCCTATTTCTTAATAGCTACTAAGATAGTAGCAAACTTATAGTTAGGTAGAAAAACAACCTAGTAGTAACTACTATACTTATCTATAAGGTATAAAACCTAACGGTTCCCTTTTATTAATAAGGGAAGAATACTAACGAGATCAAGGTAAATTTCATCGCTAATACTCGTAAGTAGAAGTAAGTAGTCTCGACTAATCCGTTTAGTAGATT